TGGGTGGACATCCTGGGGAACTGGGGCATTCCCTTGGTTCGCAGCTTGTCCGCTTTGAAGCAACTGCAATCTAGCTTTGATATGGACGTTATTGGGATCAAGCTCCGCAGCTCGGGAATAGGCGTCGAGGGCATCCGCAATTTGGTTGTTGCACGATTCATACTAGGAAAAGTAAGTATACACATATATTTTCCGATTGGTGGGGGGGGGGGGAAAAATGTGAAGCAAGAGAAGGGGAAGGGGAGCCTACCAAAGTTCCCAAGTCATACCAAACCTCCGAGATATAGGGATTGAGGCGGATAGCTCGCGAGTAGGCGTCCAGGGCGTCACGATATTGGTTAATCTGGTAGTATAACACGCCAATTGAGCACCAGAATGTTGGGTTTCGACCATCTCGGTATACGGCCTGTTGATAGGCCTCGTATGCTTTGGGATATTTGGCCTGGGACATATAACAACGGCCAAGCAAGTACCAACTTTGCGCATCGTTTGTGTCTGAATATCGAAAAATTGAATCAGAAATTGCTCCGGACAAATTGAAGAGGCATGCTGGAGTGGTCTCTTACCTGCAGCAACTGATTTTTCCAAGTATTCAATAGCTTGTTCTTGACTGGCATAGCTGCTACTCTGCTGATGATGCAACCAACCAAGCTGCTGCAATACTTTGGCGTGCTGTGGATCGCGATCAAGCACTTTCTTATATGCTGCTTTGGCAGCCTCGAACTGTTGCCGATGTGAGCAAGCTAAACACCAAGTGTGGCAAGTACGTATTCGAAACTTACATCTTTTTGCTGCTCATGGACGTGTCCAATCTGGAACCAGATATCTTCTTCCGTCAACGGGCGAGGAGGGTCCTTGACAATGTACCTAAAGCACTGCGGCGGAGTCAAATGTTAACATGTTGTTCAAACATCTAGCCAGATGCCAGACAACTCACCTCAAGGCTTTGATGAAACTTTTGTTGTTGCTTGTATATTATACCCAGACGAAAATAGATTTCATTTGCTTTCTCAAAATCGGGCTGCATCCGCATGACTTGCGAGAACGCCTCTTCGGCATGATCCAACGAGCCATAACGATCATAAAGTATACCAATGCCATACCAAAGTTTCGGTTCCTGTGAATGTTGATCAGCTTCAGGTTTTTTTTAATAGTCTAGTCTTTCACAGCACCATATGCTAACTAACCTTAGGATCGCGAAGATGATACAGAGCATTCTGGTATGCGCTGTATGCATCTTGAAGATTATCGATCATGAGGTAACAATGGCCTATTCCAAAGTGAGTCAGCAAAAAAAAAAAAAAAAAAGGAAAGAAAGAAAAGATTTCCAAGAGAATTGACACGTAGTAGTCTCCGAATACATACCTAAGCTGCTCCATGACTCTCCGCTCTGGGGATCTATCTTCAAAATATTCTGGAGAAACTCAATGGCCTTTGGAAACTCCTCCTTTGTTCGATAGATGCACGAGATGGCGCTCATCGCGGGGACGGAGTACTGATTATGCCGCAATGCATGTTGATATGCGTCAATCGCACCGTCAAGATTTCCCATCATCTCGCACAAGTTGCCTAGGGAACCGTGGTTAGACAGGACTCAAAGCAGCCGGGACAAAATGACGACGACTCACCAAGCTGAAGCCAAATTGCTTCGTTTACCTGCAGGATCTTCTGCCATGTTGTCAAAGGCGGACCGCTCTGGCCTTGGGCCTGGATAGGCAGGTGGCCGTTAACTTGAGGGTGGGGCGGCAGGGGCGTCTGGTGAGGATGAACTGCGCCTGTTGGCGACCGCTGAGGGTGAGCCGACATGCTGTTCTGGTATTAAGATTGAGCGGGACTTATTTTGAGGCGTCTTAGACGAAGACAGATTTGAAAAGTCCTCGAGAGAGAAATTGGGGGGGTGTGAAAATAACAATTAAAAAAAAAAAAAAAAGGGAAAAAATTAAGCGGTGAAAACGCGATGGAAAAACAATCCAGCAACAGAGCAAACACCAAGCAACGCACGGGTTACAGGCAAAAGAGCGCTCATCCAGGAATGTCGCAACAAAACAATTCAACTCCTTCGATTATCAGCGAAGTTCCCGAGCTGAGAAAGACGGACGCACAAAGCTCGAAGCTAAGGTCGCGAAAAGCTGCGAGAGGGCAGGGCGGTCGGAACTCGAGGATTTCGAGGTTCGAGAGACAACTCCAGGAATGAGAAGCGCATACACTACTTATTACGCGATAACGGCCTTGGGGTGGGAGGGGGAAAAAAGCAAAAGGGTGGCCGAGTTGAAGGGCCGTCCGGGTAGACGGGCTGAACCACAACAAGGGGCAAAAGTGACGTATAGAGGAAGTATGAGGAGAAGGCAAAAAAAGAGGCAGCAGACGAGGAGTGGGAAGTACGGGAGGAAAAGCCCAAGATGAGACACAAAACAACGAGGTTGAGACAAAGCGGGATGACGATGAAAGTCGGGGGGGGGGGGGGGGAAGTGTGGGAAGAGAGGACAAGAGACCGAAGACAGGACGGGAAGAGAGGAAGAGAGCGGGAGAAGAGAAGAAAGGGTGGGAGATGCGTGTGAGGGCGGATTTGGCGCTAGTGGGAAGGGAGTTGATGGAAGAAATCAGCAAAAATGCCGAGAAAGGAAAAGAACAAGTGCAACGAGTTTGGGGTTACCTTGGATTAGGGCTCAGCAAGGTTGGCGAGGGCATCTGCGGAAGCGGACCCACTTGGCGCATGATTGCATTGCCGTGACACCATTCTTTTTTTTTTTTTTTCCTTTTTTTTCCTTTTTTTTTTTTTCCTTTTCCTTTCCCCTTCTTACATACCCTCCCAAACGGGACTTTGCCGCTTGAAAGCAACCTCCCCACGAAGCAAAACCACACAACCCCCTGCGATTATTAATAATAAGCTCCAATGACTTGCATCAAAGTGACATGATTATCGAGAGGTTGCTCCCCCTGTCACACAAGAAACCACTGTGGGTGGGCGGCTAGCTGGAGGGTCACTTGCTCTTTTCGAGAAGCTGTATGCAGCGCATGCCTGTCCTCACTGCAGTACTCCGTCCCGCAGATAATTCTTCCCTAATGCGCGGAGTCCTCCGTAGCTATTATGTAGATATACATTGCAAGCTGGGTCCCCAAGGGAAGCTCGGCGCCATTTTTAACTTGGCTTTTGCCTGCATCCACGGAAATGCAACATCCACTTCGGAGCCGTGAGGGCCACGGATAATTCGTCTCACGTGTTTGCCCGAGCTCACGGACCACAGGCCGACGTTCAACCGGCCGCCCTTCAGATATATATATATATATATATATATACGGAGTATATGTATAGAGAGAGAGAGAGAGAGAGAAAAAGTAAAGCCTCGGGCCCGGGTACAGTAGGAGTAGGCTGGTAACATACCTTTTTCGATGGGAGAGGCTGATCGTCAAACCCTCCCATTCACCGACATGGATAACTCACATCCACCCGTTGAAGACGCACGCTGTCAATCCGCTGCGGGCCACCGGGGGTCAACCTTGAAGGTTCTGGCACGCACACGCGCAAAAAACCCAGCCGGCTAGCCCAGATCCGGCTAGTCCGGCCAGATCCATGAAACAAGCCATTCAACCACCCTTCACTCACACAGGGGTGAGAACCCGCCCAGAGCCTGTCCCTCGCCCAGGGCCGGCGGCGTCCAGTCTGTGCTCTGGGCCCAATCACCGCGCCCGCCCGCCCACAGGCAGCCCCAGCACCCGGTGGGGCCCTCTGTTTCTGAAAATCGCTTGCATCTAGCCACCCCAGCCATACCATGGAAAGTCTCGACATCATCACTCGACACACCGTTTCGCGTGTCGCCCCGTATTGCGTTTAGCGTGAGACGACTCTCCGTCTAAGTCGGCAGTGGCTGGAGACGTGATCCCTGAAAAAGACACATCAACATCCCCCCGGCGCTAGGTTCACCGCGCCAATTCGCATCTTTTTCCGTACCCATCCCGTATTTTCTCTTTCACTCACATAGACTTTTTTTTTTTTTTTGGGTGAAGTGTAAGGAGAGGTCCTGTGCACAGCTGATACATATGTATCTGTGGAGCCCTGCGTGATGTGATGTCCTGGCGCAAATTAGAATTATTTGTTTTTATTTTTCTTTTTGGCCGCGCCGAATTACGGAGGGACGGAGAACCCATGCCCACCGTCCGCCCACTCAAGCCAACAAACAAACTCTGCCTTTCCTATTTATTATTATTATTATTATTAAACTCCCGATTCCGCCGATGGGTTGGTATCTCCAATATCTCGCGATGAGTTTTATTTTATTTCAGATTTTAGAGCTTTTTATACATCAACGCTTGAAGATCGTGAGAGGGAAAAGAAATGATGTGGTGTAAAGCCCCGCTCCACACAGATACATACGGAGTAGTGAGCAGTTGACTATTCGCTTGGTCGCACCTTGTTTGGCGGAGTTGGGCCACATACCCACCTCAATAGTGGCCCGGCAAAGTTCATCTTAGCCCATCGCTTGAGCGCCCCCCATGGGAAAAGGAGAAATCAGGCAGGAATAATATCTTCGCAACCGCCTCCATGTCAACCATCACCATAATAATTGCAACCACACATCAGGTACGGAGTACTCCGTACAGTGCGTGCGTCTCGGGTGCCCCCAGTGGGCCGTGCACTCCGGTGTGCGTGTGTATGTGTGTTCAACATGAGATAGGGTCATGCCTGCATTTCTCTTGCGTCCCCGGTGTCGAATGAGCTTCGAGGAGCCAGCTCAGCAGTCTGTCTCCGAATGCGTTCTCAACAATAGGTACAGAGTACCTTCGAAAAAAAAAGAGAAAAGAAAAAGAGAAAAAGACAAAAATTTGAGTCCTCATGTCGCATAGGGAACCACTCCATAAATATACCCTGCTAACCGCCCCCGTCTCTCCCCCCCCAAAAAAGACCTGAGTTATTAACATCGCTTCAAAAATGAACCATTCGGTAATTTTAATTTAGAAAAAGGGTTTCTTCACCCATCCTTCCAGAATATCTGATTTAATCTCGGGTACCGGGGACTTTACTTTCATAACGCTTCTTATCCCTGCACCGAAGAGACAGTCACCAACTGGAATCAAATGTTACATCCCACGGGGATGGCCAGGGTAAGCTGGGGAGAGCCCCGTCGCTTCCGAAAAGCAGGCACAGTCAGGATGGAGTAGGCAAGGAACTGAGGCTCTTCATGTGGTTGGGTGGGAACGAAATGTCGCCCCCATTCGTTCCATAGTGAAATGTATTGTCCATCCTTTCATGGCGCAAGCCCAGGCAACAGCACAACATGCGAATTGCTCCCGTACATACTTACTTATCTGTCTGTCGACGGCAAGCCAATTAGTCGAACACACAATTAGCTCTGAAGAACCGCCTTTGCACGCATATCCTCCTCCATATGTATCTTTTTCGCAGAGCAGCTCCGACGTCAACTCCATTTGTGGGCTCGTAGCACGATCGGCGGTCGCACGTGCAGATCGCAGTGAAAGAAATCAAGCCCGCTCTGCGCCCCATCAGCTCGACGGAGACGGCGGCGAAATGCCACGGAGCCGATAGATAGTCACGTGATAATATCTTGGCATTCAATTGCGCTGCTTAACTAATGAACGAGCGCGAGCTGGGCGCTCGCTTAGCTAAGCGCACACAACCCGCCAGGACCACACAAAATATTGATTCGATCGCAATTTTGTTCCAACCGACAGGACTCTCACCACACCCGTCGACTAACGCCAAACAGGTCCAAGATGTGAGTATTTTTGATGGCATATACGTTTTCAATGCAGGAGCTGATTGCTTTCGTCCTTTTAGGAGTCACCGGAAATACGAAGCGCCTCGGCACGGTTCGTTCTTTTCGATTTATTTACGTTGATGGGAATACCCTTTGAAGCGATGGATTGGCTGACAACAATTGAAATTCAGGCTCTCTGGCTTTCTTGCCACGAAAGCGCAGTGCCAGACATCGGGGCAAGGTTAAGAGGTTCGTCGAAATTTTTTTTTTTTTTTTTTTTTTTTTTTTTCCCTTGTCAGAGCCGAATTGGCAACAATTGCATGGAAGTCACGTACTGAGCTTTTCAAAACAGCTTCCCAAAGGATGACCCCAAGAAGCCTGTCCACCTTACCGCTGCCATGGGTTACAAGGCCGGTATGACCACCACCGTCCGCGATCTTGATCGTCCTGGTGCCAAGATGCACAAGAAGGAGATCGTTGAGGCCGTCACCATTATCGAAACTCCTCCAGTACGATTGTCCTTTTCCTGGGTGTAAATTGCGTCCGTCCTGCACTGACTAACTGGACCCCTTACAGATGATCGCCGTCGGCATTGTCGGATACATTGAGACTCCTCGCGGTCTCCGATCGCTTACCACCGTCTGGGCCGAGCACTTGAGCGACGAGGTCAAGAGACGGTTCTACAAGAACTGGTACAAGAGCAAGAAGAAGGCCTTCACAAAATACGCCAAGAGCTACTCAGAGAACAAGGGCGCCTCCGTCACCCGCGAACTCGAGCGCATCAAGAAATACTGCACTGTCGTCCGCCTTCTCGCACACACTCAGATCCGCAAGACCCCTCTCAAGCAAAAGAAGGCCCACCTCATGGAAATCCAGGTCAACGGTGGTTCCGTCCCGGAGAAGGTTGACTTCGCCCACGGTCTGTTTGAGAAGCCAATTGAGATCGACTCCGTCTTCGAGCAAGACGAGATGATCGATGTTATTGCTGTCACCAAGGGCCACGGTTTCCAGGGTGTCACAAGCAGATGGGGTACCAAGAAGCTTCCTCGCAAGACGCACAAGGGTCTCCGAAAGGTCGCTTGTATTGGTGCTTGGCATCCATCCCACGTCCAGTGGACCGTTGCCCGTGCCGGTCAAGACGGCTACCACCACCGTACATCCGTCAACCACAAGATCTATCGCATTGGCAAGGGTTCTGATGAGGGTAACGCCTCCACTGACTTCGATGTCAGCAAGAAGCAGATCACTCCGTAAGTTCTCATCGGATCATTCTACCTCTTCGTGGCAGTATTCTAACATCCGTTTTTCCTGTTTTTTTCCCTTCTAGAATGGGTGGCTTCGTCAGATACGGTGAGGTGAAAAACGACTTCATCATCCTCAAGGGTTCCTGCCCCGGTGTCAAGAAGAGAGTCCTCACTCTCAGAAAGACCCTCTTCCCCCAAGTCAGCCGCAAGGCTCTGGAGAAAGTGGAATTGAAATGGATCGATACCTCTTCCAAATTCGGCCATGGTGCCTACCAGACCGCCGCGGAGAAGCGGGCGTTCATGGGTACTCTCAAGAAGGATTTGGCTGCTGCTCCATGAGACGTTTCTTTTGTTTTTAATGGCTGGGGTTGATGTGGAGCATGGTATCTTTTCATCAGCGGTTGTATCTACTTTGATGACAAGAAAATTCAATTCTACGGGTTTCTTCTAATACAAAATGTATGATGATTAATGGATCCGCTTCCTTCTATGAACCGTACTCCCCGTGCCTGTAGACAGTATGTTGTGATTTATCCGGACCCAAGTTGATTTCGCGGTCAGCGCAAACGTTCGGCGTCAACAAGACTATTAGTGCCATTTGATTGTTAGTGAATTTCAGGGTTAAAAAAGAATTTCCCACCTGCTTGATAAAAGTATATCGTTTTGTTTTAAGACGGACATCATGGCGTGTCCATATCCGCGGCTGCTCTTTAAATTGCAAGATGCTCCCAGACTATATCCTCCCTCCCGTGAAGCTCGCTATTGCGTCATCAACCTGGCCCCGCAGGCTGCAGCTCCACGATTTTCAAGTTACAGCATTGCATCACCTTCTCCCGGCACTCAAAGATTCCGTGCACTCACTCCAACAACTGTTCCACCCATATCTAATTTAAGCATCGAAGCCAAACAATCCGACTTCTTCCCGGCTTCACGGTCCCCAGCCCCAAAACGCAGTTATATCGTCCGCTCCAACGCACTCCAGATCAGTGACACCCGAGCTCCGGCAAGAGGCAAAGTCACACTCATTCGACCAAGCCACCAAGCGTTTTCTTCCTTTTCAGCACAGTGTCGATCTACCATGTCCTCCGACGATGCCTATGCCTCCTTTCTCGAGAGTGCCAACGCGGACCCGTCCGCCGGCATCCAGTCGAGCTCGAATGCTTTCCCCTCGTTTCACGCCGCGAAAACGGTAGACAAGGGCCAGCATGTTCCAAGGGCGCTACGGGATGTGGAGTACTACTATGTTTCTGACACAGATGAGACATTCCAACCAGTGGTGTTAGCATGGGACAAGGCAGGACAAGGAAAATGGCCGAGTCCAGGTATATAGTTAAACCACGCACGCCCTCCCCCCACCCACTGGGGCGCAAAAACACCAGATTGTTTTGAATCTTTGCTAATATAGAAGTTAACAATACATTATAGATGAATTCAAATCCCTTATATTTGACCCTTCCAACGCTTCCGATCTCGAAACATCCACCCTATCCCTGGCCGAATTTGACCCACGTAACCAGTACGAGACAGTCTTCCATGCGATTCGCACTGCTATCTCGGGCTCGGAAGCTTCGGTAGCACCGGAGGCTGAGCTTCGAGTATACAGGATCCAACACGGAGATACCCGCGTGGAGTATTGGGCCGTGGGCTTAGATAAGAGTGAGAACCGCCTCGTGGGGATGAAGGCGCGGGCAGTGGAGAGCTGAAAGAGAGAGAGAGAGAGAGAACGGGGGGGGAAGGGAGCGACGGTGGAGTGGTCTGTCCTATAAATAGTTTCCCCAATGCATTGCTTGGTGCGTCTAATGTGGGAAGATCTTTGTGGTTTCAAATGTAAAATCATTGTATTAGTGGTGGAGCGGTGGGCTGTGTCTCTTTTGTTCCTGTTGGACCGTGGTTGTTATCTGTTAGGTTGAGGCACGGCATGCAAGCTGGAGCTGAAAGGCCTGGCCGAAAATAAACTCTTTCGGAGAAGCCGAATCCGCAGATGTGTCGAGCAAAAATTTTCTGGAATGGCTATTTTGAAGGGGAGGCTGCGAATCTGTTTCCAAGGCAGGTTTCATTACCTTCTATCCACTTGAAACAGACTCCACCGAAGAGCAGCTCTAAGCTGGAGAATTATGTGCTCTCAAGTTCTATGCATTACCCAAATCAAGGAATATAGGTCTTGAGCATTCATCTTGACAATTTGGTTATATATTAAAACATATATAGTGACTACATGCTAATTCTTTGCCTGTGCTAATTTTGGGCGCATTAGCTCTCAGGCCGTTAGAAAAAGAAAATTTCAGATAGCAGATAGATACGGGTAGGTTTTGCGTATGGAAAGCTTAAGTACATAAGTACAGATATGCAGCACCATCATTGCGTATCTAAAAGGGCAGGATATCGCCTCGTAAATCAGATAGAAACGTTGCGAATTACCAGGCACAACACAGCTCGCAAAATTGGGGCACGAAAAAGTCAAATCCCGAGTACCATTCGTTGGCTGTGCTGTTTACGTTCTATTTTACACCTTGATATCGTCGTCGTAGCGCAATGTTTGTGGTCGATTTTGCCGAGCATATGCAGCTTCGTAGTCCACGCCTTGAGTTGTCGGAAGATCCCATCCAGTGTTGCTTGGATAATTGGTTCGCGAGAAACGATTGTATGCCATGATAGATTGGCGTTTGTTGCTGACCGCGCTGTTCTTGGGCAGTTGCATGTTCAACGACAACGGCCGTAACTCGGCAGGGCCGGAAGGATCAACGATGGGTGGTACCCCGAGTGCTTTGTTAATGAGATTATGGAGGGGAATGGAAAGGCCGTGGAAGATAATTGAGAAGAGCACAAGCCAGTAGACAGCTGCGTCTCGCTTAGATTGCTGGACGTCATTTTATGGAACGTATCGAAATAGAAAACTACTTACTTGGTGCAAGAGCTCTTATAAGATTCGTCTCTTCAGTGTCGCCTTCACCAAGCTCGGGGAACAAATGTCGTGCATGTTCCAAGTAGAATACTGCCCCGATTCCTAAGAAAAGACATCAGTATTGTCTGCTTTAAATGCACTCAAAACGCGGTTTACCTATTGGCCCATAGTAGCCCATAAACAGGGCTTCCTTCCAGCTTTTGCAAACCTTCGGGATGAATTTGTAAGCTAGAAGGATAGCTGGAAGCCGGCGGAAGGCCATCACAAGGAACCCTAAAGCAATAAGACGAGGATAAGTGATTCCAGTGACATCTGGTTGGTGAAATTCGTCCCACGGAAGTATGGACCCGATATACATGAACCCGCCGAAATTCAGCAAAACATCAATACACGAATTTACTTCGTCATGCCTTGCTTCGGATTCTTTGAGGTAACCACCATCCCAGTTGAGTGCGCTGCCTGCAATGAAACACGCAAGGAGGTCGTCAGTACCGAGGGAACCACATGTGCCCACGATAAAGAGCTATCTGCAGATCAGAACAAGCTTCTCCCAAGGCCGCTGGATGAAGCAATGTAAGGAAGAAAAGCTGGCTTACCCCCAATGCAGAAGGCCATAGTAGATAGCTCTCGTTATCAATCCACCGTCTAACAGATGTTAGTGGAAAGCTATGCGGAAGCAAGCGGGTTATGGCGGTCATGTACCTTCTCAGGCAGAACTTAAGGAGCTTACAGCTCCCATATCCGCAAACGGCACCGTAGGCGATGCTCATGAGCACCACGTAAAGCCAGGTCTCTACAAACCACATTTCAATAGCTTTACCAACTCCTCCCCCGAGACGGCCTACTTCCCCGGATCTTGCATGAAGAGCATTCCCATCCCCGGCGCCAGGGACATTGGCGTGGCGAATAAGGTAAGTCGCCAGCATGAGAAATGGAAACCCAAACCCATCGTTTGCTCCAGCCTCAGAAGAAATGATCTCACGGAGATCTCGAGCAACGAATTTGTCGGCAAAAGGTCCTTTCGCGATAGCTTGCGAGAGAATAGGGTCCGTGCAAGTCACGCAAGATCCAATGACAAGTGCGGTGAGCTGCAGAGCTGTGAGCAAGAATGGCCTCTGGCCCAAGCAACACACTATCTGCTTACTAGAGTGAGCTTTGGGATAGTCAAAAGAATGCAGCCCGTGGTGCATAACCACATGATGGTCATTATGGGCAGCAGACAGATCAACATCTCCTTCCAGCGAGTCTGTAGATACTTTGCGGGCAGTTGGTATCCAGCAATGACCAACTGAACCCCGATGACAACGCGGGTAAGTCCCTGAAAGATGATGGCCTTAAGCATCCATTTCTGAAATAGATAAAACAGACGGGAAACGTCTCGTACATACCAGTGTGATGGCATTTTGTTGACCGGGGGCTGCAACGCCCCACCTCTCCGCGTCGATAAATTTTGATGCGATTGGGCCTAAAACTATCCCAAAAACGACTGCAGGCACTATAAAGTTGAAAGAGTAAGTGAAAAGTTTGGATTCCTTTGCATTGATTATTACATACGTGCTTCTCCGAGATACCAGACATTCTTGATCTTTGAAGAAATGAAACCGTAGAGCAGCGTGAATGCTCCTGCCCAATAATTAGCAGGAAAGCATTCCTGGTTAATATAATGGTCTGCAAACCTAGGACCGAGAGCACAATGTTGAGCTCGCTGACATCAAGGGTAGGCATGGCGTCTGAGCGAGTTCAGCGACTCAGATACTGCCTGCAGCACCCGAGTGTGAGTGTGATAATTCAAGGAAAGGTCGATGTGTCTCTACCAGAGAGAAGCAGCCAAAAAGAGTGGGAAAAGAGAGAAGAGAGGAACGATTGACGGATACGAAAGAAAGTGGCTTAGGGAACGATAATATCTATTTTCGGGTTTGGAGGAAGATAACGACCTCCTCGTCAGCTCCATTCATTGAAAGCGGATATGCAATGCACATTCTCCTTCAGACAAACGTTGTCACGGCTTCAACTTCCATGTCTGGCGGATGCTACGGACAAGAGAAGCCACTTTGATCGCCTGCTTGGCGGCGGTAAAACTTTCGACACTTCGGCTGAATGTGCCTTGGCCGCTGTCGACGACGCGGGTCAACCAAGGGAGATGCCGAGGACACTTTCTCCTTTGTGCTAAGGCGGCCAATGCAGCGATCGTCTGCTTGGCGGCAATAATCGATTCTTGACTTAATCTATCACGGTCTCCAGGGCTTCCTGACTCGGGGAAGATGGGAAAGGAATAATCTTGGACCGAGACACGTCTCCTTGACCGAAAAGAGGTCCATCGGTACCGCATAGCGACATGGGGGCGTCTGGGGCCATGCTTGGAAAAGGAGCCAGCCTATAGTGGAATACTCCGTACCAGCCATGACGCCCTACTATTTGTTGTCCGCAGGGCACATCCAATAGCTCTATTTAGATTCGACGAGCGTGTGAAGGACAGCCCTATCCCACTTCGAGCGCACCTCTGTCAGTTGATCCGAACTCAGCTAGCGGTGTTACTGGATGAGCGAAGACAAGACGCCCTGAATCCACGGGGTGCGCCAAGCAATCTAGGCGGAGCGGGAATCGCAAATTAGCCTTTTGCCGTACCATTCTTTTAAAGCCAATGGATTGGTTAACAACTCCGTGCGGCGGAGTTTGTCCTATCTTTATTTTCTCGACAGAACCGATCTATTGGCTATAGTGAATGCAAAGTGGCCGCGCTCTGCAGATATTTCCAAATTCACCTAGCCATAGGGGTCGTCAGCGGACGCCGGGCGGAGTGGCGTGAAGGAAATCGTCTTCTTGGCGCCTTGGCGCTAGTTTCAGCTCAACTGGGCGGACCCAGCCATAAAACTGCGGTCGTTGAGAAATCATACTCAGAATAACAGCGGCTGCTCCCTCAAAGGACTCGAGCACAACCTTGTGGAGACTTTTCGCAAGACCGCCGCTATGCGCAGTGCGGTGCACGTCTCAATCTTGCTGAACCGAGAGTTCATTGCCGAGCACATCTGAAATGCCAAATGGCGGATCTGAAACGCGCCCTTGCATCTCCTTCCCTGTTATCCAGTTATTGGCCGGAAAGTCTTGATAGGGCATGGCCACCGACTAATTATCGACAGTGCCTCAACCAGGGCACTGCTTCTTGTGCCATAAGGCCGGGAGTACTCGGACGCTTTTGGTTCGAGTTAGCGATCTGAATAGATACATACGACCATAGGAAGTGGAGAACAGGGCTTCCCGTCTGCTCAGCCGTACTTAAGTCACTTGCCGGCCGGCTAGTAGTTGGGTGGGTGACCACCAGCGAATCCCGGCTGTTGTATGTTTTTTTTCCGTCATAATTTTGTTTTTTTAATTTTCCTGTTATTCCGGGCAAGGAACCGGCGCTGCTTTTTCGAGTATTGCAACAGGTGGTTAGCTAGCAGCATAGTTAGTTTAAATCACACCGATTATTTGAGATGTGTCTGGTTGAAAAAAAATCAGGTGTTATTTGTGCTGCCTGTTGTCACAAGCTGGGGTCATTTTGACATCCGAACAACAGAAAGGATTGTGGTGCACTAGTGGGAGAAGTATGAAGGCTTCTTTATGTTGAAACTCAATACCTTTGCTGTCCCAGTGAACCAGTCTTGTTGCTGAGAAACAGACGTGAAGAATGATATTCCATGGTTATCTTCCAAAGGCCACCGGTTGCAAATTTGTCAGAGAAAATTGCCGTTCTCCACAGCTGTGTCGCAACGCTCCAACTCTAAAGAAGCTTGTCGCTTGTAGCAGAAACCTGTACCACAGAAGGATACCTTGTGTTTTCTGAACATGATCTCTGATCAGTCATGGCTGAGGTGGCTGTCGGATACTTGTGCCCAGCATTAGCCCTTCTTTCTCCAGTTCTCCACCTCATTTTGGGGATTCGTATTCCGTACCTCAGACATCTATTGCTTTACAAGTTGCACCCGCGAGGATCTTCGTTCCGACGAAAATTCTCCGCTTCCAACATCATGAACAGTTTGACGCTACTCCGTATTCCCTGGAGAAAGCACAAACTTTGGTATGTATGTACCTCGAGGTATGCAAATCAAGCTTATTTTGAGTGAGGTGCACGCTGTGTCAAAACAAGTCCTCAAACAGAAAAAGTAGGAGCTTATAATGTTCCTATGCTAAACTTTGGAATATGTTTAAAATGATGAACTGGAAGAATTCCTGCATTATAAGTCCTCGGGAGTTCGTTCGATTTGGAGTCGTCTGGGGTCAGAACACGGGGGTTTTCCGACGTAGTGTGCCGCGAGAACCCGGAATTTGCTAGGGTCTTGAACTAAGCGAGGATTTTGAGAGGCATATCCAACAGGCAGCTATTTTTCTTGCTCCCTTGCTCTCTCGCTTTCTCCCTCTTTCATTTTCATTTCATGTTTTTTCCCCAATATTATCTTAGTTCCTCGTCCTCTGACCAAGCGGTAGAGGCTCTCTTGTTCATCACAACCACAGGGAATCGGACCCATGATCAGCCACTTTTAGGAGAGATGCATCTTAAATCATTCTCTGTTTTTCCCCAAAACAGCCCCTTATACCAGCAGAGGAGTAACTTTATCCTCGTTGTCTGAGGGCGAGAACTCATCAGATTCTTATCTAGTTTACGAGAAGGCCATGACAAAAGTGTGACTCTCGCTGATAACGATGGCTGAAAGATGGAATCTTAGAGAGCAACAAAAAGGTCGCTTCTGATGCTGCAGGGCCTAATTTGCACGCTTCTCATGGATTGGTCCTGTACCGGTTACTCTACAGGAGTTCATACGACATAGTTAACCAAACTAACTCGGAAATTTATAGCTTTAGCTACCGTGTCTCTCCAAGATAATATGTGTGCAATTTAAGAGATTTCGACCACTGCATATCGAAAGGCGCAAAGTCCCCGATGCATGGCTTTATAGATGGAGGTGGTGTGCGCACGAGCCAGCCTTCTACTCCGACATTATGAAATAATACATGGGGGTATCCGTGTAGGATGAGCTCAAATCCCCACACGTGCCCATGTTTGGGATCGTATCATTTTATCACGGCTGGTGGGCTTTCCTTGCATTCTGTTGACGGAGAGAGTCGCCCTGCGACGGTTAGTAGAGGGGATTAGTGTCTAGGCCGATGGACGGTTGGCGAGAACAAGTCGCACCCGAGTGAAAGTCATCGCCTAGAGGCATGAGAATCTATTACACCATGACCTTAATCTCACGCACTCCTTGGGCTTGATGTGAAAAATTGATCTTAGATAATTTATAAAAAAGGACAATGTATAGAATAATTTGTATCAGCAATACCTTGTGTTCCGTTGTCGAAAGAATATTGATGAAGTGAAAATACTGCACAGGCCTCGCATCCGATTCAATGACATGGGGGAGGTGAGCACACATCGATCAATGCCAGTACGGATGTGCATACATACATACTCCGTACTAGGCGACCATGGACGGATTGCAGCGATTAGGAATCTCCAGCCATGTTTTCTGATATGCTTCCCGCACTCCGTACCACGTATCATTTCCCGTCAAAGTACGCAGTAGATGCCGACCTAGGGAAAGTCTTTCATCGATCTGAGTACACCGATCCATCCTGGAAGGGACTTGTATACTCTATGAGCTTCAAACCTGGAAGCCACAAAATGGGTGATCAATCATATGTCGTCAAGTGTCTCAGGACAGATATCCTCATAGATGTCTAAGCCACGCTCCAACCTTTGCCGCTCACGTTTATTTAATATATACAGCCTCCGGCATCATGATAACCATGAGATTCGAGCGTCATAGGTGTGCGTAATAACTCTGACTTACCATTGCCGTTCTCTGCACCGGTTGTCAACATCCGATCACACCGTCTGTTCTGCAGCTTCAAGCATTCGGGGGTGTGTTCGAGATTTGCCTTTGCGAGGAAATAGGAATGGGATCCAAATCCACACCTTGGGCTATGGGGGTCTGTATGAGCTCACGGTTCGATATGTGCGATCGGCGGAGTCGCTCTATCAATTTCGAGTCCTACGTACCCCGGAGATCTGAGCCATTTTCATCGGGACCGGTTTTAACTCTGTGCGTGGGGGGATAATTTTTAGGATGACGACTGACTCAGAACTAACTGGCTCTGGTTATTATAAGTTCAATATTCTCCCCCCTGAACACTCAATACTCTGTAATCTGCAACTCTCCCCCTTGCCATCCGCCATGCCACATGAAAAAAAATTTCACGTTAGATTCCCAGGAGGATGGGAGTGGCGAGCTCGTAAAGTCATTTTAAGGTAGTCGGCCAGATCGACGTGCATCGTTGGCCCGGCTTGGCGACAGGGACCAAAGCAAAAGCTAGCCCGGAGAACCATGAGCGATGCAACCACTAAGCGCTGGGCGAATCCTCCGCGAGCAGATTTCGAGTCTGAAGGATCAAGAGGAAAGGAGGGTCCAGTGAGTACGTGGCCGTGCCCGTCTGGCGCGCCGGGAGAAGGGAGGGCCAAACCTGCGCAGGTCCCGTCGGACGCCCTCTAGGACGGGCGAGGCCTCAACCCAGCGGCAGACAGCCGTGCCTTGATATCATCCTGGAAGACACGTAAGCGCCAAAACAGATTTACATCACGTGAAAATCGAGGCACTCCGATCGTGTGGTCAGCCAGTGAGCGTGCCACTCTGGCGAAGTGTTTTCTTTTTAAGTAATATTATTGGACAATAAGGAAATGCCAAGATGTAAATCTGGCGAATGAGGTGTGTTCCCCTGGGCGGTTGAGGGCGAACCCTTCCGAACCGGTGCCAGCTCTTTGTTCCTTGAAATTTGCTTTTTTGCCAGTATGACGACCACAGCGGATGGATGGATCGATGTACCAACTGCCGTGGTACAGCTAATACATATGTATCAGATAGATGGGTACATGTATGTATACATACGTACATACGTGCCGCAATGCGACCAAGGAATGAGAGATGTAATTTTCATCTCGTCGTTTGCTTGAGGGGTGCGGTGCGCGCTTGTCCTCTGCTGCATCAGCCGAACCGAAGCTATGCAGCACAGGAGGCAAATTTCTACAGAGAACTCCAGTTCTCCAGCTCCTTCGACGGGGCCCCTGCGCCCCAACTAAGCAGACAAAGGCCGCCAAAATCACGCAGCGGGACTCTCCTTGTCGGTGCTGGTGGTGTGGTACGAAGTACTTGTAACGGTTTCATTTCCACTCTGCCGCCGTTGGCAAGTATACATACATACACACTGAGGGATGATGTCAAGCTGTGTCACTTCCCAAACCTGGGAGCTTACAGATCCCGTCACAGTGAAAAATTACAAGCTTCACTTTTCTGATCCTGTTAATTTTTCTTGCGCTCCTGAGGGAAACAAGAAACAACAAACTCGTTCCATGCTCCCACTCGCATCTCTAACCCTCCAAACTACTACACGGCCATGTGGTGAGCCTTTCCCTCTGTCACTGCTACAGAGTCTGGAACCTGCAGGTGCTATTTTTACACTTGTTTTTGTTTTCTAGTTCGCTTTTCAGAAGGGGACCCTCACATCCACCCACACCTACTACGCGTTGCGCAGAGCGACATCACTCGCGCGGCTCTCCCAGTAAGCTTAACTGGACCTCTCCTCTCCTTAACCTTCTCTCATCCAATTTCTCATCCTCGTCCTCACCATCCAGACCTCCCTGCCTTTACCCCCTTTTCACGCCTCCATATCAAGGGGATCTCCGTCTCCGGTCTTCGTGCTTACCTTCGACGGCTCCACAGGTTCCGCTGCCCGTAACCTAGAACCTCTCCGTCGACTGCTGGATCCTCAAGCTCGTCCCACAACTGACGAAACCGCTCCTGGTGCCGTGGTTCTGCGAGACAACAGTTGTCTCTCGGCAAGAGACAGTTAACTTTGATCTTCTTGTCTCGTCTTTCTTTTCAAGCCGACGTCCTCTTGTGAGTCTCTGCCAAGTCTCAGCTATCACCAGATCTTGTTATCTTCTTCATACCGCCATTCTTCCCATCATCGAGTTGCGAGTCCGTTCCCATCTGCTGAGGCTCATTTCGGCCGTGCTACTCGTCGGTTGCCATAACCCCAGTCGCTCGTTAATCCTTCAACCTGTTGCGTCCACCGCTCTCCCGTTCTCGCGGCGTCGATATCACCATATCCCTATTTTGCCTTCTCACTTGAGCTGCGATTTATTGCCATCCACTGTTGCAAATGTTGATGAATGTCGATGACCTATTTGACGCCTGTCGGTCTCCTTATCGGATTTTAATCTTACATCTTTCTTCTTCAATTTGTGCAGAATTTTGAACTCCCCCCTTCTGGATAGTGTGGAGATTTCACACTCCTTCCCGCCCCCGGTTTTCGACTTCTACTTCGATTTCCTTCGTTGCTCAAGCCGTTTTATGATATTCAACTTTTTTAATCACCATGAATTCCAACGTGAACCGAGCGAAAAAAGTACCCCAACTTCGCCTGAATTCCGGCTATCATGATCCTTTTACAGACCAGTCAAATGGTGTGGGCGAGTTCTCCGCCGCATCTCGTCCATTGATCGCACCTCCTGAACCGCCTTATTCGCCAGTTAGTCGGCTCAATTCCTCTCCAGAGCGTCTGGCCATTCCCCCGACAAGAGCGTACCTCGAGACTCGCCGGCACAATGCAGAATCACACCACGATTTATCGTGTAGATCGAGCTGGACCTCCGACGCAGGGAGTCGTAACAGTCGTCAATACTTCGAATACTACCCATTTGGAGAGTCGAAAGTTTCATCGCGAGAAGGGAGCGACGAGGATGTGATCAACACGCAAACCGTTGCTGAGAAATTTGCCATCTTCCCGGATAAGGATCTCATAGTCTTCCCGCACGACGTGGAAAAGGACGACGAGATGCATAATCCCGACCCAGAGGATAAATACCGGGATTGTCGGGTGTGCACAAAAAGAGGATTCCTGAACGTTGGCGCCTTGCTTTTCATTTGTTTAGGCCTTTTGACTCTTTTCATTGGTTACCCAGTTATGTATGACGTCCCAAAAATAAAGGAGATTTCCTCCCTCATCTTGAGTGTTGCTAACTGCGAGATAGCACCTTTGCCGAAAAATTGATTCGTGGCTCTGATCCAACTGGCTGCAATGCTGATCCGATGTGTCTTGATGTCGGAAAAATTTCAATGAAAAATATTCGAACTTCATTGATTGACCCTGATACCCCTGATTCAGCAAAGTCAATTACTGCGGCGGATGGCAAAAAGTGGGAGTTAGTGGTAAGTAACTAACAAGCGATCTTAGTCATTCAAAGAGAAGCTAGGGTTGACACACTTCGCAGTTTTCTGATGAGTTCAATCGGGACGGACGCACCTTTTTTGAAGGAGATGACCCATTTTTGCAAGCAGTTGATATTTGGTATGGCGTTACACAGGATTTGGAAGTATGTTAAGCTTTGTCTTCCATATCTAAGTATGGATTAACTAATGATCGGCAAAGTGGTATGACCCTGATGCCGTTACGACAAAGGACGGCGTTTTGGAGATACGATTTGATGCTTTTCAAAATCATGGACTAAATTATCGATCTGGTATGGTGCAGTCGTGGAATCAGCTGTGCTTCACTGGAGGGCGTTTGGAGGCGAGCATATCCCTTCCTGGTCGAGGCGATACCTCTGGTCTTTGGCCAGGTTTCTGGTCCATGGGCAATCTCGGACGACCTGGATATGCCGCTACAACCGAAGGCATGTGGCCATACACTTACCACGACAAGTGCGACGCTGGTATTACTGCAAACCAAAGCTCCACAGATGGGATTAGCTTTCTTCCCGGGATGAAACTTCCAGCCTGCACGTGCGACGGCGAGGACCACCCAACACCCGGAAAGTCGCGATCCGCCCCGGAAATTGACGTTATTGAAGCCAGTGTCCATCCACTAAATAAGGAAGTTCCATCAACCATCGGTGATGTATCGCAAAGTGCACAAATTGCACCTTTTGATATTTGGTATATGCCAAACTATGGTTAGTATACTATCAAACACCTCGTATCTCCTTTGGCCTAACAACGTGGTAGAATTTATGGAATTGTATGATCCCAAAATCACGCATATAAATGACTACCGCGGTGGCCCTTTCCAGCAAGCCATTTCTGGAATCACCAACTTAAACAACGACTGGTATGACGGCAAAGCATATCAAGTATACGCCTTCGAATACACGCCTGGTGCGAAAGGAGAAATAACGTGGTTTGTCGGTAAAGATAAAACCTGGAAACTCGATGCACGTGCCATCGGGCCCAATGGGAATATCGGACAGCGAGTGATCCCCGTCGAGCCCATGGCAATTATCATGAACTTGGGCATGTCCCACAGTTTTGCACCGTTGAACCTGACAGGTCTAGCGCCATTGCTCCCGGCAAAGATGAGATTCGACTACGTGAGACTGTACCAGGATCCTGATAAGAAAAGCGTGACTTGTGACCCGCCAGGGATGGAGACAACGCGCTATATCAAGAAGCACAAGGAAGTCTATACCAATCCTAACCTGACAACCTGGTAAGTGTGGCCCTAAAGAGCAGGGAGAACATATATGCTAACTTGATTCCTAGGTCGCAGACAGACTACTCATGGCCAAAGAACGACTTCGTCCATGGATGCGGTTAATTGCATTCTCTCTCATGCGTCCTCTTTGCTTTCGCGACTATCCCGCATCTCAAGCATTTTTTTTTCCCCTGCACCTTTCTCATTCTGTTTTACTTCGAACCGTTCTCTAGACACCTCATTATTCTACGCATTTCTTCCTGTAAATGTATGAATTTGTATAATTGCCGCCTCTATTTTTCATTTTTGTTTTCAACTGCATCACCATCTTCCAATTTTTCATGCTATGTGTTCCTGTTTTCTTCTTTCCTGCAATGATTGCATTTAGCGTGGCGGCGCCTTAGCAGGCATTTGGCTGGTGAAATTAAAACATATGCAGAACCCCCAAAAAAAAAAGCAAGCAAGCATGCATAATCATAAAAACCAGACTCAAAGAGGCCTCACTTGGTAGGTGCTTGGGTTGTCTGCATACATCAATATATGCACCCTGCACTCCCCAGTAGCAATGAATTAAAAAAATATTTGCGGATAACAATTTCTTTGTTCTTGTTTCAATGGACCTTGCTCTGTTTTTCATAGGAAGCATCTGGTTTTGTCCGAATAATATGCATTGTTACGCTTTCGCAGACACATGATCACTTCCAAGTGGAACACAAAGGAATAATATTACACACATGTAAGTGATAAGGTAATCTTCGACATATAGGATATATGCGTATTAAGCTATTAGAAATACAGAACAGATAATCTTCGATTCTCCAAGAGAGAAGTGGGAGAACCTCTAACATGTAGGCGTGAGTTTGGGAGGAAGTATGGTATAAGGGGCGGGTTAAATACATACATACCGAGAGGGGGAGAGAGAGGGCCAATGGACTCCGCAGTCAACCGTGTTTCCGTAAAGCAGGGGGAAAGGATAAAAAGAAGCCCAACGAACGCTGGCAGAAGAGAAAGGTGGGATGAAGCTGGCATGCAAGATGTTAAAAAAAAACAGAGAAAAAGAAAAAAAAAAAAGGTAAAGAGGTAATAATAACATAAGACAGGATATCATTAAAAAAACGAAAAAAACTGGACGTTTATGCCAAAAAAAGAAAAGAAAAGAAAACACCAATTTGGTATCTCTTCCTTTATTGATGGATGTGCTTCCTGTATCCTTTTCCCATTCACCTAAATTTACTACTTAGGCATGTATGGTATATATGTACTAAGGATTTTGTTCCTCGCTATCATATTGCTGTATTTCTGCTCAAGGATTATGTATGTCATTACCGTCTTTTTTTTTTTTTTCCCCCCCTATCTCCCGGGTCCCATTTCATAAATCTGCTCTGGCACAGGGCCTGTATGCGTTGGGTGCATGCCATTGGGACTCCCGGGACTGCTACCGCTCAGAGGACTTGGCGGACCCATGCTCACACGCTGGTTGTAATAATCATTTGCTTGACCCTGCGGCGGCATCGGCTGCTGCGGCGGCGGTGGTTGGAGATTACCAGGCATTTCGGCCATATCGGTTTGGGGCACTTTGTCATAGCCATATGAAGGAGGAGGTTGGGAGCCGTCGAGGGGCTTGTTATCCACAGCCGGTGGTGGTGCATAATAACCCATTGCTGCGTTTTGAGGCTGTCCGTATTGATCGTGGGGCGCCATTGGTGGCCCAGGAGGAGGAACGCCGGCGCCGGCGGCAGCGGCGCCATTATTGTTCTGGTCAGCCTTCTTCTTCACGCAGAAGAACCAGACGAGGAAAGCGGCGATGGCTCCGACGCCAGCGCAGGCGCCGACGACGACACCGGCGATGGCACCGCCGGAGAGACTCTTCTTTCGTTTGCCTCTGCCAGTGCCGTCATCATCATCGTCGTCATCTTGTGACTCTGAAGGCCCAGTGGATTGTGATGGGCCGGCTGGGGAAGAAGAAGTTTCATCTGGTGCAGGCGGGGTCGACTCTTCGGTTTGCGTAGGCTCGGGAGGGGCGGAAGGCAGGTCAAAGTCGGATGAGCTCGAGGAAGTCAGGTGGGTTCTCCAAGAGGAGCCATAGACAGACTCGTAGTAATCGGTGAGTTGCTGGACTTGTGACGAAACCGAGGCATAGGACCGACATCCGAACAGTTTCGATCCGCCACCGAAGAAATACGTTCCGCAGTACGGTTCGGTGGTGGTGGTGCATTTCAAGATCCTGCGGTTGCTTCTGCAGGAAGCATCGCACTCGTCGCCATAGTTGATGCAAGTAGATGGGATGTTCGTGCAGTCGGTGATTTCGCTGCTAATGCAGCAGCCAATGGCGGTGCCCTGATGGACGCAGTTGGCTCGGGCGTTGACGCAGGTCAGCAAGTTATCTGCGCAAGAGCAGCACCAATTAGTAAGTGCGTAGTGGGAAAAGGAAAGAAAAAAAAAAAAAAATTAATTGTTGATATCAAAGGGGGGTTACGGTGGATTGGGATGACGCACCGGGATCGCTAGTGACTAAGCCGCAGTAGTACCCAGGCGGAGGAAGAGGCAATGTCGTTTTGTCCTTCCGCGGTAACAGCTCGCGAGGAAAGCCGGGTGGCACACCTGGCGGATCAGTAGGCTTTGGAGACATGCCAACCGCGGCCATCAAGCCGATAGGGGTTTCTTGAGGCAACGGCATGATAGACATTGAGCCCTCTACGCTCCCGAGGGAGAGCAGGGCCGCAAGGGCGGTGGTCCACGAAAAGTGGTGCATGGCGTGGATAGGTATGCACGGGAGATGGAATCAACAAAAACCGTGAAGATCTGATCTTTTCTCGCTTTCTCGCAGCCCGCCGACGACTGCCAGCAGGGACGGGAGGAAGCCTATGGCACACCAAGCGGTCGACGGACAGACCCGATGAAAGTGACTCCTCTTGACAAACAAATGCCAAGAATTGGTAGATCTTACTGGAGCCCAGTAGCTGACAGTAAGCAGTCAAAGAAGTGAGTGACAGAATGAACGAAGGAACGATTCGCTCTGATGGATCTGATGGTAAAGATGAAACTCTCCACCACCTGTGAGGTCAAAAGAGAGAGAGAGAGAGAGAGAGCGTGTGTGTGTGTGTGAGAGAGAGAGAGGAAAAAGGGAGACCCGATCATCCACCCGCCCCAGCCTCAACGGGGAAAGGAGATTTGCACTTCTCGTGCCAGCAAAAAACGAGGCTCTGCCCATTCTTCTGACAGCTGTGATTAGCTTCTGATGGCGGTTTGATACTAAGTGGAACGAGAACACGAGCTGGTGATCCAATGGCAAGGCACAAGGGCGGCCTGGCTGCAGGGATCCAGCAGCCGGACTGTCTTGGCCTCGCGATTCCTGGGGAGGCGGCACAGACGAGGAAATTTTGTTTCTTCGCAAGTCGAGATGAAGACGGGAGAGCGGGAGAGAGACTGCTTCCGTCAATTTATCGACCACTGTGCGCAGCGGTCTCTCTCGACATCGACAGCAACAGGCGACGACGATGCTCCTCGACAAGGGGAAAAGCGTGGAGGGAGAATTTCGGACGTGCGAATAATTCCAATTTGTCCAATCGCGGCTGTCGGCGAGGGCCGACTCTGCTATCTGATTGGCCACATTTCGCTTCGCTGCGCAAACATTTTGTTTCAAGCGCCGTTTTGACCCACAACGTATCGTTGTCTTATTGGCCCGCGACGGGTAATTCTCCGGAAATGCGCGTAACTGAAATATATCAGCCAATCATCGTCCGGAGTTGTCGGGAAGAGCAATCTCGGGAATTAAGTTTATCCGGAGGCCCCACTCCGAAATACGTTGAAACGCTGCCGTGTTACGGGAGTTATGTATGTTACACGCGCCCAAAAAAACGCCCATGTGAGGTTGCTATTTATAGCGCTGTGGCGACGGAAAAGGTTGTCGTTGCCAAGCTCAGGTCGACCACCGCTGGCATCCCCCGCACATCGCCGAGCAAGGCGAAGCGTCACCAGAGCCGAAAGTCCGGTGAATTTCAGAGCATCTCGCCGCGGGACATCCGTTTTGGGGGGGAGGAGGGTGGTGTCGTCATGCATGTCTTGCTTGCTTCGACCTTTCCCTGTCATCTTTTGAGGTCTCGTCCTTTTGTCACGTTCTCATCCCTTTATTATCCTCCTGGGTGCTCTTCATTGCAAAAAACATGATGACATTCTTCTTGAAGAAGAACCCCTTTGCCTTTGTTCAATGCCGAGGATGTGATTATGCTGGATCCAACGTATTCAAAGGCCTGGTCTCATCGCCGCTTTTTTTGGTCCCGCGGTAGTTATTTTTGTCGTGGTCCTTCTCGTCCGTTTCCATCGCCCGACCGGACCCCATGGCTTCCCAATGGACTCGAGCTCTCCCAGAGACTCACTCGATCGCGATGCTGCCATTGACGGCCCTGGTGTTAATTTGAGGCTCTTGGGGTCCGCCGAATCCACCCGTTACCCGCGTCTTAAGAGGTTCCACTTCTTCCAACCGGGAATATATCAACTGGACTTGTGGCCCAATGGCAAGGCGTCTGACTACGAATCAGAAGATTGCAGGTTCGATCCCTGCCAAGTTCATGTTTTCCTCTCCGGAGCCATTGGTAAACCATCTCAGCCTATGGGATTTCGAATGACTTTTTTTCCTTTTTCGTCTCGTCAAGGGGCCTTTTTTTTCCCCCCTTGTCGGTGCGAAGCGTGATCATCACGTGCTTTCAGTCCGGCCCGGCCAATCCCAGCGAATCTCGGATAGGTAGCTGGCTGGGCTGTTCCGTCTTCACTGACGAGTGAAGCTGCTGAAAATGTCTTTTTTTCATGAAAATTCATCGCTCTTTAATCCTGATAGGCTCCGAATGTGAAGCATGGGCGTCAAAGTCACTGCTGTTAAACTGGACATAAACCCGTGCCGGAGTTCGCTCCAAAAAAAAAAAAAAAAAAAAAAAAAAAAAAAAAAAAAGAAAAAAGAAAAAAGAAAAGGGTTCAAACCCCATATCCCGCCATGGGACATTGGACCGGAGATGTCAAACGTAACCATGCCTGGAACGCTCGGCGATGTCATCGGGCTTTCTTGTGGACATACCTACATTTTAAAAGGTATGTGCTGGCTGATGTACCGCGCTCCGTAGATGAGCAGTGGCGTGTAAAAAGTTCAAAATCAACTCCGTCTCCATGTGGAGAATCCAGGTTCGCATGACTAATGAATTCTACTCTGTGCGGCTTGTCTTCTGCGAATCTGATACTGGATACGGTGTCTCCAATATACAGTGCCTGCTTCGAAACCTAGTCTCTCTCTTTGCCATTTATCCGGTTATTTCAGTTTCGGGCTATATCGTTGTACAGTCAAAGGAGAGTGCATTATCTCACTTGTATTCATGCAATAGTTTGTGGAAACGCACAAACTATGATCATGAAAAAAATTTTTTGCTAATCATGCTGTAGTGCTCTCGCATATGCGAATTATCACAAATATCTTGTGGAGTTATGCTTCCGCAGGGGTGCAAAACTCTCCTATACCTGCTGAAACAATCCGGGTAGTATAAATTGTTTCTTTCTATAGTTCAGCTGTGAGCAGAGTGTTAGATAAATGGATTTGTCTGCGATGCAATATTTGTGTAGTCTTCTGTGTAGCAATATTCATGCTTGATGTTGAGACACTTTTCGGTTTCGCTTTTTCTCCGCATTCTGGCGATCAATCGAGGTTATCTCAAATAATCTGGGATCCACGAGGCTCAAGGCCTGGAGAAGATTTCCTTCATGCTCCTCAAGCTGAATGTGGCTTGATCACATTATCCATAGTTGTCGTGAGGGGGAACGATTCATGGAAACTATCGGCAAAATTTGGCCTTACGAGGGGGAATTTTTAAAATGGGCTATGCCCCTGGATCTTCCGAACAGTGCTGCTGGGCTTTACTGTCCGTGCAACCAACTGCGGAACAACCGGGCATTTGCTTCGAGAAGGATTATCCAAACAGCCGGGTGTGTCATTTTGCTGTGTAGGAAGCAGATATAACTAATACATTCTCATGCCAGTGACATCATATTATTGTTCTGATTTGTGCCCCTTTCTTACGGTGCGGAGAAAGGCAAGCTTTTGGGCAAAGCCACATGTTGGTAATTGCTTTTGCTTCCCCCGCGGGTGAGATCCGCGGGGCTGGCCGTCAAGTTCCCTGTCATTCGCCGAACACGCCCATCACCGCATGCAACTGGAAGCGATCGCCGCAGCTTCTCGGGGTCCTTCCGAGCTGCTCGAGTGGAAACTATTACTCCCTACCTTCTCCGAGACGCGGATGAGATACACAGCCAGCGCCAGTTGCCAGAATAACTAGCGTGGCTGGTTTAACTTGGAAAAAAGAAAAAAAAAAAAAAAAAGGAACGAGGCAGCTCTCTTCAGGTATATGTCGAGATATGGAAGATACTTCGAAAGTAGAACTCCTGTCTAGGGCCGAATATCCTGGTTGTAATGCAGGAGTCCTCATTCGATCTGTTTTTTCTTCTTCTGAACGGGGCCACGCCTCCAAGTCTAAGCGACGGTAGCCGACCATCAACGGCCGTCCACCTTCGTCATAGCTGTCAACTGATTTAAAAAGGTGAGGATCACGGTCGATTTCCCATGCCAGGGAGCAAACAAGGGCGGGCGAGGGCATATTTCCAAGCTCGATGGCAAGGGTGGCTGCTTTGACGGAGACTCATTGTCCGCCACCGAACCAAGCCTGCTTAGCTAACCGCAGTCTCTGCAGGACAAAAAAAAAAAAAAGAAACTCAACCGCCGGCTTGTCTCGCTGCTCGGTGTACCTGGAGACTCGAGAGTTACCTGCACAGGCGAGAGAGCTACTGGAAGATACCTGCGTCGCAAGCCCTTCCTATGGGCAAACGAGATTCCTTGATGTTCTCCCCAAGACGCAAGAAGTACACAGCGGTTTCAGGTCGTCTGAGACTCTTCTTCACGTGAGTGCTTTTTTGCGCTCGCATTCCTCAGCTTCCAAGTCCCTGACACGGGCGCAGCGTGGCTTTATTCTCCGTTGAAGAGAGGGCCGGACCTATCCTCTCCACCCCTCACACACAATTCTTGATTTCTCTGCGACATTTTGTCGCCCTGCCTGCGGTTTGGAGGGGCTTGTCGCTGTAATTATAGCTGCTTGAAACCATCGATCGGATATAAGCTAAAATTCGCCGCCCATCCGACTCTGGGTAAGTGTCTCGCCCACTCAAGATCGTTGGAACGCACTCGACCTCGGCATCCTCCATTCCCCGTGTCATCGTCCGGTGGAGACCTTCCACTCTCCCGTTTCTGTCCGAACTTTGGTTAGCTGATAATTTATATGATCATATGAAGAGTCAGAACAGTGGTCACGTATGATTCACCGTCTCGCAGCCGTCAACCGCTTTACAACATATATATATATATATAATTTTTTTTTTTTTTCTTTTTCTTCTTTTTTTTTTCCCCCTGCGGTTCAGTCCGGTTGGAATTGGGGGTTGAGAAGGAGATATCAGCGTTAATATCCTCAGGCCGCGGGGGCCTGAGTCCAACTCACAGCCATGTGGAAGGCATCAGAACGGCTGATGGACACCATCAGCCACTATGCCTCGTTTCCAGCGACAGGAGTTTCCCTAAGGCAGATGGTTCAGTTTGGACATAGACCATCAACAGGTATGTTGGATACAGGTGTGTTACAATTAGTCCCTTTTGGATCCCGCAGAATCCGTTTTAACTTATTCCCACCGCACGAGACAGGAACTCTCTTTCGCGCATCCCAATTCCTGTCGGAAGAACTCCCAATCCGCCTAGCACACAGAGTCAAGGAGCTGGGCGACCTGCCGGATGGATTAAACGACATGCCTTCGATAAGAAAGGTGCAGGATTGGTATGCACAGTCATTCGAGGTATGCCTCCCGGCCTTTTTTTTTTTTTTTTTTTTTTTTTTTTTTGGGCCCTTTTCGTCCCCATCTGACTCATTCTTCCAAATTAGGAAATTATAAGTTTGCCACGGCCAACCCTTTCGCAGGAAGTCAGAGCTCGCCTTCTACGGCCGAGTCGCCAGCATGGCCGCGAGCCGAAACTCCTCGATGAGGCAACACAAAATCCGAGTGTGAAAAACGGCCAATACCGCTCCTCCACGACATCCATCCTCCAGCAGACAAAAGACCTGTGCATTAACGGCAACGGCGGCAATGGAGGTGTAAATGGGACTACAAAGCACAGAGTCAGCGGGAACCGAAGGTACTTTGTTGCCGCAGACGACGGAGGCGACTGGCCACCCGAACTCAGGGATTATAACAACCGGTTCGCTTCGACGCTACATCACATCAAAAGGCGGCATGATAGCGTGGTCACGACAGTTGCGCAAGGAATTCTGGAATGGAAACGGAAAAGGCAGCGGCTGCAGATTGACTCTAATATACAATCGTTCCTTGATCGTTTTTACATGTCTCGTATCGGTATACGAATGCTGATAGGGCAACATATTGCCCTTACACAGCAGACGCATGAATACCACCCGAACTATGTCGGAATCATCTGTACCAAGACGAATGTCCGTGAACTTGCGCAGGAAGCGATTGAGAACGCGCGGTTCGTCTGTGAAGATCATTATGGATTATTTGACGCACCCAAGGTTCGCCTCGTCTGCAAAGATGATTTGAATTTTATGTACGTCCCGGGGCATCTGTCGCACATGCTTTTCGAAACTCTGAAGAATTCGTTGCGTGCTGTTGTAGAAACACATGGCCCGGAGAATGATTCGTTCCCTGAGATCAAGGTTATTGTCGCGGAAGGCCGCGAGGATATAACAATTAAAATTTCCGACGAAGGAGGGGGTATCCCAAGATCGTCAATTCCCCTAGTTTGGACGTATATGTACACCACAGTGGATCAGACTCCAAATTTGGACCCGGATTTTAATAAGAGCGATTTTAAGGCTCCAATGGCTGGTTTTGGCTATGGGCTTCCGATCAGTCGGCTCTATGCACGGTATTTCGGCGGTGACTTAAAGTTGATTAGCATGGAGGGGTAAACATCACTCTCCCTGGCCTATCATCTTTCTTACGGACTCTGGCTAACATGAATTTTTAGATATGGCACAGATGTCTACCTTCACCTTAACCGCCTTTCTTCGAGCTCAGAGCCCCTTCAATGACAATTACCAGTCATGAAGGATGGCCGCACACTCGTTCGCTCGGCTCGCCATTTATTCCCTTCGCTTCCATCATCATCCCAAGCATTGACGCCCATGAATGTGGCGGTAATTCGTTCAATGGTTGAAACCAGAGAGGTGTCTGAAAGGAAACAAGTAGGGGATGCGGAGAGCCTCGTCTATCAGGAGAGAAGTTGGTGAGAACCCATAAATTGTGGGCTCTCGCCCCTCGATTAACGTTTCCCTTCCGGCCGGCTGCAGAATTTGATTGCTCACAATATGTTCCTCTGTGTAAAGGATAAGCGTTTTCCTGCGCATTAGGAGACTTCGGCCGTTCCTACGGTTCATGCGCGGATTACTCTATGGAGTCAAGACCTGACCAGTATCCGCAACGCTTCCCTCTTTTAAGGAACTTCCAATCGAGCAGCCAAGGGTGAATCTTAAAAAAAAAAAAAAAAAAAAAAAAAAAAGGTAACCCTGCGACGACAAGCATATCAACGACGAAAAAAGAGCACATTTACGAGCAATATCCTCCATGACGCCTTCTTTTATTTACCGCGCTTTTACCCCCTTGAAAACTTACCGAGAACCTTTATAAATCCCTATCTCCCTACTGCGCGGAGCACACGACCGATATCCTTTCAATTTCCAAACATCCCCGGCCCCACACCATACTTTTCTCGCTTGTATATACTCTTTTGCCTTGACTACACTCTAGGATTATTTACCCGGCCGACACTTAAAGCGGAAGGTGAACGTTGAAAGAGTGGGAATGAGGGGGGAAAAAGGGAAATTTACAGATGACATTTCACCGAAGAAATGGGATAATGATGTCACTTTACAGTTTTATTCGATCTTCACGGATCCCTGTATATTGGTCAGTTTGGTTTTGAGCTGGATGTGGGGAGAAGGGTGAGTGATATAATTCGCTTACCACTTGTATATATCTAGGACCAAACAAACAGCTTATAGATACATATCTGAGTGATCAACATGTTCATGAATGGAAATAGATTTCATTTGTTCCTGGGGTTATAGCTGTAGAGAGGTACTCTTAACTAGCTCACATCTGGAGCGGCAAATGTTGGAAGAAATTTAGAATACCCAGAACCTAATCCTTGTTTCTTACGAATATCTCAACGCCATAATACTCCCATACTCCCTGGGGACCTTGTGACCTCTTAACGACATGACCATCAAGCCTTAGCTTAGCCTCTTCCCTTCCCTTTCACTCTACCAGAAGGTCCCGGGCTAGCACCCCCTCCGCTTCTAGCACTTCCACACGTCGACGAACCATTCCTCGACTTATTCGCGGCTCCCTCGCCTTCAGCATCCGTTTCCCAGCCACCGTTGATTTCAATAATATCGATCATCGTGGGTGCCTGTTCATAGGCTGTATAGCCAGATCTGTTGCTGCCGGAACCGTGATGATCGTGGCTGCTTGATTGCGGTTGCCGGCGGACATATACATGGTGCGAGTCTTCCGAACGGTATCGCGACAGGTCGCGGATCGCGAAAGGGCGAGTAGTTGGCGGTGTGATGCCGATTAGGTGGTGGAGGAAGCGGCGGCGGGTTTGGGGGATAGACTGGAGAGATATGGGTTTAGCTCTCTTCTTTTTCTTCTTCTTTTTTCTGCGTGCCACCCAAAACGAGGCAGCCTTCCGTAAGACCACTCCCGTCCGGCTCTTTAGATCCTCGTTTCCTTGTTTCTCGGAGGAACAAAAAAGAGGGAGAGATAGAGAGAGCAGGGTGGATATGTGGGTGCATACTTCATTGCTAGAAAGAGCATGAAACATCAAGAGCTCTGGGTCATTTAGAATGCTTATCGCTGCATGTCTCCGCTCGCGTGTCTCTGAGGACTCGCGTATGTCTTCGGGGTGACCGTAGATGGGCAAGTTGTTAGGCGGCATATGTCCGTGCCGTCTGCGTGAACGGCCAGCTGGATTGGGGTCCCCAAGTTAGCATAATTCAGCAACATGGCTTCTTGAAGTAAAGAATGATATCAAGCTTGACAGCTGATATAGTTTATAGCCATAGTAGTGTGCAGGATTAACGATAGGCCTAAGGCCAAGGAGGGGGGTGATAAAATATCTCTAAAGAATAAGGATGTAGTTATCCTCTAGAGTGCTGATATAGGGACAAAATGCGCCGAAATGCAAAGCGCCAGTAAGACTCACGAGCAAAACTGCTGTCGTCCATCTCCATCGGCTCCGCTTCAACCTCACGTCCACCAGTCATGATAATGTCATTATCATTGTTCATATCCATTGTGAGCTGCTGAGCTTGGCCAAGTATCCACAGGTCCAACGCCCAGTTGTAGGAGAAGAACTGTGGTAGAAGCGGTTACAAACAGTTGCGATATGAGTAGGATGGGAATGCTTCTGATTTCAAGACAGACTAGAACGATCGGGAGGCAAGTTGGGTATGATGTATGGTGGAATAATCTTCCTGCTGGAATGCATCTGATCTGTTATTGCATGATGTTCGTGAGTCTTGAATAAGGTAGTATGGCGGATCTGCAGCTCAGATGGCCTAGGCTTTTTATGTGGGTTCAGGTTGGAAGCGCTCTGTACTCTGTGGAGTGTCGTGATAACTCTCTCGCAGGCTGTTCCATAGAAGGTAGAAAAAGACTAAAAAAGAAAAAAAAATACATACAACAGCTGGGATTCGCTGGTGGTCACCCACCCAACTACTAGCCAGCCGGCAAGTGGCGTGAGTGTTGGCGCATAGGCGGTGATGGAGCATGGCCATGGCCGTCAAAATGCCATTGAGATATAAGAGTACAACGGATGACAATGTGAACATTAATATCGAAGTCATCCAGCGCGAGCAAGATGTTTATCAATGTCTACAATATTGTGACAGTGTTGTCCCGTGCATCAGTCCTCCAAGACGACTCTTCAACTTGCATTTATGGAAAATGGTGACCTACATAAGGTGGCTCACCACTCAACAAGCCAAACCACTCAACAAGCCAAATTTTCACACCATCAAATTTCTTCAACACTCAACTTCATTATGCAATAGCATGGTCAACAACAAAGCAATTAAGCTTGCAATTGAAGATCTTGAATTACAAGAGACTCCAAATTACAGTGCAATCACAAAAAAATATTCACTCAGTCAAGAGACCCTGCATCAGCAGCATCAAGATCTACAAGTTAATTATCATGAAGCAATCTCCAGACATAAGAAGAAGCTCATCAATATACAGAAGAATGAGCTTCTAGAGTATATAAATAAGCTCTGCAACTACAGTCTTGCTTCTACATCTTAAATTCTTCAAAATATCATGCAAGAGATGACAGAAGAGAATATAGAAATCAACTGAATGATATAGTTTTGTGAGTATTATAAGAACAAGATCAAGACTGTTTATCTCAAGTCACTTGACAAGAATAGACAGATAGCAGATAATTACTACTGCTTTCAGTACTTTTATAGTCTTATAATTTAATGCTTTTTTTTACTTCTTTGCAAGTGCAGTTATTGAATTTAACTAATTTGTTGAGTGCTTGCACTGCTGTATTTAGTTGAGCAAGAAAATCAGTCAGTATAATATTACATCAGAAAACACATACAACTTTAATAAAAAAGAATTCCTTCTAGACTTCTGTCATGTCTCAAAGCATCTTATCTCTATTAAAGCTCTACAAGCTGGTAAAAATGTTACAACTTAGAATGAAAGTCAGGAATTTCTCTCACTGCTCTGTTCAGTCTCTACAGATGAGATTGCATTACCTCTAGCTCTTATTTATTAGAATAAATTCAGAGATCTTCAGGATACATGACTGGATGATTTTGATAGAAGCAAATATATCTACTTTGCAGTCTTAGTGAACAGCTGAAGCAATAATAAATATAATCTGGAGTAGTTGCAACAGATTTTTAATCCATATATAAAGACAAAAGCAGGTAGAGCAAGATATCTGCTTCTACTAGATAAGCATTCTTCCCATATAAATATAAAATTTATTGAATATGCAAATCATAAAAGAATTCTGCTGTTGATTCTTCCACTGTACTCTACTCATTATTTGCAGTCTCTTGATGTTGGTGTTTTTGGGCCACTGGACAAGACATATTTCAGCAAGCTGGAATCTCTATTATATTATGGACTGAACTATATTTAAATGACAAAAAAAGATTTCTGGAGATTATTCAATGCAGTATGAAAGAAGACTTTAACAGATGATAATATATGTGCTGGCTTTGCAAAGACTAGTATTTATTCTCTGGATCTCCAGTATTAACTAAGCTGATTTGAAACTACTGATCAACAAGGCTCTGCACTACTAGTTAAGTCTTCCATCTCTATAAATATACAGAAGCTTTATTAAGAGATTAAGAGTATTCATCTTCAGCACAGCTTAAATTCACAGAGTATTAAATAGATTATTAAAGTCAGCAAGTAATTTGCAATACAAAATAAACTGCTAGAGCATGAAAATCAGACTCTAAAATTAACTATTATAATGGAGAAACAGCACTGCAAGCAAGATAAGTCTCTAGATCTACTTAATTATAATAATTCAAGCCAGATTCAGTTCTGAAGTCCTATAAAAGTTCTGCAGGCTCAGGAATATCAGAATGAAATAGAAGCTGAGAAAGCTTATAAAATCACTCAAACACAAGAGATAAAGCTTCAACAGAAGCTCCAAAGAGAGCAGACAGCTAGAGAGACTGAAGAAAAATAAATTAAATAAGAGACTGTCTATATGAAGATCTACAAGCAACAAGAGACTGAAAAGCTTGAACATGCTATATAATAAGAGATCCAGCATGTTGCCCATGAGAAGAAAAAGACTTTACAACAAGCAGAGAAGAAGAGACAGACTGTTAAATATGCTAGTAAACACCAGCAGTTAGAGCTTCAAGCACCAGCTTTAAAGTGCTGTTGGCAGAATCTCTCTATAAAAGAATCTTGTCACAGCAAGCCTATACAATCTTCTCAAAGTAGTAGTAAGAGCTTTACTAGCCTCCCTAACAAGTCTTTAGGCTCTCTAGCTGAGAAATCTACTGCTGATATTTCTTTACAATCTTTCCTATCCACCCCCCATATCTCTCACTCTGGCTGCAATATCAGGCCGTCCACACATTTATTTTCATAGCCATACTAATTTCTATGCTTTAAAGAACATACTCATTTAATATTTAATAGCTAGTTTAATAATAATAATTCATTGTTGAGATAATTAATAAATTTGTAGTGTGGAGCATTGGAAGGAATTTGGCTTGTTGAGTGGTTTGGCTTGTTGAGTGGTGAGCCACCTTACATATTTAGCGCGTAATCAGCCCTCTAAGTCCCTTCAACTTTTGTGGTTGCGTGAAATTTCACGTACCCTCGCACATATACATGACTGTTGTGTTATCGTGGCAGACATTGCCAATCGCAATTTCTCCTTGCTTCGGACCTATCTATCTGTTTTTGCGACTTTACCGAGTCATCCATTATGCCTCTGGGTACCGACATGGAGACAGTTGACGACAATGGATACTCAGTTCAAACGGTTATTGGTCTGTTAGGGGCTGTAATCTATGAGATTGTGACGGGAGAGCGTTGTCAATTTGACCTCTTCAAGGATCTGCCACTGGAAGCTTGCCGAGCTACTTGGCCCCCGCGGACATCTCTACCTAGCACACAAAACATTTGGCCTGGAGCGATCATTGAGAAATGTTGGACCAAAGGTGCATTTCAGAATGCGGATCGCTTGTCAGATGCATTGGATTCCATCAACCTGGACGATCAGTCTACTCCGGGAAATGGGAGATACGATTGTTGCGAGCCTGGAAAGAATGTATCAAGGCAATATATCACCAAGCTCGCGGTCGCATTTGGTGCTATTACAATTCTCGCCACCTGGGTTTGGAGATGGTCTTCAGTTATCCGGAGTCGAGCTGAGGGGTATCGGCGAGGATAAACGGGTGATACTGGAACTATCAATCTGAAGGAACACCGTCTGGCAATTCTTATGCAGCAACACGGTTTCTCGAATTGGCCCTCCTGCACCGCGTGCGATCCTTCAAACAACACAGCAAGCTTCATGTCCTGTGTTTCAGTACTTACACGAAATGGGCCGATTGAGGATGGAGCCTGTGCAAACTCTATCTGGCAAGGACAAGCTCGTAGCTGCAGCCTCCGTCGCTCGGATAATACCTATTCCTTATATACGGGCTTTGCTTTTTGGATCAGAGAAACTTATAAATGATAAGGAGGCTGAGGCCAAAAGGGTTTTGGGCTGAGGATAGATATGGCTGGGGAGGGGTAAAAGTGGGATCTGGGCAAGGCATAGGGTTTGAGATGAAGTCTTGGAAGCCATAGGCCCGCCTGGGGAGTGTGTACCTTTTCTGGCTTTACATGCGGGTTCTGCGAGACCTCTGGCGGGAGGCATATACGAGAGATGTATTAGAAGTCTCCATCGAGAACTAAGATATCAATTAGAGCAACGGATTAGCTAAAAGCACTGGGCAGCCGTTTCCGTTGTTCATCAACCCACTGTGTCTCTAATTCAACGTCGAACAGTTTTCCTGGTCCCACAAGCCTTGGTAATCAGGACTATTCCCGCAACCCACTGTCCCGCTAAGGCTGGCTCTAGCTGCTTGATCTCCCCGCTATTTTTGGCATCAAACCAGACTGACTGTGTGCAGAGCTCGACCTTGACTGTTAAACTCAATACGCGAAACCCATGGAGGATCACCATACTGCTACAAGCCAGAATCAATGCCCGTCTTCAATCTTAACACCAACTCTAGCCCGGGCCTTGCTCATGGGTTGATGATTCGCAATGAAGGCAATTGGGTGTGAGCACAATAGTCGAGATTGAGGTGATGGCGCAATAAGCATATAAGGAGTGAAAAGGCACCCCCAAATCCAGAGGCATTTGCCAGCATGGCTCCTGTCGGAAACATAACCGGTGCAACCGAAGTCAGAGTCGAAAGCAGCCCAGGACAATGGGTTCACGGTCTTCACTGGTTGAACATCATAGATTGACAACGACCTTCACAATTGAGAAACTATGACAGCTGCACCTTGCTCCGGTGGTGTGGATGAAGCTCGTCGATCAGCAGAACGGGTAGCAAAGCGGCCCTGGGTGCCATGAACCCGGTGCCGATCTTGCCTCGTGCATCGGACCATTGGAATGGACCCATTATCTTCCGCAGCCATTCAAACCACCACCACCCACTGTTCCCAAGCCTTCTTGTCAACCACTCCTCATAACAGCCTACATACAGAAAATGGATTCAATCACGCAGCACAGAGTTACCCAGGAAGCAGAAAACTTCATTGCCTCCATTGACCCATCTGCTGTTTGTGACCTGGCATCCTCCTTTCACCCGGCGAAGAAGCAGTGTCGCATATTCGGTGATGTGAAGAAAGGTGGCTTTAATGTCTGCTTCCCTGTTCAATTTACGGGGGATGCGGCTGACGACAGCACCCCTGAGCGATGGATGATACGCATTCCGATCCTACCACGCTTAGCTTTTCCCAAGGAAAAGCTTCGAGGCGAAATCGCGACAATGAAGTGAGCTTTCTGTCCCTTGTTGCAGGTTACTCTTGAATATTTCTTATTAACGAGATTAAACTACTTTAGGTTCATTGCGGAGAAGACAACAATACCTATTCCACGCCTACATGGATATTCAATAAATTCAAAAAATCAGCTTGGTCTCCCATTTATGCTGCTTGAGTTTATTGAGGGCAAGCCCTTGTTTACCGTGGAAGTCCGCAAGCTTCCGCGACCACAGAAGCGTGAGCTTTTTGCGAAACTGGGTGACATTTACATCCAGCTGTTCCAGCATAAGTTTGACCGAATCGGTGCTCTTACTTTGGATGCAAAGGACGAAAATTGGGTTTTCGATCATAATCGACCACTTTCAGTATTGATGAATGATCAGACCCTTGCGGGAATTAAGCCTCACTTCATAGGGCCTAACCAGACATTTCAGTCAACCATAGACTATGTTTATGCAATTCACCAGGCCTTACTCGATGACTTCTACCAAGGAAAGGACAGCATTATCAATGAAGAAGATGCCCGCTCCTATCTCTACAGCTTGCACAGATCCCGCCAATTTCTGATGGAGTGGGTGAAGCCTGAGCATAATCATGGGCCATTCATATTGAATCATGGTGATCTCCGGTCTGCTAATATACTTGTTGATGATGACCTGAATATCTTGTCTGTCCTAGATTGGGAGTGGAGCCACACCATCCCTGTCCAAATGTTTGTTCCTCCATCCTGGCTTGATGGACTTGAACTGGTTGGAACTGCGAAGATGCCAGGTCGACTACTCTACGAAAGCTTGCTCTTCACCTTACGCATGGAGACACGACGGCGGGAAAGAAAATATCATCCTGAGTGCTTATCCCTTGATGACCTGCCACTTGCAAAGATTTGGAGAGAAACACTTGAATCTCCTGCCGTTTTCATTGCACTTGGATTGTTGCAGCCACTTTATTTTGGCAATATATACTGGTCGGTGCTGGAATATGACTATTATGGGAATGAAAGGATACATTACAGGAAGAGGATGGAAGACTTCTACAGCCTGGAGATACATAAAGCAGAACTAGAAGCCGTGCAGCGGAAACTTCAAGAACTTGAGCTATTCGAACAGGAATGTGATAAGCTCGGAATCCAAAGAGAACAACAGAACATCGAACAAACAAACGGTCCTTCAAAAGAAGCTCTCAAGTCTCCCAACGTCAATTCTCACGCTCGCGCATCATTGTCCTGTTTGAGAACTAGCCTCAAAAGCCTTGCTCTGCAAATATCGCTCCAGGGGCAAACCACGAGCCATACACGCTGGGCATTAATCGGGAGCACACTTATTGCAGCTTGCTATCTCTTCATGACACGGAAGAGAAAGTGATTCTGCTTCCAAGCGGCCGGCGTATTTCTATTTCGGCGTCGGCGTACTTTAGGGTGTTTATGATTGCGAGAGGAGTTCGATGGAGGATTCAATAGCAGCAATTCTCTGCCTGGTGTTTGCGAGCTCTTGCTGGTACTGGGCTATCTCCTGGTCAATTGAGAGAGTTGTTCCGCCTGACCGACCGTCGCGAGCTTTGCGAGCGCTCGTTGAGAGCTGTTCCAAATCTTCCCGCCGTGTTTGGAGATCACCTATGAAGGCGTCCAATTGGCCTTGGCGCGTTTCAAGTTGTTCGAGTTCGGTTTTCTTTGCCTCTAGTTCAGCAACGATATCCCGGCTTCAGGTTCGCTCTGTTGACATCTTTAGAGACTTCAAGGCAAGGGTAGTTGGTTGATTGTATCAGATTGGTAACGGATCGGATCGTAAAGGGTAATAATGTAACTATGATTGCAACTGCAGTTAATAAGAAAACTAGTATGAAGGGATTGTGGTGGAATGGCCAGCCTTTTAATCACAAACTCAGGGCAGTCCAAATCGATATTTCTCATCTACCCCGCACTGAAAAATTTGCCTGCAAAATTTAGGCAACTGTTGCCTTGGGATAGTCCTATGAGAAGCCATAACAGAATATGCAGCAGCACTTGGCCGCCTGATTTGGCCCTCGGGCCTCCAGTCACGGGATAATTGTCACCTTCCAATAGCATAAATGCATCAGACCCAACAGCCCTAAGGCTGCGCATGCGAGGATACGGCTTGCACGATGTCGATCTGAATGGCGTGCCATCAAATGTCGGAGGGATGCTCGCCGGGGGAGTTGTTCTAGAGAAGCCGGCAATGAGGCTGAGGACGGCTTTCCAGATCTCAATGTCAGGGGCAAGTTGAATTACCAGGAGTACTAGTGGGCGATAATCATCGTAATTGAAGCGGCCTTGTTGAAGACTCTTGAACAAATCTGCTAGATCAGAAGCCACATTTTGACTGAACGCTCTCGAATGAAGATTGTCTGCCGCCTCCTCTGCTTGCAGTATAGAGAGGAGTCCACTGCCCTTTTATAAGTGTGGTCCCCGCCGTCGACGGCACCATCATAGGGCGATATTCGTGGCTGCTCCGCTCGGAGCAAGTCCCGTACACGGTCAAGGGAGTCACTTAAGGGCTATTTTGTAATGATAGCAATTTCACCTTGCGATAGTTCCGCCATAGGTTTCGAAACGCCCAAGCCTGAGACTGAGTTGATTCGGGCCATGTTAACCGTTTATGGGTGCTCGTTCTTTACCAAGAGCAATACAAGCCATGTGAGTATTCGGCCCGACGATAATCCAGTGTAATTTTCGAACAAGCGTCTGGTAAGGCAACAACGAATCGACAAGGATCGGCAAAGAAAGAAGAATTCTGTCGGTTGACGCTCCGGAAGGCAGCCAACCAAATGGCCTTGCCAGAAGGAAGAGTCGTGTTCATCCCTGGGCTGCAGAAGATGCATTTGCTAACGGGACGGCCCGGAGTCATCGTGTGCTGTGCCCTGCTGTTGTGTCACGTGGTAGGCTGATCCTGGGTGGAAAAGAAGTTTGCTAAAGTGGCTGCGTAGGAGGCGCCTAACATCTCCCCGGATCCGCCGTATTTGTCATAGAGCTGCTCGACATCTCCTTGCATTCGCCTGGCAATGTCAATTGCTGCGTTGGTCATGAGAGAAGCGCACACCAGGTCGACTACTCCAGATTGATATCCTTCCCATGTACGCAGAATGACTGTTCGGAGATTGTGGTAGTCATGAAGTAGGAGATTAAAGCCAAGGTAAGCCTCTTCAAAATCCTGGAGATGTTCTGCTTCAAAGGTAACCTCCTGCTTCGCTTTGGTGCTGGATGTAGGAGTAAGATTTGGAGCATGGTGAATCCCTTCAGATGGCTCCTGAACCTCAAGGTGGTCAAACTTGTTTGTCACATTCTTCAAGATTGTGGGTGGCTCTTCCCCAACTGGTTTACTTAAAGGACCCTTCACTTGGTCACTCCCCATTTGAGAATGCAGGACATCCCGGACATGTTCCAGTATCTCAATGAAATGACTGTGTCGGTCATCGGCTGCTTTGGATTTGGCGTCCCTGGGAAGATGAGAAGTGACTTGTGTCCCATGATCACGTCGAATGGAAATAGCCCGGTCTAGGACTGTCATGATGCTCGCCGGAATATTGACGGGAGGATTGGTGGTGGCGGCAATATAGTTTGCCAAACTGACAAATTCTTTGGCTGCAATTGTGTGCGTGGGAAGTTTGGGGGTTGCAGAAGTTGGGGCAACAGAGGAAGATTTATTCTCACGCGCCTGTTTTCTTGCCTTGCCTTTCAATCGTTTGGACGGCTCATGGTGGTTGCTTGTGGGTACGGGTCTTCCTGTCAGCGCGCCAATTGTGAAGCGTGTCAAGCGGAATTAGATGCAGGTTGATCGGAGCAGCGAAAACAATGACTATCATGAGGTGCATGGGAAGCGTTTTATGTAATGGCATTGGTGGGAGCACACCTCTTTTTGGGGCTCCCACTAGGTTCACGGTACCGTGAGTATTACGTAATACATAGGGATTATGTAATCCCTAACCATCCCCTGAACGCCATCAATGAGTAACTGCAGCCAGCATATTGAGCCAATTATAGCTCAAAGCTCCCTCCCGAGCTCAAGTACAAAACAGGAACCAAGTCAATTCAAAGTCATTGAAGCTCAAGCAGCACAAGCCCATTGTCCAAATAAATGTACAAATTGTGGTGTAACTGGTCATAAAAGGACCTCAAGGGTATGCCCTCTACAGCATTCAGATGTATTATAATTCAATATAACTGCTTCTTGCGTACGGAGTATTTGAATTTGAATTCAACCTGCTGTTTGCAGGCGTTGGCTGCAATTCTCATTGGCGTTCAGGGGATGGTTAGGGATTACATAATCCCTACGTATTACGTAATACTCACGGTACCGTGAACCTAGTGGGAGCCCTCTTTTTGCTTATGTAATTTCTTTCTTTGGTCATGTGACGAAAGATTTACCTTCCAAGGCGAGCAGTTATTAGCATCCATTTTACAGCCACTCCTTCCGTTGGCTCTTCCAGTGTGGAAAGATATCAGTCATTTGTTTACAGTCGATTTTTAAGGGCTTTGAATTTCTAAATGTCACCATAGTTGAAATTTAAAACTATAATCCCTCTTTCTGGTGATTACTATTCTATCAAGGGAGCCAGGGGCCGGAATAAGAGGACATAAAAAGCTGGATTCTTCCAAACAGAGAGGGAGGCTAGCTACTTATGCGTTAGCACTGCCGCAGCTTTTTCTGACGGGATGATCTCCTGGGCTCTGGAAAGGGGGTCGTTCTCTCTTGGATGCTACAAAAGATGGTATTTCCAGAGTTGAACCGGGAGCCAATGATCGACTCCATAATCATGAGGTGCTGGTACGGGACAGTGGCAGAATTGGCGGCAGATACAGAAAAGCTATACGGCATGAGCAGTGAGGCTTCCAGAGGCAAGATTGAAGGAGTTAAGTGTTCGGCACCCATATCTGCGGACGACTTCACATCGCGGAGGAAATTGTGTGAAGATTTAGTCAGATGCGGAATCTCTAAGGCTCTCTCTTTGCGGAACCCCCGACAACTTGGGCTTCCAATAAAACGCAGACATGTTTGTTGGGAGCTACTACAGGAGTAAGACATTGCATGTATTCATTAAGCTTCGTTACTGAGAGAACAGATACATTTCATGCCACAAAACATCACGAAATTTCCGACAAATCTGATCCCAACATTTGAAGGTTAATGGCAGAATTGCCTCAGCGACCTATATCCATCTTCACCAACATTCTCCGATCGCAGCCATTGACGTCTCCAGTGCACGAAGTAAACCACTAGGCTGTCAGAAATGCCTCTCTTTGTCACAGATGAAATATGGTCCAGGAGGTCAGGAATATCACATTCAACAACCAAAGAGACATGATGCCGGTCCATTCTGTTGATCATATCTGTACAGCACTTCCAGCTTTGATCTTGCTGCAGGCTCTCTCCCTTCATGCAGAAGTGGAACAAAGGCAGGCAGAAGAGCAAGAGAGAGAGAAAAGAGTGCACAGTCAGCTAACAACACTCAAGGAGCTCATCAAATAGGGGCGACAGCAAGCACGCGGCCGGAAACAGCGGCCTCTGCCCGATCCGGTGTAGCGCCGTCCGTGTCCGGCCTAGCCCGGGCGGGGCCCGATGGGTCCTGATGTGGTCTGGCGCTGGCCCCGTTCGGGCATGGTGCCAACCCGCCAGCCACCTCGACTCTCCAACGTCATCCGTCACGACTATATAAAGCTGTCTTGACTGCCTCCCTCGCACTTCTGCCATCCTTATTTCCCTTTCCCCCCTTTCATCCATTTCCTTTCCTTCTCTCCTCTGCCCCTGCCGTCTTGTCTTTCCCCCCGTCCTTTGAGTTCCGGTTTCATATCCCTAACCACTGCCTCTGCGTCACCGCCCACCCGTCCATCACGCTGATTTGGTCGCCGCCGTTCGAAGGTTCTTTTTTATATCTGTTATATGTGTCCTTACCTTACTGTTCCTTCACTCGTGGGGCCTCTCTGTTGAATGGCCAGGAAAACAACCTTGTCCTTTGCTTGACTTGGATGAATGCCTGGGGCAACCATAACTGACATACAGGCTCTCAATACACCAACACTTCTGCTTTCCCCAAAATCCCAGTTCCTAGTAGTAGTGAAAGAAAGGCCATCACTCAAGTGAACATTTCAGTCTTGGCTGGTAAGCTATCAATTGCTTGCGCACAGGGAACAAACGGCTTAATAAAGTACTTGATAGCTTGAATCTTGCATTTTACATTGACCATGACCACAGCTTCCACTAATCAAGCACCAACCGCCATGGACAGCGATAATCCTATTCTGAGTATCTGATATTAGGGTGTTATCTGTTAATATTCAAAGACAATTGATAAGATATAGATGCTATACTGTTGGAAAACCACCAACGCCGGGCCTCGAGAATGCACCTGGTTTACAGGCCCGCATGTTGTTAAAGCCGAAATCATCCGGATCTTTGAGGCCATAGCCGTGTCCGCAGTGATTGGCTTCCGAATTTGGCACGAAACCAATGGTTTCGAGACTTTACGATCGTCCATTCACCCAGATCTTCGGGTAACTCATTCCATACCTCCTTGGGAGTCGAATGTCGAGGAAGGGTATGAACGATCCCCCTTAGGCGGAGAAAACAAGTGGCTGAATTCCATAGCTGGGGAGGGCGGTGAGGTTTTTATCCCTGAGGATCTTGACCCTGAATGAAACAATGTCCAACGAGAAGTTTACGTTCGATTTCGGTCGAACATGGAATATCGGGCGGGGCAGGAACCATATCATGTTGCCGCTATTGTCTAAGGTGCGGCTATACGCTTCATTGCCGATGCCGAAGGAGCAAACAGCTTTTGTTTTTGCTCACCGAAAGAACTGTCAGCGGAGTTTTGTGGTTGTTTTAGCTGCCCTGGAATGCTTATTGAGGGATTTATCCATGCCAAGGTCTCTCAATGTACGCCCAAAGAGACATGGCAACATATTGGTGACGATGCGGTTCGCGTTGTCCATGTTGTTTCAAATTGTGGCGTCCTCAAATGTAACATCGTGGTGAGAAATTTCATCCTGCGTTAAAACCTAGAAACTGAAAGGTTTCAAGGTATCTGTGATCTTTTTTGCTCGTGTACTTTCCTCAATAATTACGAGGATCAAAAGAGCTGGTGGAGTGACAAATTCAAGCAAGCCGAAGAAGGTAGCGTTAGGAGTTTAATGGAGCGACCTTTGGGCGATGGCTTTGTATGCAGACAATCAGAATTGATCAACCAACTGGATTGTGATTATCAAATGTCACAGCAAGTCAAGTCATAGCTAGAGCAAACATGTAGTTGGTTCTCACAGGGCCCCTTGGTGTTTATGGAGCCGAAAGACAAAACGAAACAGAAACTTATGTTCAATGGAAACAAGTTGAATGCAAGATGTATCTTGCGGACAGCCAAAGTCCGTAGCATGCATATGTGAACAAGAATCATAAGATGAAGCTACAAATTTCATCTTTTCAAATTGAACCATGTTGACAAAAATGGGTTTCAATATCGAATGTAGAAACGGGCACAGCAAGGGTATATAACTTACTACGAGTCGGCATATCAACCAAGTCAATATCCGCAACACCTTAACTCAGTGCCGCCAATTGAGCAGCCAATCCTCCCTTATCATATTTGACATATTTTCCTCTGCCCTTATCGATCTCGTGATATCGGTCCCAGAACCTTGCATAAAGAGGCTCAATCAAACTCTGAACCTCTTTGGCCAGAGCAGTCCGCACTTGACGTTCTATATAATACGATTGATGACGCGCGATCAAGTCTTCAAAGGAGGAGTTAAACGCCTTAAACTTGTCTTTGATGACGTCTCTATCTTTTGACGATAGCGACTTGACAATGGCGGTGGAATCGACGGGACCACCAGAAGTCGGTCGGGCACCTCGACTTGTATACTGCACATCAAGGAGCTGGGAGGATGGTTCTCGCCATGCGTCGATGTATATCGACACAGCTTTTTTGCGCCATACCTCAAGACGAGATTCATTTTCTGGGGTTGAAAGATACTTAGAGAGTTCGCTGCTGCTGCGGATTGACCGATCAACGACGCATACGCAGTTGGAAAGGAAGACTCCAACAGTGGACTTTGTTCTAAGGAAGCTTCTTGCTCGAAGATCAAGCGCTGAAAGCAGGGCATCTATCATGTCGAGGATGAAGTGGGAAAGGATGGTCGAGCTGTCGGGGTTGACATCGAGGGGGGTGTTGTTAGTCGAGCTTGACGGTTTCCAGTTTCCGTCGCCAAGAGAGGTAAGAATGGAAGCGAGAGGCGCTGAGTATGCCGTTAAAGTGGATAAAGAGCTCATGACCTCGTTAACTAGTGGCACTGGAGCGCCATCGTTGGGAAGTACGGAGATGCTGGACGCCTTTCGGCGGGTTTCTTCCAACAGCTCAGACAGCGATGATTTCGCAGTCTCCCGAATGGGCCGAAGGGCCTCGAAAAATAAATTCTTTAACTCTCCTGTTTTCGAGTCTAGGCGATACGACAAGGAGGTAACGATTTCAATGATCTCAAACGCAAGGAAGCAATCGGTCATTAGGTTGGATTTGATGTACATGTTCAGCTCCCGAAGAGTTTTGGAAAACTCTGCAAGGGCTGACCGACATGTGGACTGTAATGCTTTTCCCTGTTGATCTGGTGGAAATATACTGACTACACTCTCATATTCGGCAGCGAACATCCCCTCGATACCGGTGGCATAGACGCCAATACCGTTGGTTCCCTGTTTATAAGGGCCATCTGTCGGCCGCCGTTTTGCGGTGCTAATGGATGCCGTTGCAAGATTTTGTAGGCTGGACGTGAGATAAGGACCGCGGGTTTCGGCATATATTGTTATCGCGGGGTTCTCATTTTGCGACCCGGGATTAACGTTTTTTGAGGCATTGGAGATTGCTGTACAAAGGGGAGCTAAATCTTCGGCCTTGTCACTGGGAATTGACGGAAAAGCAAGCTCTAGTTGTGGTATTAGCAAAGAGCTTTCCCCCAATCGGAATGCTCACATAGACTCACGTTTAGTAAGGTAATGGAGTGGCTCCAAGGTACCAACATTTTCTTGGAGAATTGAGCGATACAGACTCTGAATTTGCTGGCTGCCCGTGCTCAAAAGGGCGGTAAAGTCAGAGATGGCCTTTTGATTTGATCGAAGCTTCGTAGCGTGGAGGTCTGTAAGGGCAATATTGATCCGATTCAAGGCTCCAAGGTATTGGGTTAATCCGGCATCCTCAGGACTGGGCTACTGTTAGAAGGCCTCACGAGCACACCAATTGATAGAAGGAAAGCATCATACCCAGCACGAATGATAGATTCTTCCCTGCCCTTGACATCTAGGGGTCGGCGAAGTCTTTCAATTGCCTCATTTATTTTATCAATGTTGGTACTGGTGACCTGTAAGCTCTGGGTATTATTGTAAATAGGCCCAATGGCATCTTTGACGACATTTCCGCTGGCCTCTAGACGCAATAACGATCCCTGAATTCTTTTTGTGAGGCCGTTGAGTTTGTCGAGGTCCGCATAGAGAACTTCCACCTCCGCGCTTTCTTCCGCATGCACGGCATTTCGTGGGGCGACCATGGTACCTAAGGGAAAGAGACGGGTCAGTGCTGGATCTCTCCGACGCACGTTTGTCTGGGGTATGGACAGAGGAGAGAATGCTAGAGCTAGTTGTAGTCGAGTAAGTACTCACTTAATGTCCCGGGATGTGTCGGTCATCGTCCACAGAAACATTGGCCGTCTACCGTGCGAGCTCGCTGCCGCGCAAACACGTTTTCACGGGGAAATGAGATCACGACCGCAGGTGTCGCGTCTGCTTGGCATCCGGATCCGGGATAGCGCCATTTTTGGTACAGGGAGGACGGGAAATCTTATCTCCGACGCAGCTGACTAAAAATTCCTTCAGCGTGGCAAATGAGGTCATCGCGAGGCACGCTGGGTCTAGCCGTCCCAACAACCCTCTCAACCCATTCTTCCCTCCCCCGCATTGATGGACATTGTAACACAATCCAGTCTGGCAGTGTCCTTGCCGCAATGGGCGCTGCCAGGATATTATCAGCAAAGTGGAAATGGTCATTGGGAGCTGGCCTACTTCTGAGCAGTGGGTGTTCCGTGTCCTTGTTTACCAAGGGACCTCCAGTAAACTGTGATTCAGGGCGCAACATTGGGACTTGGACAAGCCGGGACCGCATACCTCCATCCCCCTCGAAGCGTGAATCGGATGTCCCGCCAAAAAAAGACACTCACGAGGATCGCGCTCCAGCAGAGCATCTTTCAGCGGATCAGCTTTCAGCATGGGAAAAATTAACGCAGAAACTCGGGGTTACGAAGGACCCCTTCAGTCCTGCGGAGTGGACGGAACATTTGAAAAGCTACATTATACCGACATGGACGTCGCTACTTCCAGAGAAACTACAAAATCTCCAACGGGAGCTGTCTATGGCTCCAGGATCCCTGGCAGATGAAATATGGAGGGAAGCCCAAGACGCAAGCGTAAATCCGGAAATAACCAGGGAAGCCAGAGTTCGAATTAGTGAGGGACTATGCCGTCAGGAGCAGTACTTCCAATGGCGACGCCGTCGAGCGGTCGCGAAGAGGTTGGCGACATATCTTGGCCTTAAAGAAGAGGTCCACCCAGACGATGTACCAGTCATTGCAATGTGTGCGTCTGGTGGTGGCTTGCGTGCGCTTGTTGCAGGCACTGGCTCATACCTTGCTGCTAAGGAAGCCGGACTCTGGGATTGCACTATGTACACTGCTGGTGTCAGTGGGTCTTGCTGGTTACAAGCGATCTATCACTCTTCACTTGGGAGGCAAGACTTCGACACAATGATAAAACACCTCAAAAGCAGACTTGGAGTTCATATCGCCTTCCCACCTAATGCCTTGAATTTACTAACGACTCCGCCAACGAATAAGTATCTACTCAGGAGCTTGGTGGAAAAGTTAAAGGGCGATAAAGATGCAGATTTTGGCCTAGTTGATATCTATGGGCTTTTATTGGCTTCGAGACTGCTCGTGCCTTCCGATGGAGACATTAGCCCTCTAGACCGAGACCTCAAGTTATCCAACCAGCGATTGCACGTTGATCCTGGGGCGCAGCCTTTGCCTATATACACTGCTGTTCGCCATGAGATACCTGAAGTTTCTGGTTTAAAAGACGAAGATGAGTTGGACGAGGCGCGCAAACAGGCTAAACGGGAAAGTTGGTTCCAATGGGTTGAATTTACACCACATGAATTGTTTTGCGAAGAGCTGGGAGCGGGCATCCCGATCTGGGCGCTGGGACGGCAGTTTCAAGGTGGCAAAGACATTCCACCACCGCATGGGTATTCAAGTCCTGAGTTGAGGATTCCCGCTTTAATGGGAGTCTGGGGAAGCGCGTTCTGTGCGACTTTAGCCCATTATTACAAAGAAATACGTCCAGCACTGGCGGGAATATCGGGGTTCAGCGGAATTGGTTCTCTTATAGAGGAGAGAAATGAGGATCTATCCCGGGTGCATCCGATTGATCCAGCAACCGTGCCCAATTTTGTGTTGGGATTGGAGGGTAAATTACCCGAGTCTTGCCCAGAGTCCATTTTTAAAGACTCTCACCTGCGCCTGATGGATGCAGGAATGAGCAATAACCTACCTATTTATCCATTGCTACGTGCGGGGCGAGACGTCGATCTCATCATTGCATTTGACGTTTCGGCAGATATCAGGGAGGACAACTGGCTCTCTGTGGTCGACGGCTATGCCCGCCAGCGCGGCATAAAGGGCTGGCCAATGGGAGCGGGATGGCCAAAGAGTGAAGTTCCGCCCGAAGAAACGGCATCCGTCCTTGAAGTTGCAGAGAAGAGCCAAGAGAGGACCGAGCGCCTTCAGCAAGTAGGTGCAGGGACCTCTGATCGAGTGCCAAAGTTCCCAGCCAGATTTGAACCTGGCATGGCTGCCGACCTTACTTATTGTAATATTTGGATTGGCACTATGGAGGAAAGGACATCGGCGAAGGAACCACCTCCATCTAAGAGATTGTTATTCCCAGATTCAGGGGAGGGTCAGGATTCTGACTTCCATCTTATGAGGCCCGACGCTGGGATTGCAGTCGCTTATTTCCCGTTACTCCCGAATCCTATGGCTCCTCCTCTTGTTTCCAAACCCAAAAACTCCGAATCCGGTGGCAAAGACTCAAAGAGGGCCGGATCGACCAACACCGACTCCGATACTGGGAAGTCTGGCGACACCGTTCCGCTAGATCCGGCTAAAGACGACTTTATGAGCACTTGGAATTTTGTATATACTCCGGAGCAAGTCGATGCTGTGGTTGCTCTAGCAAAATCGAATTTCGCCGAGGGCGAGGACCAAGTGAAGCGAGTAGTCAGAGGGATATATGAGCGGAAGAAGAAGGCGCGGTTAGACAGGCAGAGGGAAGAAGATCTGCAAGGTCTCAGTCAATTCTCGTAGCATCGTGCATAGCAAGATTCGTGGTAATTCAATACATTTAGTTTTACACTGAACATAGTTTGCGAGCTATCCGGTCATCCCTCTGTTCAGTCAATCGAATTGGGAGAGAAGTAGTTCACTTTCGTAGAGGCCCACTGAGCAGGCGCAGGGTGCGAATCACGTGATCGTGAGAGAGCGCCTCCGGACAAAATGTCGCTTTTGTGAGAGAATAGACCACCATATCCTCAGTGGCTTGCGGGCTCTTGAATATGTCGACGCAGATTTTTTTTGTGGACGGGCTATGGCTTTGCCTTCGCCCATCGTTTAGCAGCTTTGTTCGAGTTCCTGCCGCGTTTCCGTTGTCGAAGAAGGCCTGCAAATTTCACTGGAGCCGTTCTTTAAGCAGGCCGGTCTCAATCGCAACGAAACCTCAACATGATGCCTCGCAACACGATCAAGACTTGCCAGAGGATTTAGCATTTACTCAAGAAGAGCATGCAAGCGTGCCACATGGGGATATACATTCCAATGCCAATCCCGCTACCTCACAAGGCGACTTCTCACACCACGGGGTGACTCGTCCCAAAAGGCCTGCTCGAAGGCTAGGCTCCGAACCCCAAGAAGTATATGAGGCAAGAATACGAATGCGACGACGGAATGTTGGTTCAAATGTCGAGCTACAAACCAAATCTACGGACGTCCTTGAAAACATGTTAAACAAGGTAGTTGGGAACAGGCCGAACCACACAGCTGCTCTGCGAGTTCTCAATGAATTGATCGAGCGCCGACATATAAAACCGCAAATACAGCACTATCGGGCATTGATGCTGGCAAACGCTGATGCAATGTCTGGGTCAGCGGTACATGTGAAGAGAATTTTAGAGGAGATGGAGGAGGTTGGAATTCCGACCGATTCGGCGACCCTGCATGCTGCGTTAAGGGTAGGCCCTCTATTTATTAACGCTATAACACCTGGGACGGATCCCTCGTTGACATCCTTGTTGTGTGTTCTAGGCCCTTGCTATTCATCCAGATTATTTGCTTCGTCAACAGGTCCTGCACACCCTTCGTGATCGGTGGTTATCGCTCAGTCCCGCTGGCTGGCACAATCTTGTAACCGGTTTGCTTCGCGACAGGAACTACGAATTGGCATTGGATAAGCTTGAGCGAATGGAAGTTCAGGGCATCCAAGTCAAGCCGTGGCTGTATGCACTTGTCGTTTACAACTTGGCGGATGCCGAAGAATTCGACGAGGTATTGAACCTGATGGAAACGCGTGTCGCAGAAGGGCAGCAGTTTTCGACGAATCTTTGGTTCCATATGCTTGACAAGGCGAGTGCTGCATTGCATCAGGGTTTAACGAGCTACATATGGAAACAACAAGTGCTGCGGGGGTACTTGATCCCTTCCTATGGTGTGTGTAGTAACGTGCTCGCAATCTGCGCTCGCACGGGCGATGTCGAATTGGCAATTTCGGTGTTCGATGTCCTAGGCCAGCGCAACGCTACCTTTACTTTAAACGAGTATGAATCGCTCCTTGACACGTACGTGACGGCTGGAGATGTTGAATCCTCCCTTCGCGTTCTATGTACAATGGAGAAAACGAACGTTGATGTTCGCGAACACTCAACTCGCTCTCTTCTATCCTCCTTGCTTCCATCGGATACGGGAGTCAAAGACGTCTGGCAGACGCTCAAGAGGTTCAAAGAAGAGGAAAACATGAGTATTCCTCTTGCTGCAGCGAACCTGGCGGTTGAACTCGCCGCTCACAAAGGCGATGTCGACGAAGGGATGAGCATATACCGTGAATTGCATAATGTTTGCTCCTCTGGCCCAAACACGTTAACCTTCAATCACCTTTTCAGTATGTGTCACAAGGCCAACAGGGTCGACCTGACCAGCTTCTTTCTCCAAGAAATGCAGCTGCTCAAGGTATTACCAAACCGATCCACGTATGAGATTTTGGTTGTTTTGTGTGTGGAGTTGGGATATTTCGAAGAAGGCCGTAAATATCTGCTTGAGATGACACAGTCTGGGTTTTCATTGACGGAAACCGTGAAAGAGCGAATCAGAGCGAAGTGCGCCAAGTCGAATGACGATTCTGCGAAGCGCCTACAATACGATGCTGCAGTGAGAAAGCCGATATCAAGAGGTTTTAGGAAAGTGAAACTTAGGCTACCAATGAAGGGTTCAAGGGTTGAGAAGGACACATCCCCCGCGGCTACTAGCGAAGCTGCGAGAGATGATACTAGTGACAGTGTGAAAGCAGCACCGAGCTAGGGGAACCTCCCAGCAGCTGCTACGAAGAGCGTGGTGGAGTAAGCAAACAAGAAGCTTGGACACGTTACTTTCTAATCCTTCTTGGGAAAAAACTGCTAAAGTTTTGATTTTCATTGTTTTACGGCAAAGAAGTTGCAAATTAGCATCTTGAAGGTCGGTACAGTGGAGCTCGAAATGAGCTTTCCATATTCTGGATGAACGAGTTGCTTCTCCAGTCCTAAGTGCCAAGATTATTAGTGTGGAGCTTATTCAAGATTGGTTAGGTTATCTTCAAATTTGAATGTTCCAGTATGGAACCCAAACATTACTGACCTCACTATAGTTACTGGAAGCATAGTACATGCCACATCCTTTTTTGCATCAAAGTAATCAGAATACACCACGAACAGACATTGTAAAAACATTGTAGACAGACCAACTCGTGGAAAGATGGCACGGAATCTCCAACCATGGAAGCGTGAATTTATTTGCCACATGATTCTTAGTAAATCATTAACTACATCGCAAATGGCCAAGGCTGCTGGGTGTAGCGAGCGTACCATCACGCATATCCGCAAAAACCTCTGGTTATTTGGCAGTGCCAGTCCCCCTCTAATACATGCCGGCCGGCCCAGAAGCATTACGCCTCCAATGCTTGACGCCCTTTGCGATCACCTCACCGAAAAACCTGGCCTATATGTTGATGAGATGGTCGTCGTTCTTCAGGATGAATTTGATATATTAACATCCACAGCCAGTGTTAAACGGGCTCTTTGTCCAGCAGGTTGGACCAAAACATCAAGCGTCGACTATCATGGAATGCGTCAACTTCAAGCCCTTCTCAGGCCCACATGAGTTCAGTGAACTGATGCGTGCGCTTTTTCACATGTATAGGTCAGAAACACCAGATCTGATCTCCTTTGACTGGCTGCAGAAAACATTGGATTTGAAAGTGGTTTGCAAGGACACGACAAAGGAAGAGGTTGGGATTTCAACCCCGCCGAGTCTTGAACGAGCTATCCAGAAATGTGCGAGGATCAACTCCCCAAATTCCCTGGATTTCCTCTGCCCGCCCGCCGACTATAGTTGGGCTGGTTGGATGGGATTAGCTATCGATGACTTGAAAAAAGAAGTTACAATCAAAACTGAAGCAAAGTAAGAGAATAAATAGTTTTCGTCTCTTGCTTTGTGACTTACTGTCCCTCTTTCCTACAGGTGTGATGGTCCATTGTTTTCCATCCTCGGTCAAGGCTTGGCCGCTGACGGCCACCGCCGCGTTCTTGCGCATCGTCTCTTTCGACACCGGCCGGATCACTGGGGCATTATGATCCGAGATCACTCACCATTGAACCAGCACAAGAGCTGTAAGGATTATCTTCTTCGAAGTGAAATAATGGGAATCACTTCGATCATATATCGCCAGATGAATGAAGTACGTTGGGATCCCTCAAAATCCAAATATACGGAGCCGGAAGAATTAATATACTCGGGTGGTCCTTTAATCGTATGTTCATCGCCCATTTCTCCTCCTTTTTAGATGGATGCAACGCTGACATTCCTCTTGGCCACGGTTGTGACCTTTATTCCCGGCAAAGTACGGGTGGTTCAGGCGACTTGCGATCCGTCAAACGCATCCACCTCCCTTACATTCGCACTGAGAGCTTTTTATAATCTTAGCATGTCTTGCTATGACAAGACCACTGCTCAGAAGGTTCTGAAATGGATTCTTTGCCCGCCAAACCCGGCTCAGGGTCTTCCGTGGAGAGGAAAGACAGCATAACGTTTTGGTCAGCTGTTGATGAGGTTGTTGAGGTGACTGCTCTTTTCAGGTCACACTTATTCCTGTTTAAATACTGAGGAGTGCAGCCAAATGATGGTATTATTAATCTTACAAACGCATGCAATTTTCCAGCAGTTAATACCCCGCTCCCTCCCCCCTGTTTTTGTTGGCTTTGGTTGGCATGTTCTCCTGTAGGGTAGAAGCAATGTAATTTCATTAAGTTTTGTGCCTCATAATTGTCTGAAGTTGATGTGTGGCTCTGGTTCATTGTCCACATGGTCTTACTGATGAAAATCACTGAACATTCTCAGGACCCACGCTTTTAAGCAAGAAAAGATGGCACTGAAACTTGTATATCTGGTTAGACAATTTACATAATTAGGGTCTGGAAACCAACTTGGACATGGAAGCCAATTTCGAGCACAACTGTATCTCAATATGCTCTCCGTCGATACTTCATCGGCTGGTAACTATAAGCCTTGTCCATGACAAAACCAAGCGATATAAGAGGATACGAACTTTTTTGGAGCTTGAGCTGTAGATGGATGGGATAAGAATGGGATATTGCAGTATGTGTCAGCACTCTAGCATAGCTTCTCGTACTCCGTACTGTGTCTTTAATTCAACCATAATCATAATCCGTGCGGGGTGAAGTTTGCTCTATTATCCACTAATAATTTCCTTGCGATTGTCTTATGCTTGTCTTTTGCTTGGATAAATCCAAGATTAACATTCAGGGGTTGGAATGACGTCACAGCACTTAGTTCTTATTGTCGTCCAATCTCAGGGTGTCTGAGATATGTATCCCAAAGTTCAGGAATATTATGACAATCGAATTTCACATGATCTTGGATGTGATTCCAGAATGGGCAGAACTTTTGCTGTGGATTATTCCTGAATGCTCAGTACATTAACATACAGAATTTGATTTGAGGTTGACCAGCATAGCTTTCGTGATCGCTTGCTCATGTTGTCCTACCGTGGGTTTTAAAGGGGTCGATCATGAAATCAAATCTCTTTAAATGGTTCGTTACCTGTGGGCCAGTTGAAGTCCAAGAAATCCCAATCCTCTCTTGGGCTATAATGAAGCCCGTAATATGCGGTACCTGTTGGGTCTGACCGAAAAGCTAATTCAGGGCCCTCAGGCGTCAATACTTAGGCAAATCGTGGCTGGGCCGCGACTCAGGCACCCCGAAGCGCGCCTTGATTTATGCTATGTGACAGACGAGAGTATGGTCTTCTCCGTTGCTTTTTTACCTTGCACTGATATACTTTTTTCCAAATAGTCATAGCAACTTCGGGTCCCTCCTCAACGTACCCTCAGCGTGCTTACCGAAATCCAACGGATGCCCTCGTCCGTTTTCTGGATCTAAAGCATGGCGAAAACTGGGCAATATGGGAATTCCGGGCCGAAGGCACCGGTTATCCTGATAAAGAGGTTTACGGACGAATCCACCATTTTCCGTGGCCGGATCACCATCCGCCTCCGTTTTCTCTCATCCCTCCGATGATGGCGAGTATGCGCAATTGGCTCACCAGTAAATCCAAGGGGAAACGCGTCATCGTTGTGCATTGCAAAGCTGGAAAGGGGAGAAGTGGCACCGCTACTTGCAGCTACTTGATTAGCGAACAAGGATGGAAGGCAGCAGATGCACTGAAGCAGTTTACCGAACGTCGAATGAGGGTCGGTTTCGGTCCTGGTGTTAGCATCCCTAGTCAGGTTCGATACGTTGGGTATGTTGATCGTTGGGCAAACAAATACAATAAAAAGTACGTCGAGCGTCCAGTGGAGATCTTGGAAATACACATCTGGGGCCTACGACATGGTTTGAAAGTGCAGGTAGAAGGCTTTGTGGACGAAGGCCGAAAAATAAAATGCTTTCACCGATTCCATCGCAGCGAACGAACCACTATGGATGGAGACAAGGAGACGCAGGGAAAGAACCTGCCGAATGGAAATGCTTTGCTAGCGAAACCTAATAAAGAAGAAACTATCTCGAATCCTCAAGCAACGACAGCTCCGACCCCAGTGGAAACAACTTCTCCGTTCCAGGCCATCACAGAGCCAGAGCCTCTTACTAGGACTGTTGAGAATATCTCCTTTTTTTCCAAAACGCCCCCTCCGCGTGCGGCTTTCTCGTCTGTGCTTCTCCGCCCACATAAACCACTCATTATCCCCACTTCAGATATCAATATCGACTTTGAAAGACGTGCTACAGCCGCCTATTCCGGGTGGACAATGGTTACTTCCGTGGCTCACGTCTGGTTTAATGCCTTCTTCGAGGGTGGGCATGAGCATGACTCTGGAGTGTTCGAGGAGGAATGGGGAAACCTCGATGGAATTAAAGGAACCTCAAGCAAGGGCACTAGAGCATTCGACAGACTGAAGGTAGTATGGAAATACACAGCGCCTTCTCCCGGCGAAGAAGGCGCAATTATTCCTGGCGGTCCACCCCTTGCTGGCCAAGTTGTCTCAGAGCCAGCACCCGGGGAGGAAGTCCATGAAGGACATGCGGCAGACTGGCGCGGGGCGGACGTGGTTGAAGAAGATAATCTGGAATCTGGGGAACAAGCTTCATCAGAATCTGATGAGAACTCTGCCCCTCAAGATACCAACAACAAAGAAAATCAAACAGTAGATCGAGCACGAACCAAGCAATTACGGACCTCTAGTTTCCCTAGCGATTCATTACTTCTAAAACGGAGCCCACTCTCGGTAGCTGCTAGGAGACTTGGCCTTCGTCGACGGAGCTCTGCAACGGCTGGGGTTAGCTTGGTGAACGCTCCAGGAAATTCTGCTACTAATACAAGCGAAATCCAGAAACCGAGAGAAAATATAGGTGCCGGAGCAGCGACACGAAATATAAGCTCAAAGAGAAACGCTACATAGACACTAGACTTAGTCGCATCGGACACAGTAAGAGGTCCATGCGTAGGCCGGACGTATAGGCAATATTCCTGGATGTAACCGGGAGACAGATGTATATAACATTTTTAGATATCTAAATCTTTAGCCCTGGGAATGATTTGTTCAAGTCCCATTTAGCATACGTCCATTCTGTACCGTAGATAGGCTCTCCATCTACAAGCGATACAGATTCCCCCGCATATCGAGCATTCTCGCTACTTGGAGCAGGACTCCTGCGTACGCATGAAGGAGTACGAGGATTGAGTCGTTCGGGAGAACCGTACGGTTGTGTTGTTTCAGGCCCAGTTCTCATGTTCACAAAAAGTCATTATTTCATAACAGAGAGAATACCAATGTGCTTTCTTTCAGGACTGAGCAACAATCGTCAAATATCATCCTCCTCTCCCTCTTCCTCGGCCTCTTCCACCACGACCTCCGCCTCTGCCGCGTTCTCCTCGTCCCATATCACCACGGGATTGTTGTGCACCGCCACGCCCACGAGTTGACGGTTGGTTTTGCTGCTGCTGATCTCTAGCTATCTCGACAACTTCTTCTGGAACTCTGAGAAATTTGATCTGAACAAAATCCGGAATGTTAGCGCCACTAAAAAGGCTAGCTTTCCCGGGGAGAACAAAACACTTCTAACGAACATTATTTCCTCTAACATAAACTTCAGGTAGTCTGAAGAATCTGTCTCCTTCGGGACTGGTCTGAACGACTTCTTTGAGGGTAAGATTCATCCAACTGTCGCAGTTGACCAGGTGACCATTGAGGGTTTCTCCGTTCTTTAGCTCGACGAGCATCGGATGGCCTTGCGACGCATTGAGAAGACCTAGAGGAAGCTTTGAATTGTAAGAATGTGTCACTTGTGGGGGACCGCAAACGCGCGGAAGACACACCATGATGCCCTCCAAAATGGTATGGTTTATAAAGCTGGAAGACGTGACTCGGGAAATCAGGCTCTGTAGCTCCGAAGAACTCTGTTTCTATCAGTTCGCTTGAACGTATCCCGGCGTTTCTTGATTTTTAGAATATCCGGGCAGCGTACGGAGTACTCCGCACTTATCTCTTAACTTGACCTTGATCGCCGGTTGACGATGAATTGCGCTGAAGCATAGCTGGATCAATAGATAATCCGGGATGTCTCCGGAAAGGGTTATTCCGTTCCAGAAACGGGTTAGCGCAGGCCTGGGCGTTTACGAATACGAGGAGTGACTGGACTCAGCCCTGTTTGCTCCCAGATACGTGTTTCCGGCTTGATGATGGGGTGAAGGACCCTCTCTTTAAAACCAATCTCTCTTTTTTGAAATAACACTCTTTTTTCCCTTTACTGGTACCTATCACCATGTTTGGCTGAGGCACGCTGAACCTCAGTATGGTTTGGTCCGCCAAGACCTCCACGCTTTTCCTCCTCGCCGGCTCCGCTCTCGTCTCCTCCGCCGCACTTCCATCTCACTCGATTGCCGCGATCGGCACCTCTATAGTATCTCGGCGAGGTGGGATCATCTTCTGTCCATAATAATGGGGCCACCAACGGGCTGACTTCCTCCAGATGGCAGTTATCTACCCATAACCTTCGAGGCCGCGTGCAGCGGGTGTTTTGACGGTGAAGACGCTGAAGTCGTACGTCCCACGCTATCAACGACGGTGATATTTAAAATCATCTTTTTCCTTAACAAGGGCAATAGGTATTCAACTTGGACCTATTGAGTACAAGTTCCGTCTGTGGGGAAAGCCGCGTCCGTCTCAATGGCCGAGAGTTGAACTTGACCTGGGATGGAACCACAGCAGCCGGTGAAACCAACCTTACCGGGAAACTCTCCCAGGGAAAAGGGGATACGACCCTTTCTATGAACTATCGAGCTGTCTGTGTTGCCAGCCCTGAAGACTCCGTCGAGGCGTATGCTGCCCAAATTCTTGCCGTCACGTTCTACCCCGCTGGTCGGGTTGGTGAAGACAATGAAACTTCTGGATTCGCCCTTTCGTTTAATTCCGTAGGGAATCCAGAGGTCTTTAGATTGTTAACGTCCCCGGTATCCATTTCCGAGGAAGATAACTCTTTTGAGTCTTGGTTAGACTCTTCCGACTCCGACCAGTTCCATGTCCAGGATAATAACACTGATAAACCCTCCCGAATCGATGATCTAGAGGAAGAGCTGCAGCAATTGCACATATTAAAACAAGAGGCACAGAAGCTAGACGATCTTATCAAAGAAAAGGACCAACAGATTAGGATGCATCTTGTCCACGATTGTTTGTGCCTCAAATCGAGGCTCAAAAATTGCGAAACTTTGAAATGTTTTGTTGAAACCTCGATCAAGTTTGTGCCAGATATTTTTCGTCTTATGAAATATCGCTTTGGCACACTTCCTTCTACTTTATCTGGCACCCCTTGCCGTCCTGTCGATGGCGGACGGGGATATCAAAACTCGACGTCACCCATAAAATCACCGACTGGTTCTTCGAACGATAGCCAAGTGACTGTCGAAACTAAGCCAGATAGCACCACGCCCCGGTTGCCTCAAGCTCCGGTTATTAGTCCACTAAAGCCACGGCCCATGGGAAACGTGATTGGCGATATGGCTGCGGTGCTCCTTCTCGTCGTTATCGTAGCATTAACTTTCAAGAGGTGTGGCAATTCTCTTTCCTGTCGCCGGCGTCGTGTTGATTTTGCCGCGAGACGCGAAGAGAGGCGTACTCGTCATGCATATCGAGCAGCTGCATGTCGATACAGATTCAGATTATGGTGGACCGGGTTATGGAATTCTTTACATGGAATTCCCAATCCACAGCCACCACAAAGCCGTGCTCGTTTTAACCTACCGGAGGCCGATAGTAACGTTTTCAGAGATCCGCGGCAGCCTCCTCAGCCGGGCGAAAATACCATGCGGAATGAAATCTTAGGGTTCCGTCGAGCCCTGGAATACGTGGGGCAGCTCGTTCACATAAATGGGTCCCAGGATCCTGCCCTTCATAATCATCAAGCTTCCGGGGATTTAGCAGAAATAGGTATTATCAGAGGATCGGCAGGAACCCCCACAGTAATATCCTCTGTTGCTCCGTTGACAACTGTCGGCTCCCCGCGGACGAGTACTGTTCTCAGTTATGACGAGACCGATGATTCTGGCACGATCGAGAGCATTGATCTGGAGACTGCAACTATGTTAAGTGCTTGAGGTGATTGGGAATACGCAGAACTATTTTCGACGATATATTCCTCTGATATGTAATAATTACTTGACCTTGGCTTTACTTGATGACGGATATAAAGCCGTCTTTTCTATCGTACCGGTATATAACAAATCTCCGTTCAACATCACTAAGCTCTCATTTCGCTCACAAGCGCGTTGTTTCCATCATCCACCAGCAGCCGGGTTACGATTTTCCATATTAAACAGAGGACTTTTGTTGCGTTTACGGTCTACATTCCACTATCCGCTGCGCGGCCCAGCGAAGGCCATTCCATCAACAGAGAACAAGGTGTAGTTGATGCTCCAGGTAGTATCAATGCTCCAAATGATTCTCATCCGATCGTAATACCGTCTTCTGCGTACGATGAGTGCCCTCAAAATACCCTGGGTAATCCCCTTCCTTATGTGTCATTCCCGATGGACTCTCTTCGTGCGATTCCTGGAGCCGAGCAGTCGATATTCCCTACCCGAACTTTTCACACTTTAACGGATTAATATCGCAAAGAGGAAAGGTCCGCAAATAGGGCTGTTGTTCGCTTTCTCTCTTGCCATATATCGGAGCTAATTGTTTTTTGTATTGGTATGGTTGTAGTTGGGCAACGTGTGTTCACAACTAGTTAGATGGCTAGGGCGAACTCAAGCACCCTAGGCGACAGGCTGAGAGGGCCATTGGTTAAGGTAAACTAACTCAAGTAGTTACCTGAACCAATTTTCAAAGGAGGGAACATATCAAGAGATCTTCATGGTTATGCACTTTTCATGAATGGGAAAGCGGAGGAGGAAAAAGCAAAAGGGCTCGCAAGTGATCCCCTCTGTGTAACAGCAAACAACAGAACCATGGCGACAGCCGTGATCCCATTCATGAGAACACATAGATGTCCTTTCAAGTGAATATGTGGATCGACCACTCAAGAGACTGTATAAAAACACAACTATTGATAGGCTGGAGAAATAATAATCAAACCAGCAGATCTCACGATGCCTCTTAGATCAGTCGGAATGTGTTTACATTCTTGGAAAAGATACACTGCATTGGGAGAGACGCGCTCCCGAAAGACAGTCCTGTAAAGGGTCCCTGCACGAGAAATAAAACACAATGTCAGCATCGAGAGGAGGGAAAAGGAGGTGTTTACGGACTACTTGGTCCTTCGTACAGGGCAAGCACTCGTATGAGAATGGAGGTTCGAGGGTCACCACAGAGTCTTTCAGATAAATTTCCGCCTTCATAAGAGAATCAAGCCGATATTTTACGGGCGGAGCCATTCTGCCCATGCCGAGAAGTGGAGGTACATGAATGGAACGCGTCTGGAATCGGACGAGAGCTGCGTTATTTTCGTTCTTCAGGGAACACCCGGGCCCAAAAGATGCAACCGAAGCCAATCCTTGACAAGACTAAGGGAATGATTAGCCAGTCCCAGCGAATCGTGATCCATGCCGGGTGCCATCAAGGAGGAGGGATCCCCAAACCACAGTCAGGTCAGGTTCAACTAATAGCAGAGAAACGCTCGCAACGGTTCAAATCTCGACGTCGGAATCTGTTAGACCTTGAGAGTCAGCTTCAACGTATTCTTCACGAGTTCCTCCAGTAACTAATGAGAGTGAATTGGGGGCTATCCTTCCTGCCCCCACCATTTCCTCGTGGCCAAGAACTTGCGCTGGCTGATTCCACTGCGTCTCGAGAGCCATTAACGAGGGGAATGAACTGCGGGTAATCTTGATGGTTACACTGCCTGGTGCTGAGCAAGGACCTCGCCCAATGAAATGGCATTGGCCGGGGAACACCAAGCTAAATATCATAATCTGACAAGCATGGCCCTTGCCTTTTTTTTTCTCACTGGGCTTTTCTCGGTTCTCCCATGGAGAAGAGGAGCACAATGGTCGGAAGATCTTTACTTGAATAACAACGGTCTTCCGGAGACCCTTACCTCAGGCTCCTTTTTCCTTCTTCTAATCGTTGTTCCTCCCGGGATCAATTCAAAGCTCTTTGCAAGCTGGATATTTTCACAGTTAATTCGCTGGTCATAGCGCTGGTACCAGATACGGCCATGCGGAGATCAAAATGTGGGTGGATTTATATGTGATTTTCCCATACCTGGATGTGCTAGCCATGTATGAAATTGCTAATGTTAGCTGCTTTGACAGCTCTTCTGCTCATAAGTGCCGTTATCATCCTGCAAGCAGCTCATGCCGACCCTGCAATAACGAGCTTTGCTTCACACCAGCTCATGGGATGGGAATCAAAGGGTGATTCATGTAGGAAATATCCAGCATTTGCTAAATCTAGTTTTGTGAGACTGACTTTTTCATGTAGGGAAACCAATAACCTGTGATCCAGGACATACATTCACAGTCTCAGATGGCTTTGTCAGATGCTGCACTGATGTCAATTCTAACTGTGCCTTCGTCACACGCTGTTCGAGCAATATAATGTCCTTTGCCGATAGGACACAGAAATGGCAAGCTCTCAACCTCCACAAACAAGCCTACTTTTCAAAACGAATAGACTGACAGTTTGTTGGAATGTCAGTGCTTCTGGTCAGACTTGTGTGACTATGACCATATATGAAACATTCTCTCCAAACGCAGCACTTGTGAGGGATCTGTTTTGCTGGGATGGATGGAGCGCATTTACCATCTTTGAAAAAACCCCTTCTACTGCTGCAACCACAGCAACAGGTGATCACACCCACGCTACCTTTTCAAGCCTTGGAAAATCTAAAAGCTGACCGAATCTCTTGCAATCTAGCTACGCCTCCGGCCCAAAATACCCCTCCTGCTCTATTATCTACGACTCTCGCTTCCGTTGGTCGTACGTCGTCTGCTCCTACTGCAACCTCTACTTCCACGTCGCCCGACAACTCTTCTCAAGAATCAGATGGGGGTAAGGCTTGGGTTGCCGGGGCTGTGATCGGGCCCGTTGTCGGATGCGTCCTCGTCGGCGCACTAGGTTTTTGGATTGGGCGCCGCCGACAAAGGAAAGATACAATTCCGATGGCAATAGATCCTAGTCAATACGCAGAGAGTTCCCACGCCTATGGATCGAAACCGTACCTACGTAACCCGCTTCAGGAACTCCCCGGCAGCCAATTGACGCCGGCCGCGGAGATGGAGGCTTCAGGATCCGGATTGAAGCCCCGGTGACACCGAGCCGCCTAATAGAACATCAAAGATGTACGGAGTATAAAGAGCCTGGAACTAATTTTGCCTAAAATACGTCATTATGGGAACGAAAATCGAAGCAATCAACCGAAATCTGACGATATATACGAAACGTGACGGCCAGAAAAAGGGCCCTCTACATCTCTGCCTCTTGGGAGTTACAAGTTAGCTTACAGGATACGGAGTACACTATACTTATATACCCATCCTTTAGAAGCCAAAAGATTATGAAACATCACTTATTTAGGTCTTAGAGCAAATTGAGAATTCGACTTTTCCTGCTCGTCTAGAACTGGGAGTTAGGGATAATAACCAAACGTCCGGTTCGGGCTTCGTCGAAAGAAGAGAGAAATCGCCCCTTGGCTTGGTCGGTGCAGGGTCCAGCGCAGCCGAGGCGTTGCAGCCTGCAGGGCCCTGCAGGGGCTGAAGATTGGGCCAAATCTACATATGCCTGACAGGGTCTGACCACATCAAGCAGCGTCATAGGCTTGGACGCTTCAACCAAAAGAGCACCGCCCCAGTGATATTTTTATCTGTAACCCATGTCGCAGTGCTCATCGCACCCATAGAGAGTAGACGTGCCAGGCCAATGTGCATGACCACATTTAAGAATGAACTCTGCATTAGGAGACCCTGAATTCGGCTAATACTTGTGCTACCTGCACTTTTCTATATGCAAAGGTATGAGAAGTTCAACGGTTGGGGGCTCTATTGTAATGATGTGCCCCCCCGGCCCCCGCGAGTTCTGGTGATTGATTCAAGACTTTGCCTCGCTAACTACTATAACGAGTGAACGTTCGACTTAAGCCGAATACCTATCGGCCCCTTTGCTAGGGATATATTCAATTCATATAGCGTGGAATATTGCGGCTGCCACATAGTACAAACCCGACCTATCCTCGAATAATTTCAGAATACTGAAACAAAAGGACTACACTCTGGCCTTTTTGGAGGGTGGATTTGTATTGTCTTTCTCGCCACCTCCTTCGCTACTGACACCTTGATCATCACCATCATCTTCATCCTCGTCCTCCATGACAACAAATCTTCTCTTTGTCCGCTCTCTGACAACCGCATGTTCTGCGCGAGCTCCACTCTCTTCTTCCTGGATCTGTTGCTCGTCCGTTACAGGCGTTGCGCTTTCAGCCGGCTCCCTTGTTGCCTTCATGCCAAAGGCTTTGAGTAAGTTCTCATAGCCTTCTTCAACATTATGTAGGGTTTCTTCGAGCTTCTGCACTCGTTCAGCCTGGTCAATCTGAATCAGCATGTCTCGATGGCGTTTGAACAGTCGCTGCTTAACAAGCATCCGCCACCAGTAGTATTGCCTATCATGCTCGTCTGGAGCACGGGACTTGAGAATACGTAGTCGGGGTAGGTTGACATTGTGAGAGCCACGATGCGACATGGGGATAAGGCTGAGCAGGTACATTTCTACCAGGTGGGCAAATTGAGTCGGTGCGATTTTGTATTTTGTACGGATGCCGCGGAGAGTCTCAACGGGGATAAGACGGGATGTAGGAACGAGGCGGTGCTGAGCACGGCCTGGTTGAGTGGCGGGATACGGGTTTGCGTTAATTGTGACATTGTGGTGTTTGAAAACGGGTTGAAGGAGATGATAATCGTTTGTGTCGCGGAGAGAGTCAAAGGCCTCGTTTGGATCTTCAACAGTAAGCTCGTAGACAGTAGGGTCTTTGAGGGAGGCACGATGGATAGTTTGATAAAGCTGAGTGCCATGACCAGATAATTGATGAGGTTTAAGGATGAGGAATTGAGAGATGCGGAGGCGCGACGGTAGTTCCGCCAGGTTAATCACGGTTTCGTACGGAAAGGGGCCGTTCGAAACTTTGCACTTTTCGCTCGTTGGGGAGTAAAAGTACCACTTGTATGTTGTACCGTATCCCACGAAGGAGTAGATAGAAGCATCTGGGGTAGGAGGCTCGGGCAATTTCTCATATCTAAACGAGTTAAATGGAGAAACGGTTTCATTGGCGGGAAGGAAACTAACACAAAGTATACCATCCATCTTTCTAAGGTCCATTCAGGGTCATTTATTTCAATTGGGGTTCCACCCTCGATGAAGAGAGACGCAAATATCTGAATACGCTCCAAGAGCTCCTGGACATCCGGATCGGCTAGACAACCAGCCCATACTTCATAATTGCGATCGCCCTTAGTGTATGTATGAACAATTTCTCCGGGGGGTTTAAAATCTTTTGCAGACTTATCCTTCGTCAGGGATTCCTCGAACTTTTTGAGGGGAATGAACGATTCTGGTTGGTTACGTGTCAGCTATCGCATCGCAATGACTTCCAATATTTTCTATGAATGAAGAGATATACCTTCTGGTAAAAATGGCTTTAATATTTTGTTTAAATCCACCGCAGAGACGTCCTTGACCGTTTTGAATTTCTCGTCGTATGAGATGCAAACGTTCGATCTCAAATCATGCGCTGCAAAGCGAAGCTGAATCATCAATCCCGTATATCCAAATATCGTTTCGCTGTCGCCAAAAATGGAATAAGTAAACTCAGGGTAGAATGTTGAGAGCGTGCTAAGCTTGCCATCGCCCTTTGGCTGGACGATGGAGACTTGAACGGCGTCATTGGAGCTGCAGGTCCCTAATTCCGCTTGGTTAGGAAATCAGAATCAATGTGCATTCAATTGGCGCATGCTTACATGCAGATTGGTCCTCCATTGTCGCTTTCCACTCAGAGATTCAAGTGATGCCTGGTGATTCGTCTCACTGCCCAGCAGCCCGCATGTTCTTGAGCTTCACTCAAGACGCGACATCATGGCCAGAAGTCAGCTTTCCATTTAAAACAGCGCGTGTCTCTACAACTTCAACTAAACTGTGTTTGGATTAGTTAGCGTTATGCGTGGTGAAATCATGATGACTAATCCAGATGATGCTGCTTTAAGCCCTTGTGCTGCGAAGAGTTGTTCGGCTTTCACTCTGAACGAAAGCTGCCTCAAGCAAGTGAGAAAGAGATCAGGCCAACGAGGTTCTTGGGAACTACTAGTCGCCAGTGCGCAACCAATGGCTAGATGTTCTCCCAAAGACAAGAGTGAGAGTAACAGACTGGATTCACTGCCTGATATCTTGCAGACAGTTCTGACCATGACCAACCTCAATGCAATCATCATATGCATTCTATATAAACTATATACAGTTCTAAAATAAAATACTTAAACGGTAACATTGTAATCATTAATCACGCTTCGTGGTTCTTCATACTTCCCGATACTCTTCCATTCCATATCCAATCCAAAGCCTTTTGGACCCCCAACACGTAGACCACGCTCATCGCTAGTCCATAACGGATGTGCTGGCATAGCAATCACACGAACCTTGAGCCCATAGCGCAAATCTTGCGAACCAATTGCTTCTCCATCTTGACCTAAAATAGAAATCAAATCGGGAACTGTGCAGATGACATCTTGTTTAGTCGGGTCTTCCGGGTTCTCTTCGTCGTTCACATATGCGGCGTAAAGGAATTCGTTTTGGAAGGGCAGGATGAGCTGGCGTTCAGTGGTGGACAACGATGAATCCGAGACATCCTGATCCATTTCGTCTTTTGAAAGTGGTGCTAGGACGCAATGGCCCATCGTGTAGCCACGGCTGATGCCTCGCTGGACATCAATAATCTTTCCGGTATAAAGGAGTTTGCCGGGTGTTGTGTCAAACTGAGAACTCAGAGGGTCAGCCAATAACATTGTAGTACGGTTGTTACAAATCTCTGACTTACAATCGCCTTAATCACATCAGTTTTGCAGCGGCGAGCCATGTGAATTGCTCTACCCAAATACCAGGCTTGGGAGACAGTGTTGGGAACTGCGTATTTCTTCACCACGTCTCCAGTCAGTGGAGTGGCAGAGACAGCAGTGTTGAGTCCCAGATCAATACAGATAGCTCGCAGCATAGTTTCAATCTTAGCATTGTTTGTGGCACTCTGTAAAAGGGATTTGTTAGTGATTCGTCAATTATGACACTAGCTGGGAGCTCCTTACCATAACAACGGAGACATTGTTTTGTGCGTCGGCCAATATGCATGGAGAGATTGGGTTCCCATACACATAAGGAGTTCCTAAAGATTACAGGGGTAAGCGGTGAAAGGCCTATAGGGTGTTTATCCCAACATACCATGTTCCATCGTCGGATATGCGCGTCCCATTAGATCACCATCAAGAACTGGGATGTCATAATGCACACCAGTCGGGAAGGTTGTCATACCGTTACCACCGCCAATCTCGTCAGCGATGATAGCCTCAAAATGAGTGTGGCCTGACACCTTTACCGACACTTCAACGGCTTTGTACAGCTCGTACCCTGCAGGAATGCGTTCTCCAGACACGCTTGGAGCTCCGTACCAAGACCCGAAAACGCAGACGTCAGAATTTTTTATGCTATCGAGAGAGGCAACACGCATTTTTCCTGGCGGGTTATCCTTCAGCATTTCAAGAGAAACGAGGTACTGCAGATAAGAAGGGCCGCCGCCACCAGTACCCAGAACTCCTGTTCCCGATGCGATAAACTCAAGGTCAACGGGACTGGGATACCAAATACCATTCCGCACATCAGGTTTGTAGGATGGGATGTCGATATGAATGGAGTGCTTGACGGCAGAGACAGCAGCATCTTCAGCGGCTGCAGCCTTAGGTGCTTCATCATCAACCCCGTGTTCTTCATTTGCAAACACGTTCAGCTCGACATTGGACACTTCTCCTTCTTCAGGCACTCTGAGCTTTCCAACGGCCTTGACTAAGATTCTGGTGGCCTTGTTTGAGACATACTGAAGGGGCAGTTTTTCAACTTCAGCAATTCTAACATCTTTTCGATCAGCGCCACGAGCAATAGCCACTTCTACCGCACTCTCCTCGGCCTTCTTAAGCACTTCCTTTTCACTTCGCTCAGCAAGAATTTCAATCACATCAATGGTACCCGCAACCTTGGCAATGGCGGCACCAACTGCGTTTGCAGAGTCATGGTGAGGGGGTATGATGCACTCCTCAACTCCTTCAAGGGAGTCCATGTAAACGATTGAGCCGCCGCCGACAAGGAGAGCGGTGACCGGAAGTGCAGAGACCTTCATGCCTTCAACTGCGCGTTCCAGGATCTTTCGGATGCACTTACGAGCCTCACTGACAACATCCAGTGGGATTGACGCTACCTTGGAGGCGTCGCCGATGCTCTGTGATCCCGTTGCCACCACGATATCGGTTGCTGTCATGACATCGCCTCCGAAGACCAACGCCTTCTCGGTGAGATAGTGTCCCACTGAATCCGGCCCAACGCTAACACGGCCCGTGGCCTCATGACGGCGGACGATGCTACCTCCACCGAGACCCACGGACAGCACTTCTGGCATGGAAAACGCGGTTCTTACGCCTCCCACGTCGACAAAATTTGACGCTTGACGAGGGAAGCCGGAAGGGAGCAATGCACAAACGTCAGAGGTAGTGCCTCCGACATCAATAACGAGAATTTGACGTTCGGAAGAAGACTTAGCGCCCTGCCTGTCCAGTCCAGCCAAAAAGGCTGCACCGGTCATACTATTTGTCGGACCACTTGCAAACGTCTTGATAGGGAATTCAGACGCAGCCGCGGCGTCCGTTAAAGTACCATCATTTTGTGTAAGATACAACTGACACGAGAGGTGAAGATCAGACATAGCCTTACAGAACGCACGGACTGTCCTTCTAGCCAGCTTAAGAATGGAAGCATTGAGTATGGTGGCATTCTCTCTTTCGAGGAAACCGACACCACCAATGGAATGTGAGCAGACAATAGAAAGTGAAGGATCAAGCTCAAGCATCATCTTCCGGCATGTCTCTTCATTAACGCCGTCATGATCTAGCGGAGAGAACACCCCGATAATCGCCACCATGCTAATACCAGCTTCGCGGATGCTGGCCACCGTCGCTTTGATCTGCTCGGAGTCAAGGGGTTTAATTTGGCGGCCATCAACTTCTAGGCCTGTGCGGGAAAGGGGAGCCCGGTTAGTCTATAGTCTGCCGATAGAGGCTATCCATAGTCTTACCACCATCCAAATAGAAAATAGGCCCGCGCATAATCCTAGTCAGGGCCGGAGGGAAATCGGTAAATGGAGGTATCTGGCATCGGAATCAGCACAAAAGGTCTTCGTGAGAACCGTTGCTGAATATTCGAACAAACCTGACGAGTAAATGGTCCGCACAGTCTGACTACAGCAACCTTGCTGAGTCTTCGTGCGTCGGCCTCAACCACAGCATTGACGAAATGGGTAGTACCGATAGCAACGCTAAGAATATCCTTGGTGTTAACCGCAGATTGCTGGAGAACGTTCTCTATCACAGTTTTAATACCGCTGGTGACATCCGGCGTGGTAGGAGATTTGCTTGATGCCAAAACACCACGAGAGGGTGTTTCGGATGCCCTGATATCTAGGATGGCTGCATCGGTATTAGTACCGCCGACATCAACGCCAACTCGATACATTTCAAATAAATGTACGGAGTACGAAGTTATGATATTATGCAAACTCAAGCCCCTCAAGGCCGATTAAACAGTTCCAGCTCAAAAAGAACTTTACAATCGTCAGCTTGCATTCACCTAATTATGAGGTGCCTGCGCGGCGCATTTTCAACTCGAGGACGTTGACTCACATTCAAGGAACCTTTTCGGTCGCTCTGCAACGATAACTACCGGAGAGCAAACCATGGTCCTTGGGCGAGGGCGTGGTGTAGGGTATTATTTTATATCGCCGAGAGAGGAGCTGGCAAATTTGTCTGATGGATCCCCCATCTCTTCGTGCTCCATCTCGTGGGACTCCTTGGCCCATTCGGACTCCTCGACGGCCGAGTCGAGCTCTCCGAGGTCGCCAGTCCCATGCCGTCAGCCGAGAGAGGACTCACTGACCACTCTGCAGCAATTTTGGCCCAAGACTGCGCGTTCTCGCGTGGAAGTTGATGTCTGGGGGTTTGTGCCAATGGGAGCCTCGAAACCCCGAACAGGCCCGGCATCCAACCCTCGGACATGGGTCCCTTACCCCACAAAGCAAAGGAAAGCGGCGGACGTTCACCTGTGAGTGGCGAAACAGCGCAGCGTTAACTTTTCCCCGTCGCAGAAGTTTTACGGAGTAGTCACCCAAACCCAAGGTACAGATAAGCTTAAGGTTAAACTAGCCACCTCCGCTTGAGAAACGAACAGCCGTCAGGTGCAGGAATCTGAAGCCATCGTCACGAGCTTTCCCATGGTATTGCTTTAGGTGAAATGAAAAACGGCGACAAGACGCCGGCTCGCCAGGCTCCCCAAGGGCCAGCCGGGATCCAGCCCAGTTCGAAATATCTGACCGCGCCGAGACACTTTACCACTCCCGTTACGGAGTAGTTAGTCTACAGATTTAGTCGATTGGGGCTGCCGGGAACGCGATCGGAAGTGCACCCCCGTAATAGACCTGGTTAAGCGCAGGAGCTGGGAGCTGAACGGCTCCTACTTATATTGCCCTTGCCCTCGATGGGGCCCGTTATGTTTCTGTCTCCTCCCTATAGCAATATTTTTCTCACAAAGAGGTGTGACTCTCTTCCGTGGCACGATGGCAGCGGCTTTTCTTAAGAAGCTCGAAGTTGAGCACGAAGGGGGAACATTGCCAGACCGATGGATCAACAACGACATCAAGCCGATTGAGTCGGAGAGACGAACTTGGTCGTCCTGGACCTTTACAAACTATTGGATCTTGGTCAACTCCAATATTTCCACTTACATGACCGGAAGCTCTCTCATTGCCCTCGGTCTTTCATGGTGGCAGGCAATTATTGCGATTGTCATCGGGAACCTTTTGGCTACTGCCTTTGTTGTTTTGAACTCCCTGCCCGGTGCCTATTATAACATTGGTTTCCCCGTCGTGAATCGCTATGTATGGGGGTTGTATGGAAGTCAGTTCGTCATTTGGAATAGAATTCTTCTCTCTATCGGTGAGTGTTTGCTCGTTGTATTTACCCCTATTCCCTTGTCTGTGTCTGCACTTGCTGACAGTCTATGATCCTATCTAGTGTGGTAAGTCTTCAGCCCGTCCTAGTTCAGATTACCGACCCTAATGTTTGTTACTGCTGTCGTTAGGTTTGGCTTTCAGGCCTACGTTGGAGGCCAATGCGTGCATGTCTGCCTCACTGCGATCTGGCCTTCGCTCGAGCAGCGTATCCCCAACCATATGGCTGAGTCTACTGGCATTACCAGCGCTCAGTTTCTCTCGTACGTTATCTTCATGGTGCTCTCGGTGCCTGTGGTTTGGATCCGACCACATAAACTACGGACGTTTTTCCATGTGTCCTCCTCCGTTATTCTCGTGTTCGAATTCGTCCTTCTGATATGGGCACTGGCCACTATGGGACCAGCTGGATTTGGAAGCACCATCACTGCGGAATCATCTGTCCCCAAGGGAGAGATGGGCTGGACAATTGCTTTCGGAATCATCAGCACTATTGGCGGTATTTCCGCTGGTATTCTCAACCAGAACGATTATGCTAGATTCGCACGCCGACCAAGGCATGCTATTATTGGTCAGCTGTTTAGCTTCCCGCTCTGCGCCATTGTATGCTCCATTATTGGAGTCCTGGTTACAGCTGCGACGCAGAACCGTTTTGGCGAGCCTTATTGGAATCTCCCAGAACTGTTCCTGGCAATTATTGAGTCGGGCGGGTCGCGTTCTAGGGCTGCCGCATTTTTTGCCGGTTTTGCCCTTATAATCTCCCAGATGGGTGTGAATGTACCTGGAAACGCACTTTCAGGAGGTTAATTAACCCGCCCCCATTGTGATCATTATGGACTGGTGCTGACATGTTATCTGCGGTCGTGTAGGGTTTGACTTGGCTGCAACATTCCCGAAATATATTAACATCCGTCGCGGAGCATATCTGACACTTCTCTTATCCGTTGCATGTAATCCTTGGAAACTAGTGTCGACAGCAACGGTTTTCCTTAGTGTTCTAAGTAGCTACGCCGTCTTTTTGGGTCCCATGACTGGCTTAATGATCTCCTCATGGTTTGTGGTCAACCAACGCAAGATCAAAATAGAAGATCTATACATTGGACACAAGAGCAGCATTTATTGGTGCACCATGGGAGTTGACTGGCGTGCACTGATTGCGGTCTGTTCACCTCTACCCCTGACAAACCTGGATAGTAGTTCTGACATTTTTTGTAGTGGCTTTGCGGTACCGTGCCCTCCCTTCCAGGCTTTGTTGCCGGAGTCAATGAAAATGTCACTGTTCCATCAGGCCTTGTTCATTTTTACCAAATTTGTTTCTTGGCTGGATTTGGCATCAGTGCTGCTGTCTACTGCGGCCTGCACTTCATCTTCCCAGTGCGGCCTATTCAAGACTTTGTTGCCAGTGCTCCGGCTCCAGATGTGCTTATGCGTGAATATCGCGAAGCGTGTGACAATGGAACTCAGTTCAAAAACGAAGTTATCAATGTGGATCCCATGAAAATTGGGTGATTGGACTAAGGTGTTGACACCATCAAGGTCCTCCTCTTCAATCTTAGTTCCTTTGACCCTTTTTTGTATGTAGTTCAGTGTGGCTCAATTTTTGAAGGATCTTCTGAAGGATCTTCTGCGCAAGCAAATACGTGTGGGACTATGCCTGTATCCAGAGCAATGAGAAATTGAATATATTATATCGTCGGCTGATGCCAATGCTCTTCCTGGTCTCTTTATGATATGTGCTCTGTCCCTAGAAGAACTTTGGTGGACGCGCGAGGCTCATGACCCTAGGGGGCTGAGTAAAATCCACTCTGCAGCATTTATTCCTAATTCTTCGTTTTGCAGAAACCTGGCGCCACGCGGGTGCATTCCCCTATTAAACGAAAGGAACAGCTGGACCTTCGAGGTTTGCTTGGTGCGTGGCGATTGGATAGTGCCGGCTGTGGATGGAGCTGGCAAGTAAGTTGCTGGTAGGAAACGGTGGCAGAACTGGCCGAGAGGTTTAGACCAGGAGATCCCGAGCAACCAAAAGTTAACAGAAGTTAACAACCTATTTCCTCGATTTTGAAAGTTTTTATTCGACAGAGAGGATAATTTTTTTGGTTCTTCCCTCGTTTATGCGTAGTTGCTAATAAGGACTGATGGGGCTTGCGAGGTGCTGAATGGAATTCGCGATGGCATGACCGCTGTCCTGTTTGATTGACACGGATTTGAAGCAACACCTCGCACCATGGGCGGTCTCCTAACATTGCTCGTCTTGAGCACCTTAATGGCGGTTGCGTTAGTCTCTCTAGCCTATAAGATCGAACTCCACTTCAATTCAGCTAACCAGTGGGATATTGCAGGTCATTCGTGGTCGGGTCGCTACCGCTCTCGTTCACGCTCTCTTCATCGCAACTCCGACTTATATCGGCCCTTGGAATGGGCGTGCTGGTTGGAACTTCTCTCATAGTCATTGTGCCTGAGGGGGTAGAGACATTATACGGTTCAACAGGGTCTTCGCATAGCCATGTTCACCGGAGAGATGTCGCAGCGCATGGACTAAATGTTCTATGGAATCACTCACCAGTGCCAGTCGTACTACCTCGTGACAAGCCGGATGATGGTCATGCGGTGCCCGAACCGCCTCCAATCGTGAAAGAACCTCCTACCGCCCCTGATAATAACACACCTAAAGATAAAGCAGAGCCAGGAAAGGATTCTGATAATAACAACAATGAGCACCAGAACACCGGGGAGCAGGCGCCAAAAGAACAAAAAGAGGAAAGCTCCCCTCATGCTTGGATAGGCATCGGGTTGATAAGTGGCTTTATCCTGATGTACCTGATAGATCAGCTCCCCCAGTACGCGGCGACGTCTTCAAAACAGCAAAACCGTCCGTATCACATATCCTTGGATAATCTTGGCTCCGGCCTTGGTCGAGGAGTCTCTCCGTCTCGAACGGGAGGGGGATTCTTCGATTTTGGTACCGGAGCGAGACATTCTCAGAGCTTCGCAACCACTACGGGACTGGTAATACATGCGGCAACGGATGGAATTGCCCTTGGCGCATCATCCTCGAACACTAGCCTCAGTCTTATCATTTTCATCGCGATCATGGTCCACAAGGCGCCAGCATCTTTTGGCTTGACTTCGGTGTTGCTGAAGCAAGGATTATCCATTCGAGCTGCTAGAGGCCATCTTTTAGTGTTCAGCTTAGCTGCACCAGTTGGAGCTATTTTAACTTGGCTTGTTGCCCATACTGTGCTAGCCGGCCATGCGAGTGACGAGCAAGCCACACAGTGGAGGACTGGGATGCTGCTTTTGTTTTCTGCAGGCACATTCTTGTGAGTAAATTTTTAACCCGGGAGATTGCAGACAAGCAATGCTAACAGTGGGGTGTTATCTAGATATGTTGCCATGCATACCATGCAGGAAAACATAATGGAAACCACACGACGGGATACCGCAGTCAACGGGTATAATGAGGGAAGAGAGTCTTCGTCCCCCAAGAAATCCATGAGAGATCTAATCGCTTCTATCGTTGGCATGATCCTCCCATTGTTCCTGCAGATTGGTCATGCTTAAGGTTACAATATAATATATCTAGCAGACTTTGCAGTGCAAAATATGCTGGCCCGGGAGTCTTAAAATCTGTTCGATTCTTGTACAGTACCATATGGGTATGGTTAGGAAAAGGGACCAGTTCTGTTTAGAGACAATGAGAGGTCTTGGTATTGGTTGTGCCTCTTAGTTTTAGAAGTCTTTAAGGTGTTAAGATGTGTTGGATCTTCTTCATTACATCTTGGCCAGTTCTAGCTTCGTTGTCACTAGGCTCTTAGTTGTGTATAAGCATAAGATTGACATTTTTCCCCTTATCTTAACACAGCCTGTGGGTAGAAGGAATATCAAATAATCTTCCTGTGTTGTCCATATTTCCATGTACCAACTGAGACCAGGTATTGTTACACACATTTCAAGTACCGATGCAGTCTCTCTGGCATCATGAGATGGATGAGATGGATGTATCTAGAATCAAGTGGTCAAATGACATTTCTTTGTAGATCACAAATCAGAATCTATTTAAATGATGCTGACAGGAAGAACAACCCCAGATCAGCATTTAGTTCATAGTGGAGAGCCTTTCTGGCTGGCTGTTTTATGTTTTACTGCTAAACTCGCCCCTCGAGTGGTGGTTTTGCTGCAGGTTGCATCGCAATTGCAGCTGGGTCCTTGCACCCATCAGGTGGCTCTTCTGCGAGTGGGAAATAAAACCTTTCCCACAAGAAACTCATCCTTCTTGCATTCAGCTTCATCCAATATCGGCCTGCATATCGCGGTTTTTGGCAGTATTGGTTGTTCGAAGTTCCATAGAATCATCCTTGACGGAAAATCCGATGCTGATTGAACCGAGAGGCGAAAGGACACCCCCAATCGCCATCGCTGCTCCTGTGCCCACCGTCCTTTTCTCAACTCCACTCGAGCTGAAGATAATTTTCTATAAATCCCTCCGATTTCTCAGACAAGAGGCGGAATATTAGATATTCTTCTTTAGCAACCTTTCACTCTCGAATTACGCATAACTTTTAATCACATGGTGCCCAGGTCGGGCCCGACGAGTTCGGGTCATCGACGTACGAACTCCGCCATGGCAGCCGCTGAAAACGGGCGCAGTCCCTCCCCGGTCCCGCCCACATTCCTCCAGAGCCGCTCCGGCAACGTGCGCCCTTCTTCCAACGCCTGTCGCTCAAAGTACCTCTCCACCCCGAACAAATCTATCCCAGTCCTCCACAACCTCCTTCCATCAGCCCCGACGTCTCCACCTACGCCGGCACCGAGCCCGACACCGCAGCAGCGGGCCCCGAGCTGGCACACCGCGTTGGATGATGAGGAGATCCTGCGTGATGCGAAATCGCATTTCAGCTTGTTGGGAAGGGTGGGTCGGCAGAGATTTTTAACGGAGCTGCTAAATCTATGTGACAACCAGCTGCTTGGTTTCGTCCACCAAGTTGTGAGCCCAAAGCTGAGGAAAGATCCTTTTGAGATGCTCCCCAATGAGCTGTGTCTGAGGGTAAGTAGCTGTCAGTAATATATGAGCTTGATGGTGTATGGCTGATTAAGATTTTGTTCAGATTCTCGCTTTCATCGACGACCCGAAGACGCTCGCGAGAGCATCGCAAGTCTCGAGGCGATGGCACGACCTGTTAAATGATGATTTAACATGGAAAATCCTTTGCGATAAACATTCCTATAGACGGATGTCGGAGGATTATGAGGAAGAACCCGAAACATATTCGCCGTCTTCCTCGATCTACGGATTTAATTCTAATTTTAATCGAGACTTACAGCTGTTGCAGAGTCCATATGGCTCAGTTCAAGATCCACTGAGCTGCAGTACTTCGGTTGTAGGATCGTCCATCGGTATCTACGATAGGCCGCGATTCCGGAAGCAGCGCACCAAAACCACTTCATACCGATCCCACTTCAAGCAACGATATATGGTGGAGGCAGCGTGGAGAAAAGGTGGTCAACTTAAGACGAAATACATATCTCCAGATCATGGTGTTGTTACAAGTCTTCATTTGACACCGAAGTATATCGTTGTTGCGCTGGATAATGCAAAGATACATGTTTTTGACACCCAGGGTGAACATCAAAAGACGTTGAATGGCCACGTTATGGGAGTGTGGGCTATGGTACCGTGGGATGATCTGCTGGTCAGTGGTGGTTGCGATAGAGATGTTCGCGTTTGGGATATGGCTACCGGGTAAGCTGCCTGATAACTCCAATTTTTTTAGTATTTCGGCTAATACATCAGCGATTTAGGGCGAGCATACATAAGCTTCGTGGCCATACTTCTACAGTCAGGTGCTTGAAGATGTCTGACCGAAACACCGCTATATCTGGCTCTCGAGATACCACGTTACGGATATGGGATTTGGCAGCTGGGGTATGTAAAAATGTTCTAGTTGGTCATCAAGCCAGTGTGAGATGTCTAGAAATTCATGGAGATCTCGTGGTGTCTGGTAGCTATGATACAACGGCAAAGGTTTGGAGCATATCGGAGGGGCGGTGTTTAAGATCTCTCGCTGGGCATTTCAGTCAGATTTACGCCGTAGCCTTTGATGGGCGACGGGTCGCCACTGGCAGCCTAGATACGAGCGTGAGGATCTGGGATCCTCATTCTGGACAATGCCATGCTATACTGCAAGGCCACACGTCCCTTGTCGGTCAGCTACAGATGCGTGGGGACACACTGGTTACCGGAGGGTCCGATGGATCTATCCGGGTTTGGTCGTTACAGCGCATGGCACCTATCCACCGGCTAGCTGCGCACGATAACAGCATCACAAGTCTGCAATTTGATGATAACCGGATTGTCAGTGGCGGAAGCGACGGTCGCGTGAAGATCTGGGATCTCACGACGGGTCAGTTGGTGCGCGAGCTTAGTCAACCTGCCGAAGCGGTTTGGCGGGTTGCATTTGAAGAAGAAAAGGCCGTTATCATGGCAACTCGTGGTGGGCGGACCGTCATGGAGGTGAGGCTTGGCTGATTGAAGTTGTTATTTCCTTACTCTGACAGCGATATATAGGTTTGGTCATTTTCGCCGCCGGAGGACGAATATGCCGAGTCGCGCCATCGCTCTGGCTCAGTAAGTCCCACTTCTACATTGGGGCTTCACAGCTTTTCTGCGGCCCGTTCCACAGTTACAACTGTCGACGCGACCAGCAATGCAGGAACCGTGTCTTCTTCGATGCCCTATGATATTCATGACCTAGAAATGCAAGACGTAAGAAATGAAAGCCGTTGATGTTGGAGTTTGGTTCCCTTGATTCTATTCGGTACTATCCTTGGTATGACCCACGACAACTTAATGAATTAGCAGGCGAGCATGCAGGCCACTTGTAGCGAGTGTTTTCTTGAGTGTCTATACCCCCCTTTCCTTTTGGTTTTTGGCGAGGTGTCGACGTACGGTTTTGGATATGGAAGACACCGATAGGGAGAACCTCTGCATCTACTCCAGACAACCGGCCTATTTGCTATGTGTGATGTGATTTGTGTATAATAGTACGGGGCACCCCCGTAGTTGCAGACGCTACCCCTATGCCTAGATACCAATCTTCAGCTGTTGAAATTTCGCCGGATCCGTCTAGGTTCTGAACGGCGTCCTTTCTTTTTTGAACTCGGCTGACTCCCCGCTAGTTAGCTAGATGAGGTTGTTGTTGCAGCAGGGATGGGGACCAGGTGACTCTCAGCTCAGAGAAGAACCAGGATTCCTGGGCTCGCTCGGAATTCGCCATCATGTCACTTAACGGGGGTCCCATAGGTTCAATCACCGAATAGTAATCACGATTTCCCGCTCGTTGATAGCCAGGAAGTGAAACCGGACGGGATCTAAACATTCCCGAGTGTACACTAGCCTGTTCGTGCCTAGGACCCGTTTACTCAAAACATCTTCGTGCATGAGACTAGGTATAAGTAGGCGCTACTTCGTGATCCGTTCTCTGTACCACGGAGCAGCGACCAAGGAATTTGAAGAAGAGGAAGAAGCTCAGACCGCCGAAGGTTGAGACGTTGTGATCAAAGCAGTTTCTAGGGCACGATGACGGATGGCGTGCATGTAAGTAAACCTGCAACGAGCATTCGCAGACTGCATGGATCCAGATTGAATTACGATACTTCTCGCGAGCCTTTGTCCTCCCTCTTTTCTTTTTTTTTTTTTTCTTTCCTTTTTTCTTTTTTTCCTCAATCAGATTCCTTGCTTCTACGGACTAACCCAGTTCCAAAACCAGCACCCGCCCCCGGACCCGCCCACCGGCCTCGATCCATGCGGTCTGCCATGGGGTCACGAACAGGCTCATTATCAGACATTTCACCATCCAGAATTTGAGTCCAACCGTGGACATGGACAGCCGATTAGACCATCTTCTCCTCTGTTCATAATTCAGCTGCTTGTGACAGCGGTTGTGTTCATCGTATTTGTGTTTGTGTTAATGTCTTTGGTGGGATCTCGGGAGGGGAGAGTCATTACCCGTCATCTTGGGCCTCTTCTGTAGCAAGGTAGAGGCTGGGATTGTGACATATGTTTTATATGGCCCCGGCTGCGGATATTGAATGAGGACGAACTTCACAACATGTGTAGTTATTAACGTGCACTTTACTCTGTACAAGCGTGTAAACTGACCAGGGATGCATTTCTTCCCTGAGCTTCCTGAGATAGCCCCAATTCCATAAAAGGGGGTAACGCGGGATGTTCGATGACAAACTATTTAGTCATCATGCGAGAAGTCATGTGATCACATTGGAAACCTTTTTTGTGCTCTTAGGTCACCGCCTTCGGGATATTGATGTTCCAGATATTTAGCTCTGCCTTCCAGACTTGCCTAGCAAAATGGCTGGACGTCAGAGCTCCAAGAAAGCTGGAGGAACGCCAATCCTCCAAGGGTCATCCTCAAGATTCCAGCGCAGTCTCTGCTCAACTTAGGGGTCGCTGGAGCAACTGGTAAGAGCAACTGCTTTCTTTAACGAGACCACCTCCTTTGCTGTTAATTCTTGTGCTTGGTGTTTCTGTAAACATTATCTTGCTTGTCCCTTGTCGCAAAGCTACAACCTCCAGAAGAACTGGTTTCCGATCCCCTCTATCTAGGTCATCGCCAATTCACAGGTAGAGGCAAGGTAGAAATTTTATTCGTCCCTGCCAATTTGTCTTTGATGCGTTGCAACCTATTTCTTGCCACTGACTTGAACTCTCAGGAAAACGAAAACATGGAGGCCAATGAGCCCAATCCTCTGTCGCAGCCGCCCACAAACCCTTCTAATGCGCCCGCTCCCCCTCCAAACCCGCCAAGCATCGAATCTGCCTATAAGCAAAAATGCATTGATTTAAAGAAACGCCTCCAGGAAATCGAATCTCACAACGAGGCACTGCGCGCCAGGAATGAACGGGGCCACCGATACCTGCAGAAGATGCGGCTCGAGTCCTGCATCCTCCTTGAACGCCTTGGCCTTCTTACTGGAATGACAGATGAGAATGGGCCTGGCCCTGAGATTCGCGCTCGCGCGCTGGCTCTTATGAACCAAGCTACCTCTCTACTTGATGATCACGAGGAGGGCTCTGCAGACCGCCCGTCAGGCCCAAGGCGCGTTCCTGATGAAGAGGATTACTTGGATGATGAAAGTGTTGGAAGCGCAGAAGATAGGCCTCCTACCGTATGTCAACATACTCGCAATTTCCATCGTATTCGATGGATTTTAACTGATATTCTTACTTGTGCTAGCCTGAGGAACGGCCCGTTCGTACCAAGAGGAATCGCAAGACTGAAGACCATGCTAAGAGTCATGGAGCGGGGGAGAACAATGCCGACTCTGTTAGCTCTTCCCTTCCCACCCTTATGCCTGCCCCTGTTCCACACACCCCTGCGACTGGATATAACCAGCCTGGACTTTCGTCTCAAAACCCCTTTACACCTATTGCTCCCAACTCGGTTGCTTCAGCGCCCTTAGACGTGCATCGCTCGGCTGGAGTAGCCACATCACCTATCCAATCAGCTTCTGATTCGCGCAATCAGCATATGGGCAACAGTTTTACTCCAGTTGCATCGGCCCAGGAGCAGCAGCATCGATATGTCTCCGCATTTGAGGACTTCACTAATCGAAACAGAGACAAAATAGCTAGTGTCCTTTACCGCTCTCGCAGATCCCAACTCTCCGACGAAGATATTGACCGCGCCGTCATCGAACACTGGGAGGATTTGGATCCCGAAGAGAAACGTGAATACGGCGACCGTCTCGGCAAGAGAGGTGCCATTTGATGGCTCGTCAACTCTATAACCTGTTCTTCAAATTGATCGATTCTTTCAAGCCAGTCTCCGTGTCGTCACGTTGCTGTCCCGTTACCTTTTATATAAACTCCTGTTTGTTATTTCCTCCTAACCTTTATTCTCACTAACATGGCGTTTCGGGATCGGGGTTCGGTCGCATGGAATAGATCGATGACGGAATGGATTTTAAATGTTTGGGCATTGATATGAACGTTTTACGAATGGGATCGTACTGTACTTCTATCATGGGACCGCTTTTTTGTCCGGCCTCTGTGTCGAGTTATTCGTGTTTAGGAATACTTTTGTAATAATTTCGCTTCGCTTCCGAACGGAGCTCCGTTATTCTGGAATCCTTTTGCTTACATGCTAACCTTTGATGCGTTGGCGGTTTTCAGTGCGGCTCTAACCTAAATGGTGTTCCCAACCAAGTTTCATAATCAACGGTTGTTTCGAATTCAAGACTCGGCTTCCTCCGAGATGAACGTTTCAAGGAAGTTCCCGGTCCAGAACCTCAATGCATACGTAGCTAAACCCCATAAACGCATTATTATCGCAGATCAATATCAAATTCTGCACGAATGCCGCTAATACTTGAGCTGTTAAATGCATAATTCAAGTAGGATATTCTGACACAATCCTCCGTAGGTTGGAAAAGAGCAAGAGTTATGTCGAACTCGGTTGCGATCTGGGAATTGTCCCCATTTCATCCTTTCAGGAATCTGGCAAGCCGGAGTGCGTAAAAACAATTCCAGAAGAGGCGCTCAGATAACTGCAACGGTATAGAAATGCAGGGCAAAAAAAAAGAAAAAAAGGAAAAACTAGTATATACGAACTGACATGTTATCAGGTCTTAATGTGGGACTGGAGCTTGGAGCTGCTTCATAGGATATCATCATATTCATCCGTGAAACCCACGTTTCAAGAATTGCTCAGGACCCTAGTCAATTCCAGCATAGAGATCCACGACAATATTTATCGCAGCGATGAGGATCTCCGCTGCAATTAAAATAATAACTATATCCCAAAGATTTTTTGTTAGCAAGAACTTCTCATTGAGAAATGTTTTTACGAGACTTACCAATCCACTCCAAATACTCGCCGTGCCGATGACTCAACTGATCCTTCAAAACAGCCAACAAGTCGGCGATAACCTCCAACCTCTCAGTCAAGAGCCCGACCCGTGGATCCATCTCCAAATAACTCCTGACCGCCTGGTAAATCGGATCCAGCTGCGGTTCCGCCCACATCAATTCCGGACTGTCGAGAACCGACCCCTGGAGGTGGATATTTATACGCAAAATGAACAGCTCTCCGATCTGCATGTTTATCTGTCGGCGTGTGAGGTTGACACTACCGGTCTCCGCGATCTGGGCGGGGAGCGGAGATGTTGCAGCGATGGTCTCGGACACAAGGTCCTCAAAAAGAGAAGTCTTAACAGATTGAGAAAGGGCATGGGAAATGGCGAGCTTGGTCATGTAGCTCCGCGGGTCACGGAGAGATATGAAATCATTATATATACGGGCTTGATAGTCGCGTGTATAATAAAAATTGAAGTTCTCGACCTGGGTGTCTTCGGCGCTGAGGACGGAGTCTGCAAATTTCGATACTTCGTTCAGAAAACGGGTTTCCTGGGAGGGGGTCATCCCCCATATCACGACCGTGCCGTAATCGAAGAGAAAAACTTCAGGAGTGTGAATTGTGGTGTCCAGGTCCGGGATCTCGTGGTCTAAGGAATCGGAGGAGATAACTTGAGAGGCAGAGTGCTGGTCCTCGGAAATTTGAGATTGTTGGGTGCGGCCATTGGTATTCGTGTCGGCGTGTTCCATGTTAAGGAGGTGTTCCCGTTGTTCTTCCCTGTGGCCTTCGACTTCGAGTTCGCTATCGGAAAATCGGCGTTGGGTCCGGTCTGTGGATAAAAGTGGTGACTGTTGTATTGTTTCCTGCATGCTAGATTGCTCTTGGAGGTATTTTATTTTCGCTTCATGATCATAGTTATAAGGGGAATAGACGCATTCGTCAAAAAGTTTTGGATTCGCTCCTCTGGTGCTGGCCCGCGATTTGAAAAACCTCATCACACTATCAAGTCTGTAGGCGTTCGCCGTGCAGTACGCTGTAACTCGCGGCAGACGATCGCGATCTGCCTTGCCCAATCTTGCTGCATCCCTTCTTGCGGTGGGTTCCTTTATTCGCTTGATCTGGGAATATACATCTCTGGGGACTGCGTCATCGATCCATTCGTCCTCCTCTCCGGTAACTGGATTCGGTAAAAGCTTTAATTTCTGCGTGTTTTTCGTCGTCCGCTGAGGACCAATCTTAGGGGTTGGGCTCAGTGCAACAGTCGGGGGTGGTCCCTGGCTGTGTCTCCGGCGAAGTTTGCTATTTAATGCTGCGAGGACTGGCTGGCCGGAACCCCCTTGTATCGATGGAGTTGCAGAGTGCAATGGTCTCAATCGTTGGGCCCGAGCCGACATGTTCGTCGATGCACTTGCTTTGGGGCTTGGGCCGAAGGTTACTGTTCTGCCCGGTCGCAGTTCTCCCTCTGGCGTCCGTGGTGCATGTCGGAGTAAAGGAGAGGATTCAGAAGGTATGGAGGCCATAGTGGCTGGAGTATAAAAGCCAATTGCATAGATACAATGCAGTACTCCAGAGATTGGATTAGGTCTCACGGGAAACAGTCGCTACGCAGCGAACAGTGCAAGATGTTCGGCACTCAGATGTCATCACAGCATCACTTCGCTCGACCGAATCCAAACGGCGCTAAAAGTGCTCCACACAAGCTTAAGCTTTCTTGGGACGCACGTGTTGGCCGTGTAACACTACGCTAGTCCGCAATAGGTTTGGTAAACTGTATTGGTCTGATGACTAAACCATGTCCCTTGTCCATGGCTTGTTGCTAGCCGCGGGCTGGTGGAGGCCGGACGAAAAGCAATATTTCCTCTGATTTAAACACCAGATGTACTGAGTACAGAGTACGTGATTATTACTATACAGCTCATGCTCTATACAAGCGCTTGAAACTTCCTCGGCAATGGAAGACGGCGGTCGGTCATGCAGCTGAGGTTTGAAACCTGCGACCATTTCATTGAAGGCTATTTTCTGACGGGTCACTGGGGGATATACTTCTTTAAACACTGATCTCAAATGACGTGGAGAACTCGCAGCAAGTCTAGAAATTCGAATCCCACTCGCTATGATATATTAAACCTCTCCAATGTTCTCAGAACAAAGTCAATGACACGGTGCGGTTGCGACAGGAATGGTGAGTGGCCCGAATCTAGCGTCTCCTGAATTTCTATTCCCGCTGCATCAGCTAAATATTGCTGCACGGCTAGCGGAACGGCTCTGTCATGCTTGCAGAGAAGATAGGCGGAAGGAATTGTGCGATACGCTTCGTGGGTGAGTGGAGTCAAAAAGGCGCTATTAATATCAGCGTGAGCGGAAACTCGCGCAGGTGGAATCCGGGTCATATTTCTTACCCATCTGAATGTGCCTTTAGCTGCTTCGAGGAACTTTCTGCGAGAGAAGGCTCAACATCATGGTAAAAGGCCTCGATCGGATTTTTAACGGTGCTCGTGCCGTCCTGCCACAAAATGCATCAGGCTTAGCATGCACCACGCACATACCGACAATAGTCGAAGTAGGAGTAGATGAACATACCTCATGATTCTTTAGGCGCAGTACGGGTTTAATTTGGGGCACGTCTCCTGGGTCTGAGGACGATCTCCCCTCCGTTGGCAAAAGACAAGCTATATATAGCAGCGCAACGACTCCAGTTTGCCTCCCGGATTCCGTTCGTTCGTTCTTCCCCAGGCCTTTCATTGCTTCTGTGGCTGGAACTGCGCTGTACGAGTGCATTACAATAACAACATCGCGATTGTCTTTGTCGAGAATCTTCTTGACGTGCGAGCGAACCGCGGCTACGTCGGCAGACATATCGGGGAGGCCGGGGGAAATTCCCACGCTAGGAAGCTGAATGGGCCAGGTATCATAATTATGCTTCTGGAAAATGGGGTTAAGTAGGTCAAACGCTGCTGGTGTGTGCCAGGCGCCGGGGACCATAACAATGACCGGATTTTTCGTGCGTATCATTTGATCTATGCCACTTTGCGTCACTGGACCCGAGGTGGTGCCGTGAGACATAATGACTTGATATTGAAGTTTCGAGAAGAGAAAAGGAGAAATAAAATTTATCGGACTAATTAATTGACTGGCCGATCGGTGCAAATAAGAAACTTGGAAGTACACATTGGACAGGGAGAGCGTATTTTGTCTTTTTATATCTTCTTTGGCTAAAACTCTCCGGCGCGCGCGGCACCCAGAGGCCATGAGGCCGCGAAGCCAACAAAAAATAAGACACTATGGCACTTAGCTTGTCAGGGCTGAGGATCCGACGAAGCCGCTTGCGCCTTCAAGGAATGTAACAGCAAACAAAGTGCAGCCCCATAACAGAGCAGCCAGAAGCTTTGAGGATTTGAAATTCAACGATCTTCATGCCGTGACAAGGCGACTATCGCCGGCTGCAATCGATCCAGCAACCGTAGCCAAAGAAGTATATCACGGTGACTTGCATAAGATGACTCGTCTCCTCTGTATTCCACGCCATTCACTGATTGTTAAAGTTCGAGAGTTTATCCTCCAGCTGGACATTTGAAGTTGGGAGCTGAACAGACCCCTGCTGATAATCCGAGGGAAATTGGCCTGGGCGCTTCGAGTTACTCAAGCTGATCGATTAACGGAACTCAAACAAACACATTAAACCGATCAATTTGAACAATTCATAGTTCGTTGGTCAGTCCATCGCGAACCTTCATCCAACACACATAAACGCTGTGTACGGAGTAAATCAGACAAGAACAGCCTTGCATCGATACCTGACGCTGCGGCAGCTCCGGCTGATAGCCCTGCAAAGACACCCCTGCCGCCCCAGATTTGACCTAGGAACGGCTTCACCAGCGAAGCTCGTCTTTATTTACCTGTTGGTTAGCTCCACTCCCAAAGATGTGGCGAAGCAAATCCTGGGAAATGCCCTCCGCATATGTACGATGAACTGAGGGGATACGGTTCCAGCAAGGAGAACGGGCCAGTGCAAACTTGGAGGATAACTTAGTTAACCCAACCCTGCACTGATCGTCACCGAGTCGCAAGCACTTTCCTCGAAATTATGACAATTAAAGCAAGGGTAGCTATGTATACATTTCCCTTATGGATATAGTCTATAATTTGCACCGACGGAGGAAGAAGACGCGCGCACTTCACTCCTCCTAGCACTGGCGTGAGCCGGGCAACTTTGGCACCATGTCGCTAACACGAGCCTCAGGCAGAGGGGCCTCGACTAACCAGGCGAGACTTTACCTGCCTGCCGCATCCCATCGATATTTATTGAGTTAGAAATGCCGTAGGTCAGCTCCCCGTAGGACTCAGCTGAGTCCGCAATTTCCTACAGGTGCTAACCTGTGAATGTGAGAAACGTTCTTGGCCATGATACGGTGCCTTGATTCAAGGACCAAAATCCCCAGGACGATCACAAGCTACTTTGGGTATAATCAATTCGATATTTTTGAAGGCTTCAAATTTCACCTTCAAATTCGTAGCTTGCATTTTGCGCTTGTCACACCATCAGCATGTAATCCCCGCCGAGTAACCGATTTGATGGATATATTTTGCACTTGCGTCCATACACACATCAGGAGGAACCGCGCCCAGAAACGTCGTTTCTTAATTTTCTTTTCTCTTCCTGTTCTTTCTTTGGAAAGTGTACGATAGGTAAATTAACAATGTAACGTTTACCAAAAATCAAAATATAAAATGCCTTGGTATTCTCATTTCCTCAGGAAACCAGATGGCCCCCCTGTGGTCCTTCTTAGGCCACCATGAACAGCAGATACCCCTCTCCTATTGCCTGCCATCCAGCTCTCCCTAATAGTCCGGCCCTTTTTCGATGCCTTGGGGGGTAGACTGTTATGCAAATCGGTTTTACCGCCGGCTGCACTGTGAGAGTCTTCAAGAACGCGGATTGACATTGCTCCTAGCCTGACGTCTTTTGGCTTCTTCTCCACTGTGTCTAAAAAGCGAAGCTTGTTGCCTGATGGTTTCAACGCCCCAGACGGCTTTTCAACGTCCCTTGGCGGGGTCGGTGGGCGGACAGGTGGTTCGGCGAGTAAGATTTCATCAGGAAGGAATTTAGGGAGGGAGGTTGGAAGAAAAGACGAGGATTGTGCTTTGGCTTCAGAACCCTGGAGCGTTGCCGAGCTCTCTGAAAGAATCTCTTCTTGTTTTGAAGCCGGTAACGGTTTGCTTGGACTTGCAAATTCTACCGGGGCGGGTTTAAATTTCGCTTGGAGTTTAAGACGCTTCTCATGCTCTCGTCGTTTTTCCTTTTTCACTTGTTCTTGTCTGTAAACACGAAGTTTAGCATGAATAATATGGAGAAAACGTAGAGCTGGCTCATACCTTTGTTTGGCTTCTTCTTTTCTTCGTTCCGCCTCTCTCAGTTCCTGTAACTGCTTTGTATTGCTAACGGCCTCGGGGGCCTCATCATCATCACTCATTTCCTCTTCTTGCTGCTGGGATTCGGCCTCATTTTCCTTTATATCATCTTCTTGTACACCGTTGAGCTCTAGTTGCGGCTCTTCGCTATCAAAACGGAGATGGGCAGTTTTCGTTTTCGAGACGGTGCTAGGAAAGGGCTCGTCAGGCTTCACGGATGTCCTGGGTGTAGCAACTGAAGATTCTCGGGTTCCCGGTCGACTCTCTGATCTTATCTCCACCGCTTCGAGCACTTGATAACGCCGCTTGGGCACTCCGTTAGGCTGTGGAGTATTGGACTGGGATTTAGTACCGTCTGCTCTCTGGCCTCTCCGGCGTTTTGGTGTAGGCTCCTGGGCTGCTTCTGTCGTCAACAAGTTGTTTTTTCTCTTTCCATTGGCAGCTAGGGAGCTGTTCCTTGACGAGAAGTCCTCGGACTGCGAAAGAATGGACCTTCGTGTGGCTACGGGCATTGTCTGTGGGTCTGTATTCTCCGCGCCCCTGCTCGAGTTGCTTTGCCTATGAGATGAATCCGAACTCGAAAATAGGCCTCGCGCAGCTGTAACTATATGAGAAAACATAAGGAAAAAGAACCAACGAGAAAAACTATCTCCCCATGCACACAACTGGTTGTTTAGTCTCAGGATGGTCCACTTTACCGCCTGTTCTTGACAGAAAAAAATACCATATCGGGATTTCGTTGGTCCGAAAAACCTTTACATTCCTGAAGGTCCACAGTAACCTAAATTAGATTTATTCACATCACACACTTAACAGAGCTTCTACGGAGTACTTCATGCAGAATCTTCTCATGGAAAGTCACAACAATCTCAAATACAAGAAATTTTGTTACTGATTGATGTTATATAATTACTGGTGATCATCTCTAAAGGCCCTGATTGATCTCCACTTCTTGTGCCTCTTATTAGTTTGGTGTTTGTTGTGAAATTGATTCAAATGACTTCGAAAAACTTGTACCTGCCACACTGGTTTCCGCACTCATTATATGCGAAGTGTCGAATAGCTTGCTGAGATATCATCTTGCTCCATCACAAACAAGCTTTGCATAGTAAACTTGGGGGCAAGATGCTGACAGCCTTGTTCACTTGTTCAAGTTCAGAGGAAACGTGCCTTTGTCAGGAACAAGTAGACCTCTATAACAAGATGTCGGGTTTTAGGCAGGACCTCCTTGAAACCCTGAAACTTGGGCATGATGGTTGATCTTTGAAGATCGCTCGCGGCTGGAAAGACATAAAAAGTCTCATCTGTGTGTTTATGAGGAGATTATGGGAGCTATGGAGAGTAAGAAGGACCGGGAAGACATAAAAATGATGTGGCCATTTGATGGAGTTAAACTACGTGCCGAAAAGGAATAGGATGTTGATGGTCTCGGCCTTGGAGGTCTGGGAAGTTCCTGGTCCATGTCGAAGTCGAGGCCATTCAATCGATCTCTCATGTGCGATCCCCCTAGCAGGTGCCAATTGTAGATACCAATATTGTGGTGTAGAATGCCTCAAGTACTGCCTGCTTGTTTGATCCGCCTTTGGCCTTTGCTTTCATGAATGCGTTTCCAGTGGGCTTATTGTGAGGCTTGGTCTTCTACAAAGCGATGCTCAAGCTGCCAGTCATCTTGGGAGAACAGCCTCGCATAATCTGGATGCAGAGGGAATCGATAAAGGGAACCTTGTTGCCTGAATTCGACGCCTTGTTGGCAGAGTGGCCAGAAGAGCAAACTGATGACAGAACACTGGACCCTCTGAGGCTGAATCGACAGTGAGTACTCCGTATCTCACCCAGCCTCACTCACGTCCCGGCCCTAGTGCCAATGTGGTATTTTGGGACACTCCAGATCTTCCCTTAACGACGGAGTAGATAGATAGACAGTTAGATTCGCAATGTGAATGGATATATAGCTATATTCCTTGGGTCTTCCGAGAAAATGAAGTTTCGTAGAACGCATCCCACGCCGATTTGCACCTGTATTCCAATCGACAACCAAACATAGAACTAGTGTTTGCTTTTTATCGCTGAGGCCTACCTTCCAAGCGATATATAGATTGCAGCCAGAGAGAGAGAAACGCCGTTAAATGCACCAACGCTGTCAGCCGCTAATTCAAGAGCCCCGAAGCGTCCCCAGCTCTTCTCCGCTCCTCAGCTTCTTCGGCAGCCTGTAGATAGTCATCTTCACCGATGTCACTGACATCTTCCCACATCATCTCAAATTCTTTTATATCATTAGGCGGAACGGCCCACATGTTCTCTCGTAACCGCTTATTTCTCTCCCGATCCTCCTCAACCCTCTGCTCGATCTGCTTCCTATCAACCGTGATTCCCCCTGACCTCGTTATATCGCCAGACGCCAGTTCCCCGTCTACTGCTTCTGAATCAAGAAGATGCTCAGGGTAGCTTTCCCGTTCTCGAAGCCATGCGTCTATTTCTGACACGGCTTCTGTGGATAGGATCTCTTTCGATTGTAACCCATTTAACACACGTCTCACATGCTTCACATTGGCAGCGCCGGACCCGTCCGCGGGTGCAACTGCGTCAACTATCCGTAGTATGTCGCGTTGTATCATTCGAACAAACTCAAGGTGATTCTCTTTGGTGGCCGTGTCACAGAGATGCTCGACAAAGTATATTAAATTGGCGCGGATGTTCATATTATTCTAGCAGCAATGTCAGTCAGGCAGGCATGCTACAGGGACATCTATTGGAAAACGGACTCTTTCTAATTGCTCCAGTATACAAGAATGGAGGTCTTCCCCCATGTCACGGTATTTGAGAGCATAGTTCGCCGCCTTCTGCGACGAAGTAAAAGATGCGCTCATATGCTGGAGCATGGTGGTGAAGCGCATACGAACTTCAAACGGGTCCGCCATCATGACAGTCGGAAACGAGAATATCGGAATGGAATATTTCGGAAGTGCAATATTCTCATTATTCTGAAACGCAGGGAGCACCCTCGAGAGGAGCGCGTTGATTGCAGGGAAGAAATGCGGGTACGGGTGTTTAGGCGTCGACCGCCATCCTTCGTTCTCGAAAAGTTAGAAAAATCTCCATCCTTGCACGGAGAAAAAGCAACTTCGCCCCTCGATCGTCTCACCCATGCTTATTTGTTAGCCCTGTCGTATTCATCTATTAACTGCCGACAAAACTCAACACCGATTTCTGAATTTGTTTTTACAGTGCACTCCGCGCTGCACAACATGTCTGCATCTAACAGTATCCAAGGACTGGGCCTTGCGCCGAGGTCGGGAACTACTCTGACTGTTCTCGGGTGTGGTGCGTTTGCATTCTTGTGATTAATTGATTCTTGACTAGAAATAAGGTGAAACTACACTGTTATACTGATATTTACTATTCGATCGATAAAGGAAATCTCGGGGTTGCTATTTTATCAGGCGTGCTCGCATCGCTGGCCGAGGCGAAAAAGACTGATTCGCGCTTCTTCCCAGGGTGTGGCACGGCGACCCCTCCTGAAGAGGTTTCCCCCCACCAAATCCCCTCACGATTCTTTGCTTGCGTGAGACGCCCGGAGTCTGCGCTTCGCATCCAAAAAACACTCAAGCAGTTCACTCAACCTCTCACAATCCTCCAAAATGACAACATTCGCGGAGTGCAAGAGGCCGACGTCATCATCCTCGGCTGCAAACCGTTTATGCTCAAGGAGGTCTTGGACGTTCCAGGCATGCGGGAAGCTCTCAAGGGGAAGCTGCTTATTAGCATCCTAGCCGGAGTCACTGCTGAGCAGATCGAAGATACTCTCTACGGTGGCACCGACACTCCAGACGGCGACAGGTGCCGTGTTGTACGTGCAATGCCTAACACCGCCGCGATCGTCAGGGAATCAATGACGGTTATCGGCGAGAGCACTCCTCCCCTTCCCCCGAACTGGGAGACGTTGGTGAACTGGATCTTTTCGCGTATCGGGCGCGTGGTGACTCTTCCTGCCTCCAAAATGGATGCTAGCACATCCATCGCTGGTTCTGGACCGGCCTTTGCGGCCCTGGTTCTTGAGGCTCTCGCCGATGGTGGCGTGGCTATGGGCTTACCCCGGGCAGAAGCCCAGGTGATGGCTACTCAAGTTTTACGCGGAACAGCCAGTATGGTCCAAAATGGAGATCACCCTGCTCTCATTCGCGAGAAGGTTAGCACTCCTGGTGGATGTACGATTGGTGGGCTGATGGTGCTTGAGGAAGCGGGCGTCAGGGGTAAAATTTCCAAGGCCGTCCGAGAAGCTACAGCCATTGCGAGTGGGTTGGGACAGACGCAGAAGGCCAACGGGACGAAATAAACTTCTTGACGCTCCTTTTTCTTTTTTCTTTTTTCTTTTTTTGGGTTACATGCACCTGCATCACTTGGACGATGGCTTGAACCTATGTGTACGTTATAGATGCCCCCTACCAGAGCGGGTAAATTTTATGAGAAATAGAGATATCCATTGGGACTTTTCCTTTTCTTCTATTTCTTTCTTTTTTTTTTTTTTTTTTTTTTTGCGCCAATACATACCTACATAGTCCATGAAATTAATGTCTAACTAGCCGGTCAAATAGCCGGATATTTACAACGAAGTTCTTCTCTCAATGTGGCTGTACTCGGGAAGATGGTCAGCCGAAGCATGCAGCAACCCCTGCTGCTCTTCCGTTTGCCCCTCCCCCAGCACCACATCTTCAAATCCTTCATTCCTCCGATTCCTGACTCCTTCGAGGATGTACCATATATCCTTTTTCGTTAAAAATCCTTCTAAAACTCCTCTATTCACAAATAGGACGTATCGTAGGCCGAGCCTTTGAAACATATCTAAAACGATTTGGAAACTTGCACGGCTATTCATCGTAATAGGAGTTTGATCCATCCAAGGTCGGAGATCAAGGGTCTCAAGAGGATCAGCGAATGGCTGGTGAGAGAAATATGCTTGCGTTTCAGGGGTTAGATTATGCGAGGTCCGTGAGGTCGCTGTTTTCAAAGCGTAGGAGAGTTCGTTACGAGAAATATAGCCGAGTAAGAGGGGGTTGGCGGTGTCCGAGACTACAGGATACCCGCGATAGGATGTCGTTTTTAGGAGATTTGTAAGTGATTCAATAGTGTGCCCCACAGCTGTGATCAATGTAAGGTCGTTGACATTGGTCATAACCTGGCTTACGGGAATATCCGGTGGCGGAGTGTCATCCTTTTGGTCAAGGAACGGGTAGTCGTTCAAATGGATCCAGGATTCATAGACACCTCGTTTTCCAAATGTGTCGCCGCACCACTTAGACAGCATGACAGCGATCATTATCGGGATCGCGTAGTTCAAAGCACCGGTTAATTCGAACATAATGACGACGATCGAGACTGTCATCCTCGTAGCACCACCAAGGGCGGAAGCGGCACCAATGATTGCATACATCCCTGGAGTAACACAGGGGACATCTGGTTCGCAATTTGCGAAAAGAAAGAACTTCGGGTGCTTTTTTTGCCAGACATCGAAGACGATTCCGACTGCTCGACCGTAAAGTGCACCGATTGCTAAAGAGGGTAGAATAATCCCGGCAGGGATATCGAGGCCAAAGGTAAAGATTGCGAGAAAGAATCCAAGCGCTGCGGCTGAAAGGAGCAATCCAACCACGCCCAGGGAAGAAACTCCAGTTTTGCAAAGGCCGAGTGGGTTATTAGGAATCTCCTTACAATCCGCAAAGAGGTAATAGACTAACTCGGATAATTGCACCCGCATTAGTATATTTGGGAAATTGACGACTGCAGTGATTAAAGCAACTATTAGGACTTCCAACACCGGGAAGGAAACTCTGCGAGACTTGCGCCATCTGGCAACTCTCATGTTGAGCTTTATAAAAAGGCCTCCGTAAAGGCCGCCCAATATTCCAAGGAAGATAAATGGGAATATCTCGAAGCGATGGAAGCCTTGAGAATGCTCAACCTGGTAAAGGACGATTTTTCCCGTTCGGAAGGGGTCAAAGGCATGGAGCGTCACAGCAGCCACCATGGCACAAACAAAACTTTGCCACATCGTTTTGTCCGGAAAGTAGTATGATAGTTGCTAGGCAAAATAAGTGAGTGTGAGATAATTAGGAATCTGGAGATATTTACCTCTAAACTAAACAGGACTCCCCCGATGGGAGACCCAAATGCAACTGAAATGCCTGCTGCAGCGGCGGCCGAGAGGACTTCGCGTTTCCTGGCTGCACCACATATATTAGCACAGTTTGACGGCTTCTTGGTAGATGAAAGTACCTTCATTATGGTTTAAGCTATCCAACGGCTTCATGATGATGTTCGCACAGCAGCATGCAACATGCACTAATGGGCCTTCTTTTCCGAGCCACATTCCGGAAGCCACTGAGAGACACTACATAGGTCGATATGTCAGAGTTACCTCCATCTATTCGAGTGGCTAAGATACATACCAAGCCAAGTGACTTGATCATCAATGTCCATAGTCCCATAAAGTTTTCAATGACGAAACCACCAAGGACGGTTTTAATTTCCGGAATCCCGCTGTGTTTGGCATGGATTGCGTAGGACGTGACAAGGAAGCTTGCGATTCCTGCGAATAGAATCTTTGACATATGGTGAGCTCATGGTCCAGGTAAAAGGTGCACATTCAACTTACAGAATAAAAAGTAAAGAAGATATACTCAACGACATAACCTCCGCCTTTCGAACCCACGTGCAATGCTTTGCTCCATGGAGTCCAATGCCGACACTGGGACAAGTCTAATCAAATGTCAGCGAACGGGCCTCAGTTCCATCTGGATGTCCTGACCTTCATAGCCCCAGCAGCAGAAGCTTTTATTGAGGTAAAATCGTCCCCCTTCTTCTCCGCTTCGACAAAAACCAACTTTAAGATCTCCAAGCCAACTGCTCGCAATATCTATACAGGCTGCCAGGACGCCTACCACGATTCCAGTGGCGATCAAGACTGCCCACACATGACCAGCATCTAATAGTTGCCGAAGATGCGCCAGAACGCCTTTGCCACCAGAGCGAAGGTGTCGTATCCTCTGGCGCTCCTTTGTATACTCAAATATCCAATCTATCGCAGTAAGGTTGTCGTATCCTACTCTTCGCCCTGGGCCTTCGATATACCAATCCAACGGGCCTCCAACTTTATTGCCTGCATCGACCCCGTTTTGCCTCGATCCGGGAGGGCTCGACGCAGGAATGTCGCGTAGGGCCTCTTCATTGGCATTTTGACTTGATCCTGGGCGGGAAGGAGAACGGGCAGCTGGAGGACTATTCCAAGAAAATGGATTGTATAGACCGAATCGAACCGGAGATTTTTGCTTGCGTTTGAACGAGATTCTACTAATAATGGTCAGACGGAGTAAAACTAATTGCACAAGTCGTATCACAGACGGTTCACTTAATGGTTCTGCTGCAGTTGCAGGAGAATCTCGCACTGTATTGTTCAGGACGTCGTATCCCGAAGCATCGTCGTTGTTGGACTGCTCTGCGCCGCGGCTGCTTGACTGTTCGGGTGGGTCTGGCCAGTTGCCGGATCCTGATGTGTTTATCGACATTGTCCACTACGGACAGCGTTGTGACTATCAAGGGGACCAGCCATCAGGAACTGTCAAAGAGGCTAGGGTCTTGAGCCCGACAGCACTCATAGCTCACGAGATTACAGTCATCGATTGGACCCTTCCCTGGTGCTGGCTTCGACGGCTTGCGGTTACAGTGTGGCTAGTGAAAGCGGTGAAGGGCCTTTTAGGTGGGTGGGTCCCAAGCACCGCCACATTTTAAGCTTCAAAGCCGGTGGCAGAAAATTACACCCCAAAAAGGAAATTTTTGAACGTCAAATAATAGTCTGATATCCACGAACATTCTCACGGCCGCTAGGAGACCTTGTCTGCCTTGTTGACGGCGTGTGTTGCAAGGATGGAGGGGGAAAATGTACACCAGGGAATTCTATCGGATCCCTGGATCTTGCAGCACTTTCCGGATGAGCTGATCGAGATACTTCGCTCCAGCACCGGATCAGAGGCGTTAGATGAACTATCACGCACGGCTCTAAATCCGCGCTTCTCAACCAAAATACTAATCGCGTTTGAGCCGGTTTACGTAGCCGTCGCTGCCCGGTGGCTCTCTCTGGACTCACACGCTTCGCTCGTTCAAATCATCGCTGCATTCTCAAAAGTTCTACCCCTTGCACAGTATCTCCGGCCTTTCGTGCGCATTACTCTTCAGCGCCAGGATGGGAGACTACCCTTGTTTTCCATGTCGGGAGACGATACGCTTCAAGTTATGAGCGACGAAGTGTCGATATCGTTACTTTTATCCCTCTTCCGGTTACTAAGTTTTGATGTGGAAGCATTTTCCTCGACTGTTTCTCCAATTCAGCTAGAAACACTGTTTTCGCATTCTAGTAAAGTTGTGAGATACTTGAGCGTTCGATGCTTTTGCTTATATATGCATGCCGCAGATGCTGCCATGCTAGCCATGGTGAAAAAATATTGTGGAACGGGTTCGGTCCTTGGGACCTGGGAAGACCAGACAATCGACTACAGATTCTTAAGCCTTTGGGAAGAGAAAAGGTGGGCCGATCTTCAAATTCAGCTAATAAATCGACGAAAAACATGCGGTTATTCGATGTTCGATGCATGGGTCTCGCAACTCCCATCCTTAAACCACTGCTCAAATATTGGTAGCGTTCTAGTACCAAATGGTAGATTGGCCGGGGATACGAACCGTTGCATGCTGGTGAAAACGCCGACAGTTTTGGAAAATCTTCGCAGTGTTGGTCGTGCCCTCCTTTCATCCGAGCCTCTATTGCTCGTAGGACAAGCCGGAGTTGGGAAAACATCTCTTATCAATCACGCAGCAGATGCTATGGGACACGGTTCAACCATGATTACGTGGCATTTGAATGAGCAGACCGACTTGAAAAGCCTACTTGGGGTATATTCTACATCGACGCGAACAGGGGGTTTCGCATGGCAGCCCGGTTCTCTAACCAGAGCCGCAAAGGAGGGACGATGGGTGCTGATAGAGGATCTGGATCGAGCGCCTTCGGAAGTTCTGAGCGTGATTCTGCCGTTGATTCAAAATCGTGAACTTGTCATTCCCAGCAGGAAAGAGCATATACGCTGTGCTGAGGATTTTAGAATTATTGCTACGATAAGATCGACCGTTAACACAAAAGGCGTTGAGATAGCACCAGTTGAGAATATGCTTGGGAGCAGACTTTGGCGCCGTGTTCAAGTGAAAGCTTTGCCTCCGGTCGAAATTCGGCAAATTATAAGGGAAGAGTTCCCTCTACTCACGAGCGCCCAATATGTTGAGAGGTTCCTGAATTTATACCATCGGATTACCGATTTATTCCAGGGTTCGACTGCTGCTAGGAGCCTCCAGCGGCGATACGTGGGCCTGCGCGATCTAATCAAGTTTTGCTGGCGAATTGAGCGGCGGCTTAAGAACCTAGGGGTTGTTACCGGCAGGGAAGCGATCCCTGAACGAACGAATGACGAAATATTCATGGATGCGGTTGACTGTTTCGCTGCGTATATACCGAACAAAACATTTCAATTGAATGTGAGCAGTGTAATCGCTGAAGAATTGCACATATCGCCGCAACGTATGCGATTCTGTGTGTTTGAGCGCATGCCAGCTTTCTCAGAAGACCAAGATGGGGTCTTGGTTGGGCGGGAGTTCTGCCAGAGCATAAAAGTCCTAAGGAGTCAAAAGTCCAGGCAGTCGCTAGGAAAGGGTTCTGCCTTCGCTTCTACAAAAGCCTCCTTAAGAACAATGGAGCAAGTGGCCGCAGCGCTGCAGATGTCTGAGCCGGTATTGTTGGTTGGCGAAACTGGGATTGGAAAGACCGCAGTGATTCAAAGATTGGCGACTCTATTGAATCAGCGCCTGACCGTGGTGAATCTTTCACAACAGAGCGAAACTACCGACCTGCTCGGTGGATATAAACCTATTAACCTTCGTTCCATCGCTGTGCCACTTGTTGACAAGTTTCACTCCCTGTTTGATGCGACGTTTTCTGTGAAGAAGAATCAAAAATTCTTATCATCTGTTGCGAAGAGCATCATTGCAGGGAATTGGACCCGCTTGCTCAATATTTTGAAGGAGGCTGTAAAAATGGCATCAGCAGTATTTAGTGAACCCAAGCCTTTAAAGAATGATGGGGGCGAACCCCGTTCTGAACAGCCTGCAAAGAAGAGAAAATTGGATACATCGAAATACGGCACCTTGAAACAAAGGTGGCAATCCTTCGCCAACGAGTTAACTGAATTTGAGACTCATGTAGCTCGCGGCGATGCAAAGGTTTCTTTCGCTTTTGTGCAAGGGAAAATTGTGAAGGCACTGAAAGACGGGGAATGGGTCCTTCTAGATGAAATAAACCTTGCTTCGCCTGAGACCCTTGAAAGCATTTCAAGCTTGCTTCAACATGGCCGCGATGGGAGGCCATCTGTCCTACTTTCTGAAGCTGGCGAGGTTGATGCTGTTCAAGGCCACCATGACTTCCGTCTATTTGCTGCGATGAACCCCGCAACCGACGCTGGTAAACGTGATCTCACACCGGGGCTGAGATCCAGGTTTACAGAATTATATGTCCAGTCACCGGATGGCGATCTAGATGACCTTTTGAGCCTCGTTAAAACCTATTTGGGTCCTTTACTGCATCGCGACTCGACTGCTGCACCGGCTCTAGCTAATCTTTATCTTGATGTCAAGAGATTGAACGCCGAAAATAAGTTGACTGACGGAGCTGGTCAGAAACCCCATTTTAGCATACGCACTCTAGTTCGTGCGCTACTATATGTGATTGACCAGGCTCATGTATATGGAGTCCGACGCGCCATTTACGAAGGATTTTCCATGAGCTTTTTGACGCTCCTGGGAAAAGAGGCAGAACGTCTTGTTGCCCCTTACGTTGAAAAACATCTCTTTGGAAAGCATGGTAATTCTAGGTCTATACTTTCCCAGACGCCTAAGGAGCCAGGTGATGGGTCCCACCATGTCCAATTTAGACACTATTGGATGCGGAAAGGAAACTTTGAACCGGAGTTACAGCCCCATTATATTATTACCCCGTTTATCGAAAGAAATTTAATGAATTTGGTGAGAGCCAGCTCTACCCAGCGGTTCCCAATTCTCTTGCAAGGTCCAACATCATCGGGGAAAACGAGTATGGTTGAATATTTGGCGAAGATATCAGGAAACAAGTTCGTGAGGATCAACAACCATGAACACACGGATCTTCAAGAATATTTAGGTTCATATGTTTCGGGAGAAGACGGTAGCTTGCGTTATCAGGAGGGTGTTTTAGTGGAAGCCTTGAGGAACGGATATTGGATCGTGCTGGACGAACTGAACCTTGCACCTACCGACGTTTTGGAGGCACTCAATCGATTGCTTGACGATAACCGCGAACTTTTTTTGCCCGAAACCCAGGAAGTGGTGCATCCCCACCCTAATTTTATGCTTTTCGCTACTCAAAATCCAGCTGGGCTCTATGGTGGGAGAAAAATTCTCTCTCGTGCGTTTCGAAATCGGTTCCTCGAGCTCCATTTTGACGACATCCCTGAAGAAGAGCTTGAATTTATCCTAAAAGAGCGGTCCCAGATTGCACCTTCATTTTGCACAAGGATAGTATCCGTTTATCGCCAATTGTCAATATTACGCCAATCGAGCCGGCTTTTCGAGCAGAGAAATAGCTTCGCCACGTTGCGCGACCTTTTTAGATGGGCACTGCGGCGTGCGGATGATCGTGAACAACTTGCTATAAATGGATTCATGCTTCTTGCCGAACGAGTTAGGAACCCACAAGAGCGAGATGCCGTAAGGAAAGTAATCGAAAAGGTCATGGGCATTCAAATTGATCAAGATTCCATATACAGCACACGCAATGTGGAAGCCCGTTTCCGTCAACTATCTGCGGCTCCTCCGCATGGGATTGTTTGGACACGGGCGATGAGGAGGCTTTTTATTCTTGTCTCGGACGCTATCGAGCACAACGAGCCCGTCTTGCTGGTAGGAGAGACAGGCTGCGGGAAAACTCAGCTTTGTCAAGCTGTGGCTGAAACGTATGGAAAAGAGCTTTATGTCCTGAATGCTCATGCCAATCTCGAAACCGGGGATCTCATCGGCGCGCAACGCCCATTGAGGAATAGAGGACTCATCAAACAGGAACTTGTTACAGATATCTCCTCCATTTTACAAGAGTGCGGTTCTATGCCCACTCTCGGGGAGCCATCGTTGGACGATTTGAATAGTGCCCTAGCCTCCGTCTCCCCAATTAAGCTAGAGAAATGCAACCAGGATACCTTGAACCGAATCCGTCACAACCTTACAAGGGTCAACGCGCTGTTCGAATGGTCTGATGGGAGTCTTGTTTCGGCGATGAAAAGCGGCCAGCATTTTCTGCTTGATGAACTGTCTCTTGCAGATGATTCAGTCCTTGAACGTCTAAACAGTGTTCTCGAGCCACATAGATCTCTCCTACTCGCTGAAAAAGGTCCCATAGATTCATTGGTTGTTGCTGCACCTGGGTTTCAATTTCTGGGCACCA